CATTTTAGAACTAGTTTCAAGCCACTTCTAATACCATTTTAGAATTAGTTTCAAGCCACTTCTAATAACATTTTAGAACTAGTTTTAAGCCACTTCTAATACCATTTTAGAATTAGTTTCAAGCCACTTCTAATAACATTTTAGAACTAGTTTTAAGCCACTTCTAATACCAATTTAGAACTAGTTACAAATAACACCTAATACCATTATAGAACTAGTTTCAAGCCACTTCTAATTCTATTTTAGAACTAGTTACAATCCACTTCTTATTACATTTTATAACTAGTTTGAAGCCACTTATACTACCATTTTAACAAAAATTTTAAACAAAAAAATACAAACAGTTTATTCAAATTCAGAACGCAGATACATGAGGGTTCGTACTTGATGCTTTATATTCATCAAAAGTTAATCAACTGTTACTTCAAAGATTTCATTTCTTTTTAATAAATCTTCAACTGTAACAAATTTAACAAACTTCAAAGAATTTACAAATATTAATAAGAAGAGTTATAAATCCTTTGCTCCTTGAAGAATTAAAAATTAAATGTTTAAATAAGTCCTTTATTATACAAGACTGACTGAAGTTCCCGGCGTTTTCCGAAAAAAAAATGAAAAATGAAAAAAAAATTCCCTCAAAAATGTTCAGCCCATTCGGTCCAACCGTTTGACCGGCTATAGCTGACATATATATGATTAACGAAGAGCTTTATTAAAATGAAATAAAAAGTTTTAAATAGATATTTAACGTTTCCCAAACTTTGGCTTTACAACATTCTACATTTTAAAGCTACTTGTGACTGCATTAAATTAGGCTTATATACTAATAATTCCGTTTTAAAAATTGCTCTTTTAGACGCCAGTTTTTCTTCATTTTTGAAATAAAAATAATTAATTATTATTAAAACCAGATGAAAAATTGTATGCTCTTACGTCGCATTTTGAACATAAAGAAGGTTAAATTCCTACAGTGGGGGTTACAAAACTCTGAAAAAAATATATAAAACTATATTCTAAGTGAGATCTTATGAGGAAAAATCTATTTGTATATTTATATTAATGCATATTTAGTATAGTAAAGAATTTCAAAAGTAAACTGCGCTAGTGAGGCGAAAGGATTTTAAACTTTAAATTTAAGATTATAAAATGTAAAATTATTCATAAATTTTACATTTAAACAACCTTTATAGACTGTACTTTACTTCAAGTTCTTAAACTAAAAAGATACATTCATACACGGCTATTTGCGATATCTGGTTACCTGGATACCTGGATACATGGATACCTGGATACCTGAATACCTGCATAACTGGATACCTGGATACATGGACACCTGGAGACCTTGAGACCTGAAGACCTGGAGACCTGAATACCTGCATACCATGATACGTTGGTACCTGGTTACTCAGGTTCACAATTATATACCTGAATATCTGGCAACCAAAGGGATTTTACAAAGTTTGTAGATCCCATAAAACTTCCATCCTATAATATCATTTTCTTAAAATCATGTTTCTTGAGTTTTAAAGTTATTCTACAGTATCAATACGAGGAGGGGTGAGTTTTCTCAAATATTCGTAAATATTTATACGACGGGTGTATAAGGGGGGGATTAACCCAAACATATCTAGTATTTACTTGATTAACCCAAACATATATCTAGTATTTACTTAATTATATAAAAAACCCACCTTCCCCCATTTATCAGAGGTTTGGTTTATCACAAATCTTGATTCCTCCCACATCAAGTCAAAGTACAGCTCGAAGGTCATCGTTAACGCGATATCGTTTATTTTTGAAACCTGAAAATACAATATTTTTGAAATCTTCTTTTTTAATCAATCTACTAAGAGCAAAATCTGTATTGTACTATTTTTCGTAATTTTAAGCGATCCTGGCAGTTTAAAAAAAGGGGCATGCTCGATTCACACGACGGTACCTTAAAACATTTTCTTCATTGTTTCAAAAGAAATACGCAAGTCACTTATGCAGAGAAAACTCAAATGAAAATCAACAGTTTACAAAACAGAAAACATGGATATCTAATTCAAGCTTTCGAGGGTTATACCGTTGTGAACTAGAGATCATTTCTAAATAAAGTTTAGTCCCTTTCACATGCTTCTTACAAGTATTGATATTTAAAGATAAAATTAATCCATTTTTATTGGGACCTTCCCTTGTAATCTTGAACTTTAGGAATATTTGTTAAAATCAATAAATAATAAACTAGCTTGGGAACCCAGGTTTGCCTAGAAACTATCTTGTTCTAAAATATAAAGTCAACCCACTCAACTTAGACACTTTAAACCGTGCTAAGAACATTCCCTTGGTTCTAACCATAGATAAATAAATAAACATAGATAGCTTATGTACGCAAAATCACCAAGAATTGTACAGTCCGCGAACTCATACTTCTAAGGGTCAAAGTGTACTTTAAATATAAGCGGGGTGGTTTGGTGTTTTAATGGATTTCATAATAGAGTGTAAAATAACTCCGGGAATCGAACTATTTGAACAACAATATTTCACTGTGCAATATATCATATTGACGAGAACTGAAGAAGGACATGAGAAGAACTAATCTAACATAAATTTCTCTCTACAGAACTCATGTACACCACAAGTACTCAATAACATAAGAACAGCCAATGTTCACAACCGACCTAGGTAATCTATAAAATAGGAATATCTTTAAAACATCTCTGTACACTTATATCTTTCAAGATGTAAAATGTCGTCTTATGCGCAATCTATCTTTATCTATGGTTCTAACGAGTTCCTCGGTCCAAATGTTGTAAGGCAAATCAGACCAGGGGTTCGTTGAACAAACAGAGTTTCCTACTTTATATTATAGATAATATTATAATAAGAAATATTTAATACATAATAGTCATAAAATACATTGAAAAAGCATAATTTAATATACTCACTTGACAGGTAAAACACATTACAAAACAATAATTATTTAAAATTATTAATGGTTGAAATAATAGGTGAAAATCAACCATGTTTACATTCCTCCCAGAAACTACAGTACACATTATTTACATTACTCCCAGAAACTACAGTACACATTATTTACATTCCTCCAGAAACTGCAGCACACATTATATAATATATATCTTATGGTAATTTCCTTTTATTAATATGTCTAGAGCTAAATATTTTAATTGTAGAAGCATATACAGAATTTTTTTTTTTACTTTTCAGGGATGGGCTTATTTCCCGCACCCCCCCCCCCTTGCTAGAATTTCATATCATTGTACAATGTACATTAAGGATGCCCCATTTTTTAAATCGCAATTGATTTTTAAGGCGCATTAAATATCTTAACAATTAAGGTGAAACTAAGTTTTATAAAAAAAATCTCAAAATGTTAGATTTCTCTCGAAAACTGAAACATTAAGGTGAAACTAAGTTTTATAAAAAAAATCTCAAAATGTTAGATTTCTCTCTAAAACTGAAACATTAAGGTGAAACTAAGTTTTATAAAAAAAATCTCAAAATGTTAGATTTCTCTCGAAAACTGAAACATTAAGGTGAAACTAAGTTTTATAAAAAAAATCTGAAAATGTTAGATTTCTCTCGAAAACTGAAACATTAAGTTGGGAAAATAATAACAAAATTGAAAAAACTGCCACTGTAACATATTTAAAGATTAAAATATACCTATGAGAATTCTTTAAAAAATTACTTTTTGAAAACATTAAAATTTACATAATTTACCTCAAAAATGAAGATATCAACAAAGACTTCAAGTGGTCCATCTGGAGTCGGGGGAATAACATCCTAAGAGAAAAAAAAGAAGATTTTTTACCAAGCTAGGATTAGAACACTTTGAACATTTAGATATAGTTTCAGTTTGAATACTTGTGCATAAATAAATCCCTCTAAACCCAGGGAATGTATAATTAACTCTCATATCTACAGGGTTATCCGCAAAGGATGAGACTTTAGAGAAGACTGCACGAACAGTATTCGGTTTTTTTTAACATTCATTTATAGTTCCCTGCAGATGTAAAACTGTTGCTTCCTCAGGCCAAATTAAATTAGTTTTTATTTACAATAGATTGTTAAGTGCAATCTTTTCTGTATTATAAATTATTATTAGGCAAATAAATGAAATTCACCTTAAAAGGGTCTGTCCTAGAGAACGCTTTTTGACCCCACCCCCCTTTTTATATAGGACGGCTAGGACAGGATATGGGGCGGGCCGGGTGCGGCGGTTAGATGTCTTACTTTGCTCATGTGATTCATAACAGATACATGTACAGCAAAAGCCTTGTTGTACATGACAGTGTACTGTAAAATTATGTTTACAGTGTATGGAAAAAACAATAGGGTTGTATTTTACAGAAAATTACTGAAAAAGAATGTGGTACAGTGTACTGAAAAAGGATGCTGTACAGTGTACTGAAAAAGGATTTGGTACAGTTTGTTTTTAATCTTTGTAAAGAAACAATCTCAAGAACTGACGAGGGTCAACCCAGACCGAAATATATTTTCAATAAATGTGGAACTAACATCTACTTTTTTAATCTACAGAGGTTTGGTCCATCACCATCACTGAATTTTAGATTTAGTACAGTGTACTGAAAAAGGATATGGTACAGTGAACTGAAAAAGGATGTGGTACAGTGTACTGAAAAAGGATGTGGTACAGTGTACTGAAAAAGGATGTTGTACAGTGTACTGAAAAAGGATGTTGTACAGTGTATTGAAAAGGATGTTGTACAGTGTACTGAAAAATAATGTTGTACAGTGTACTGAAAATGATGCTATATAGTGTACTGAAAAAGGATGTCGTACAGTTTACTGTAAAAGGATGGTGTACAGTGTACTGAAAAATTGATGTTGCATATTGAATTGTTAAATGATGTTGTATAGTGTGTTGTAAAATGATGTTGTATAGTGTGTTGTAAAATGATGTTGTATACTAGTGTACTGCAAAATTAAAAATGTAGTGTGCACTTCAGATTTAGTATTTTACAGTGTACTTCTAAATTTTTCTAAACCAATGTTGAACAGTGTATGTACATTGTGATCTTACAACAGGTTTTAAACACTTACTTACACAGTTACTAAGCTTAATTTATTTCCCCGTTAACAACTCTGTTAAAAACTCATTATTTCTATTTATTTAATTACAGTAAAACAATTATACAAAGTGTTTCTGTTTGGCTAAACTACAAAAGAATACAATTTGCAGATGTTTTACTGCATTTCAAAATGATTTACAGTGTAATCTTTAAATTAGGAGTAATTTATAAGATTTTAGTTTACTTAAAAAATCCAAATGTCAATTAAAACAAAAATTACAAAAATTGCATTTTTATCTTTACTTAAAAAATCCAACTGTCAAATGAAACAAAAATTTAAAAAATCGCATTATTATCTTTATTAGCTTTCAGGCTTTTGTATTGTCAAACAATCGAAAGGTTTCAAATTGGAAGTATTTTTCAGTTTTGTTCTATCTGTTCTATATGTTCAATCTGTTCTATCTTTTCTGCCTGTTCTATCTGTATTATCTGTTCTATATGTTCTATCTGTTCAATCTGTTCATTCTGTTCTATCTGTTTTGTCTGTTCTATCTTTTCTATCTTTCTATCTGTTTTGTCTGTTCTATCTGTTCTGTCTGTTCTATCTGTATTATCTGTTCTATCAATTCTATCTTTCTATCTGTTTTTTCTGTTCTATCTGTTCTATCTGTTTTGTCTGTTCTATCTGTATTATCTGTTCTATCTGTTCTATCTGTTTTGTCTATTCTATCTGTTTTGTCTGTTCTATCTGTTCTATTCTGTCTGTTTTTCTGTTTTGATCTGTTTATGTATAGATTACCTTATTATATTCTGATGGTATACAGAAAGGATGGTCTCCCATATTGTTGTGATTGCATTTTGGAATATCACATAGTACTGCACCAGGTTAACAAATACATGATAAAATGTTAACTCTAACCTCAAAGGTAAAATACTTTACACATATGTTTTCCTAAATTAGGCGAATTGTTCTTTTTTACATATTTCATATTTTGAAAAAATCCGCAAAATAAACTAAAACCCGATTTTCTGATTGATTATTTGACAGCTACTAGTATTAAACATTCTGACTTTCATAGAACATCATAAAGGTTTAGTTGTGATTTTAAATTAAAAATTAGGTTGTTTTGTGTAGGTTTAGAGATAAAATATAAAATTTGGCCAACTTTGCTTGAAATCATTTTTGGAGACTTATGGTCAATATTTGCTTTTTTATATCCTTCAGTTATCGATGGATTGTCAATGTTTTAAAATTTGTTTAAAGAGTTAAAGGAATTGTTAAGATATATGGTTAAAGTCGGAGCTATATTATTATTATTCTTGACTCTTACAGAACCCCCCCACCCCCCTTGTAATACGTTCTTCAATGTTGTAGCCACAGTGGGGGGGGGGGGGCACTGTGGGCTATCACGGGCCTGTAATAGTGAGTTTACACCATAAACCTCTTATTTAAGTTAAATAAGGCTCGGTCGCTTAAGATTTTTTTTTTCAGAGATGTTGTCGTAGTTATGTTGTAATGTTGCGGTAAAGTTCTAGAATTTCACGGGAAAACTGGTCATTTCCGTGAAAACTCTTTAATTAGGTATTTTACGAATGAATCAAAGACAATTATACAATAAGGCGCGCTTGCGACGCCCCCAAATCTTTGATTAATAATATCTAGGTCATAAAGGTCTGTTTGTATAAAGGAAAAATTTTATAATTTAGTTTGTATCATGGAAAATTCGAAAATCAACTAATCAGAGTGGTGCATGCGGAATCCCAAACAGCCAATCAAAAGCCGGGAAATTTAAAATTTTGCCCGCCATATAATGAGAGAACTCTCATTGGTCGGAATCCGACAGGTTTATCCAAAAATTAAGCGATGTGCATTAAGGGTATCCAATTCTAAAGTTTTCAGCTCAGGATACTTTTCAGATTTGTGATCAATCCCTTGAAAGATAAAGTGCAGTTGCGCTTCTATAAATTAAATTCTTACTCTTGTACAAAATCATAATTTTAGAATTTAATATTTTCTTTAAGAAATTCTATATTTTCTGAAACAAAATTGAAAATTTAAGATTTAAAACAATTTAATTTCTTTTAGAATTATTTTCCAAAGCTTATTGAAATGTTGAATAGTTTTCGATTCAATGGAATGTTTGAGTGGAATATTTTCGATTAAAAGTTTCCACAAATTATTTTAAAATTTATTTAATTAGTTAGCATTTTTCTATGTTTATTCATTACTATAATCCGATTTAATAATTTCAAACTGTTTATCTAAAGAAATGTTTCCAAAATACCATATTGACTTATTAAAACATCCCTTAAAGGGAGTGTTCTGGATAAATGAAAGAGGGGTCATGCTTCATTTAAATGGAATTCAAAATTGATCAGAATCAATCTTTTTTTCCTCTGATTCTTCGGTAATTAGAAAATTGTAAAAATCAAGTTCAGTAGAAATCCATATTTGAATAATTTAAACTGAGTCAGAATTTAATGAATTTGAGCCGCTTCACAAATCCGCCACAACCGGTTTCAATTGAAACTTGAAACATTGAATACAATTTTAAGTGGAACCAACCATATTTGAGCCGCGTCTCAAATTTCAGCCTCGGCTCAAATTCTTAAATTCTTTAAATTCTGCCTCTGGTCTATTAATTTTTGCAGGTAAGAAATTCCCAGTTAAAGTAGCTTAAAAATATAAAAATAGAGTGAAAAAATTTGATTTGATGATCAAATCAGATATAATCTCATAAATATAGATGAGCAGATATACTGACAATCTATAATCAATGAGAAAAGCTGTCATCAAATAAAAATGTTTAACATAAATGTTTTTTTTGAGTAAAAATCTTATATTTTTGATAAAAGAAAAAAGTAAAACATATTGTATTAGATCAGAAGAAAATATTTCTGAATCAAAAGTTGAATTTTCTCTAAAGTTATTGAGTATTCTACTCAACACCTTTACTAGCAAACAATCTTGTTTTCAACTTTTAAAGAAGAGATAAATCTAATTTCAAAATTATATCATTCTCGTTTGTATAAAAAAAAGGGTGGGACCATTTGGCACTTTTTGATAAAATTGATCAGTTTTTTTTGAAAATAAAAAAAAGAATTTTTTTAAGGTTTAAATGAGCAGTTGTGGAAGACGATGCCTGGCCGCGTTAAACTAGTTCCACAAGATTCAACAGAATGAGATAGAACGGATACGGGGCATAGTACTGATAAATCATCTACAGTCTACACGTGTGATATCGATATGGACTCTAGTTCTGAACCCTCTAGTAATAAGTTATAAGAAATATATATACTGGAAGTTATTTATGCGTTTTTATTAGAGTCTGACTCACGTCCTCTATACAGTTGTTATTGTCCCAGGGTTAGTTTATCTTTAAATCTTACCCTTGATTTTGAAAATAAAAACAGGATTCATATGTTCGTGATTTAGTTTTTTTCCCAAGATTTACTAAAAATATTTATCAAAGTTGTTGCCAATTTCAACCATAGCTTTCCTTATGTTCAATCAAAGTTTTTGGGCTTGGCAAAATATTGTTCATAACAAAGGAATTGAGTCTTTGTCACAAACTATGATTTTCTAATCTCTATATATTTGTAATCCAATGCCGTATACCTTAGATATTTCAAACTATGAATTCTGTTAGATGAAAAAATCTAAGTTTGAAATATCAAAGGTTTACACCATCAGGTGGAAAAAATATAGGTATTATGAAAATCAGAGTTTGTTACAAAGACTATATTCCTTTCTAGAAATTTTTTTTAACGAATCCCCTTCCAATTATCCCTAAAAAAATGTGAAATCCTATTCCTTTAAGAAAATTATGACATTTTATTATGTATTTCCTGAATGTAAACTAAGAAGAAAAATAATTATTTGAACCCTGTACATTACAGGTTCAGGTCAGATCTTCTCTATTTCCGGGTTTAGGTCAAAAATGCTCTACTTTCGAATCCAGGTCAGATCTCCCCTCCTTCCGGGTTCAGGTGAGATCTTCTCTACTTCCGGGTTCAGGTCAGATCTTCTCCACTTCCGAATTACGGTCAGATCTTCTCCACATCCGGGTACACGTCAGATCTTCTCCACTTCTGGGTTTAGGTCAGAAATTCTCCACTTCCGGGTTCCGGTCAGATCTGCTCTACTTCCAGGTTCAGGTAAGATCTCTTCTTCTCCTGGATTCAGGTCAGTTCTTCTCTACTTCCGGGTTTAGATCAAATCTCCTCTACTTTCGGGTTCAGATTAGATCCCCTCTACATCCGGTTTCAGGTTAGATCTCCGCTATACTTCGGAGAAGAATCAATCATAGGTCGACTACTCTAGTTTGTCAGACAATGAACTTCTAGGGTTTTCATCTTTTCTGCATTTTCTTGTTTTCAGTTTAGAACTATTAGAACCTCCTGGAGTACTGGGCTCCAACCAGAGGTGCCCTGAACAAAATATATTTTGTTTATTGTTAAATTAAGAAGAAAAAAACAAAATTAAAAGAATAAGAATCATTGAAAGACGAATTGAGTTTTACAACAATCTCTTATTTTTTTAATTCTGATATCTTTGCAATCTGATTTATTTTGATATTTCAAACAATAAATTCTTTCAGATCAAATAGTCCAAGTTTGAAATATCAAAGGTTTACACCATCAGGTTGCTAAGGTATAGGGATTAAAAAATGAGTTTAAGTTGAGAATTATACCATCTTATTTTATGTTATTTAACTAATTTTTGCTATTTAGTTAAGTTGGACCTAGGAGTAAAGATGGGCATTGTTTTTCAAAAGAACGAAATTTTTTCAAACGGAACAAATTTTTCATGAAAATAACGATGGACGAACAAAATGAATCGTTCAGAGAAAGGAAAAAATTATCATTTTTTAAACACAAAAAAAATACTTGAAACAACAATCATTTTTTTTAACGAATGCGAGTGTTTCTAAAGATTTGGGAAAAAATTATCGCTTTATTACTGAACGAACGATTTTTTAACAAACTTTTTAATAAACAGTAGTTTTTTACGATTTTTTCGACCAAAAGATTTGGAAAAAACGATCGGTTATTTTACTGATTGAAAGATTTTATTGAACGAATGATTTTACTGAACGAATTATTCTACTAAGATCACGAACGATTATACTGAACAATCGTTTACTGAGAAAACGAACGAAAAAAACGGAAAATGAACGATAATTTTAAGATCGAACAAAATTTTTCTTTTTTAAACGATTGCGAAATACTAACAAAATGCAGAGTCTTTCACGAACGATAAATTCGAAGGAAAAGAATTTTTCGCTTATAAAATCTAAAGTTCAGTGTTTTTATTATTAATCTTTCTTATTTACTTATATATAAATAAATAAATACCTAATTTTTATCATAAGATTAACTAATTAACTAATCAATTAATTAGTATAAGCTAGAAAGAGCAAATTACATACAATTTATAAATAATATGATATAAAGGATCTACTAGTATCAGAACACTTGCAGTACACATTACCATATATATATATATATATATATATATGTAATTTGAGAATCTGTTTTGTTTTTTGTAGAAAACAGTGATATATTTTTGGTATCCAATATTCATATGTTCAACAATGGTTAATTTAGAAGAAAAAAATAACGCCTTTGTTCGGTAGATGAAAAAAACTAAATTTAGCTAATCTAAATTTCCATAACAAAATCATATTTCTATATTTTTTCCTAGATAATTGAATTGAACTTCTTTCCTATAAAGTAGCATTGAAATGTTCTCGTCTGATTGCATTGTATAGAAATTGTTGATATTTTTTGAGTCAAATTTCCGATATTTAAGAATGAAATATATGTAAATGTATGTGAATATATATTTTATTCAAAACATGGTCAAACACTTTTCGTTTTGCAAGAAGTCAATTTATCATATTCAACAACTCGGGCAATCTTCAGACCAAAGATTCTAGGTTTTAAATATATGTATACATGGCTTTATTAATAACAGAAAATGACGATCAGGGCCTTAACGATGATATCAGGCAATAATACAGGAGATGTACAATATATATATTTTATACCATGACATCCAGCAGGGATATATAGTATATACTTTATACCCCGGCTTCCATCAGGGATATACAATATATACTTTATACCCCGGCTTACATCAGGGATATACAATATATACTTTATACCCCGGCTTACATCAGGGATATACAATATATACTTTATACCCCGGCTTCCATCAGGGATATACAATATATACTTTATACCCCGGCTTACATCAGGGATATACAATATATACTTTATACCCCGGCTTACATCAGGGATATACAATATATACTTTATACCCCGGCTTCCATCAGGGATATACAATATATACTTTATACCCCGGCTTCTATCATTCAAATCTAGAGAAATATAAATATAATTCAACAATACAGATAAAATTGAGTTTCAAGTTTTAAACAAACATAAACTCCTATGTAGAATTAGAAATATTTTTGTATATACTCTAATGGTTGAAAGAGTTTAAACATACATTTTGTATCAAAATAATTTAGTTGAATTTTCCATGAAAATTTTTTGATGACCATGTGACAATAATGACTATGTGGAATTTTAAATATCAATCTCAATGGTTTTAGGATTTAACTTTAACCCCTAATTGGAGATTAAAACCTTCAAATATTCTTTAAATTTGAAACCAATATTAATGGTTTTAGGATTTAACTTTAACCCCTAATCGGAGATTAAAACCTTCAAACCTTCTTTAAATTTGAAACCAATATTAATGGTTTTAGGATTTAACTTTAACCCCTAATTGGAGATTAAAACCTTCAAACCTTCTTTAAATTTGAAACCAATCTCAATGGTTTTAGGATTTAACTTTAACCCCTAATTGAAGATTAAAACCTTCAAACCTTCTTTAAATTTGAAACCAATCTCAATGGTTTTAGGATTTAACTTTAACCCCTAATTGAAGATTAAAACCTTCAAACCTTCTTTAAATTTGAAACCAATCTCAATGGTTNGGGGGGTGGGATAACATCTATTTAAAGTTCCAATTTTAGATAATAAAGCAGGTTATCATTCCATATTTAATTTAGCTTGAATTGCATTGTAAGCATTGTACACTGCATTGTGCACTGCATTGTACACTGCATTGTACACTGCATTGTACACTGCATTGTACACTGCATTGTAAACTGCATTGTACACTGTATTGTACACTGCATTGTACACTGTATTGTACACTGTATTTTTTTTGATTTAGGTGGATAATAATTATTTTCATGAAGGATTGTTGGCTAGGAATATAAAAATATATTTCTATATGTTGGTAAAGGAAGGAACTAACACTGTCGATATATTTATCTGATTGTATTGGGAATGTATATCCCTGGATTCATGAAGGGAAGTTTGTAATGTATATTGTCTACTGTACACTACAGACATAAGTGTATATAGTTCTAATATCTATCAAACATTAGTTCCATTATTTTGTATTATTGGAGTTTATTATTCATTGGCATTATTCCAGCATATATTTCTTACCCTTTTCAACCAATTTTAGTCATTGTAAAATATTTTAAGAAAACACAGAAGTACATTTTTTATCTCAAAAATGATATTCTTTACTGCATCTCACATCCATAACAGATATATATATGGTAGTAAAAAAATAGATAAATGGTTTTAAATGTCTACATCATCAGATTGCAAAGATATTGGGTTAAGAAAAGTAGAGTTTGAGGCAAGTGTTCAGAACCTTTTTGTCATTAATGAATGTTTTTAAAGCAAACTCTAAGGATTAATTTGAATAATTTAGGTTCTTTATGATAATCCACCCCGGGGTAATTAAAGTGTGTATATTTATTTAAAACCTATTTAAAAACCTAATTTTTATTAATCTAAAATTTGATTAATCTTGAATAGTAATTTTGGAAAGCATATCGAAGGTTTATAGATGGTCAGAATCTAAAAAGTTGCCTTACAAAATGTTGAGTTTTCCAAATTCATGAGAAAAAAAAATGTTTTTGTTATTGTTTGATAATATAAGAAGAGAAAATGCCGCAGATAGAGCAACTTAACAATTTAAAGTTAAAATCGAAGATGGGTGCGAGCACCCTGGAAGCCTAATACTACAAAAATTACACATTTTTCGATAAATATAAATTTCCTATTTGAAATGTCGTAGAAAATTACAAGTATATTGTGTTGAAATAGCTACCATACTTCTATAAAGCGTGAACGGTTTAACTCCTATGGCTGAAGTTCATGGTATAAATTTAAATGCTATAAATGTCCAACAATATATTGTTTCATCTTGGGTTAGGGGTTCAAATGTTAGCAATCTGTAAAACTACAAGTTGACTGGTTCAGTTAACCCGGGGTATATATTTGTCTAGAATTGGACATTACTTGTTGATTTACAGTCGGCTAAACCTATAAATTATCTTAGCCCTGTCAAGTCAACGGATAGACAAGAAATAATTTTTACATTTACATTTTTCCTCGGAAAAAGAAAGAAATTAAGTTTTGATAACTTATGTAGCATTTTAGAACCTTTGACTGTTTTTTAATATAAATTTTACTGTTTAACAGTTGTTTTGGTAACTTTTTTGGCAGGTGATAGCCAACTTTGTTTTTACTATGATTAAATATCCACATAGTAATTATAAAATCAATACAAAAGTTTTTTGTTAAATACTTTATTGCCTAATTAGTGTGGTATATAGTTAATAAATCACCCTCTCAAATATTAATTTATACACCTTAAATTAAGTTATAGATTTATTAGCAAAGAGAGAAATAAAAGTATCATTTAAAAGATTTTTTATGAATATAAACGCATTCGATGTTATCTAAATTCTTAAATTTTGAATCGATTACTACTGATTTTATTTCTATTTATAAGGTCTTAAAGGAGAAAATGAATGCATATGGTTGAAAACGCTTAATACTAAGAGAGAAGAGTCCATATAAATTCACTACAAGTTGCATTATATCATGCATACCGTAAAAAACCTTAACAACTTATCTTTTAGACAAAAAAAATCAAGTGGTTAATTTAAATTTTCTGTTCAATTTAAAACTTAAAACCGCAAGAAATCTAGTGAAAAGAAATGGTTTCTTAAAAGAAATGGAAATATGACCCCTCAAGCGATTTCAATACGAATTCTTAATTGATATCTAGACAAGGAATTTAATTGAATATCAAATATATGAAACTCCACTGCACTGGAAGAATATATTTTTTAATCGAATTTAATAAAAGAGACTTTTTCCAAAATTATAGGTAGGAATCTCATGTATCAGTATTTTAACAAACGGAAGTTTTAAAAAATTACCGAAAAATTCCGTAAACCAACGGAAAGAACCGCTAATTTTCAATTCGTTAAGAAACCGAACCCGATTGATAAAAACAAACATTTTTAAAGAACGAACTGATATTTCAAGAACGGACAATATTTTTAATCTTGAACTTTTAGACCTTATGATGATTTGAAGTTTTGATTGTTTCCAAGTTGTAATCGTAAACATTTTTAGATATCAATTTCAGATTTAGCGAATTTTTCTGTTTTTAAAGGACCAGATTTCCAAAACCTTGAAAAAGGAAGTGAGTGTTTACCAAAAAACAAAAATTCTAAAATTTGATCTAATGAATTCAGTGTTTGAAATATCAAAGGTCTATGATATTGGGTTGCAAAGATATAAGGAACCAAAAATTTAAATGTGTGACAAAAACTTGCAGTTTAAATTGTTAAATAACAAAACAAAATTAGAGCCCAATCGGTTCAGCTATCGGTTCAGCTGTTATGCATGAACAAATCAACACCAAATACATAAATATAGATAAGATTTCAAGAAGGTTTCAAGATACACCTTTCTGTAGCTGTTTTCTTATCCCAGACAAGGATGCACTGTTCATTGTTCAAAAGCACATTATCGACACATTTTTGGCTGGAGCTTGTATAATTAGAGATATCTTGTGGTCCGTATACAAATAGACCAGCCAATACCATCAGGACACCATGATATTTACTGTTCTCTTTCTTTTCTTTATCAAAGTTTTTATTATATTCATAATGTCTAATGAAACGTTAAACATGCTAAATGTATACAGTATACACCGTTTAAAATAAACTTATTCCTCGTTGCACCAGTCAGATTAGGGCGTGCACATTATCACCAGTACTTTGCAGGGTAGCGCAAAAGCCTTTCAGCTCCGGATTGAGAAGGCCTGGTGGGAATGTGAATGCTTCAACGAGGAGTAAGTATGTTTAAAACAGTGTATCGTATATTTACTATTGTTCACACTTTCAAAACACCACCAGAAAATTTATAAATGTAATGAACCATATACATATACATATAATATTTTTGCTTTAAATTTCTTTAAAATGCCATACAATTTTGATTTATAATTTTGCTTTGAGCTGTTTATGATAGATACCAACATACATGACATATTTATAGAGCCTGAAACTTAAGTATTGTAATGAAACCCAGTTTAGGAAACCTGGTTTCATGAACGGGGTCAGGAAGTTTTGTAGATAAGAATATTAGTGTTTAGAAATATTATTTCATGTGGTTTCTTCACATTCTACTTTTGTTTTCTGATTTATTAAATTAAAACTAACGCAAATGTATTGACTCCAAAAAGGAATCTCGGGATTTTCGTAGAACGATACTCTCTTTTTCCGACTCTCAGCTTTTAAATTTTTTTAAAACTTGAATTGACTTTTCAATTTCTATGTACCTTTCGAGTTTTTATTAAAATTGGTAATAGATTTAAGTTCAAAGCTTCGATATGTGCCTATAAGGTCTTAAATCTCTAGACTAAATATTATTTATTTAGTAATATGAAAAAAAATCGATATTTAAGAGAAAATTACTTTTTTGTTTTGCACCTTTAATAATAAATTTTAGAATTTTCAATGATTTAGTATTTTCTTATTTTGTCTAACATTGTTTTGAAAATGATTATAAAGTTTTGCGGGGATAGACTGTCGCATGGAGATGGACTGATGCAGGACATCGGGCAAAGAAATTGAGTCTTTGCCACAAACTCAAATTTTCTAATCCCCATAACTTTGCAAAATATTGGCGTAAGCCTTTGGTATTTCAAACTTTGATAATTTAATTTTAGAGAATTCATAGTTTGAAATATCTAAGATCTACGAAATTGGGTCTAAAAAAAATGGAATTTAAAAATCAGAGTTTCTGAATTTTACACTTTAGGGTAGAGTTTCTCGTTATAAATGTATTTATGATTTATTTAAATTAACAGTTTTAATTTTTTTTGAGAAATGACTTTCATTTTAGTAGAATTCAGAGAAAGAAAATATTTTTCAATGCGTTTAATTTAGTTCCTCTACAGCTGACTGAAAATATATGATGAACAGATGAATCAAAAAGTGCAGTAATTATAAGTAGTCAACACGAAGTACTACCTGAACACACTCTGCACCCCTCCATTATCTACATGAAGTACTACCTGAACCTACTCTGTAACCCTATGATTACATGAAGTACTACCTGAGCCTACCCTGTAACCCTATGATCTACATGAAGTACTGCCTGAACCTACACTATAACCCTATGATCTACATGAAGTACTACCTGAACCTACCCTGTAACCCAATGACCTTCATGAGGTACTACCTGAACCTACTCTGCATCCCTCCATGATCTTCATGAAGTACTACCTGAACCTACTCTGTAACTCATATTAAATATTATGATATTTTACATGTATACTTAAAGAGACTTTAAGCGTTATTTCAAGTGACCCTTCATATGGCAAAGATGGCAATGCCTTATTCACAACAGTGCTCTTTAAAGCTTTGTCTGATCAAGTATGATCGAATCTATTTCTACTGCAGGGAAACAAATAAGAAATATCGAAGTATCCTCTACGTTATTAGTAAAGATTTTAGGATCTACCTCTGTAAATCGAGCATTGCCATCTTTGTATTGAGGCTCACTTTAAATTATGCTTACAGTCCCTTTAAATGTTTAATGTAGAATATTCTTTCAAGGGGTCCCACAGTTGCCTGTTTTTTTTACAATGTAAATACTCTGAAGGCTTTTTGCAAGGAACAGGATGACTATACATCCAAAGAGGCTTGCTCATTTTGGGACAACAGTGTTATCAATGCTTTTATTTTAAGCGGTCCAAGAAAACTAAATTATCGAAGATTGGAAGAAGGGTGGATATTTTTTTTTTTTTTCAAAATTCCTTTTTTACAGCCTTCTTATGGTATTCTTTCATTTTTAACTTTAAAAAGGAACATAGAAACTACCTGCAGTCTCCTGCAAGACAAATTAGCATAATTTAAGATCATTACTTACTAAAAGATCAATAATAATTACAGGAAATAAAAAATAATTCTCCCTTTATTAAAATAATATGATATGTATACGTATAATGTTAATGTATAAAGTTCAATCAATAACTTTTTTTATATCGTTATTAGATACATAAATGGATTATTAAGACATTTGCCTACCAAGTATACTGTATGTAACTGTAATTTTATTACGTTTAGCTGTGGGTAAATAGAACTTTTAGCAATAAAGGGGAGGCGAGGGGGGTTAGTTTTTTTATAAGATTACAGGGGGGGTCAAATTATTATAGGGAGGGAAAGGACTTGGAGGGGGAAGCGCAAAAGTACCCCTTCTGAATACGCGCGAATTTTTGGCTGGTATTAATGTAAGACATTTTTCCTTTGAGATATTCAAAATGAATGTTTGCAGAGTTTCTGCTTTACATATTTCTATTAGATTGTATTAAGGTCTAGTTTATATGGTTATATAGAAATAGAAGAAGGATTATGGCTTAAAGGGTAGAAGTAGCCATATGTTGCCTTGTATGAATATTATCAAATAGTTTAAATTTATCCAGCAGAAAGATTATTGTACAATCTAGGATTTCCTGCATATTCAAAATTAAAATCTTTAATAAAATTTTTCCGTTTTGATCAAACTAAAGTCTTGACCAAATTACGTAGATTTTGACGAAATAAAATTTACTTTTAAAGGGTTTGTTAACGTAATTTCAAGTGTAATACTGATTTGATAGAGGTGCATGTATGATTCACAACGGATAAGAATTAGGATTCAAGGGTACCTTTGTGAATCAGTTATGCCACTCTTTATATAAAGGGTCACTTAAAACTATGAGGTCAGTCCCTTTTATTTTAAATCTGTTTAATTGAAGTTTAACAAATAATACAATTTAATTCTTCGCCTCGAGGCAGATTTCCTTTAAAAAAGAAAACCAATAAAACAAATTAAAAACCTTTTGTACCCCACAAAAAACTTCTTAAAAGGAAAAAGAGTTGATGCATATAAAAAAGTCAATATCTAAAATTATCACATTCTATTTATTTTAAATGAAAACTTGTAAACCCTGAAAAAATGATACCTGTAAAGTGTATTGTGTAAAGTGAAGGGATTTACTAGGGAAGAGTGGGGTCTGAACCGGAGTCTGGAGCCACGACCAATGGTTTACATTGACTGAAGAAGGAGGTTTATACTCTGACTACCGAGGTTCAGTGATTACACGATAAACAAGCACTCCAGTATCATCATACAGTAGATAGCTAGGTTGGTGATACATGTACTCCAGTATCATCATACAGTATATAGCTAGGTTGGTGATACATGTACTCCAGTATCATCATACAGTAGATTGCTAGGTTGGTGATACATGTTCTCCAGTAACATCATACAGTATATAGCTAGGTTGGTGATACATGTACTCAAGTACCATAATACGGTGGATAGCTAGGTTGGTGATACATGTTCTTCAGTACCATAATACGGGTGATAGCTAGGTTGGTGATAAATGTTTTCCCGTACCATAATACGGTAGATAGCTAGGTTGGTGATACATGTACTCCAGTACCATAATACGGTAGATAGCAAGGTTGGTGATACATTTACTCCAAAACCATAATACGGTTGATAGCTAGGTTGGTGATACATGTTCTCCAGTACCATCATACAGTAGATTGCTAGGTTGGTGATACATGTTCTCCAGTACCATCATACAGTAGATAGCTAGGTTGGTGATACATGTACTCCAGTATCATCATACAGTAGATAGCTAGGTTGGTGATACATGTACTCCAGTATCATCATACAGTAGATAGCTAGGTTGGTGATACATGTTCTCCAGTATCATCATACAGTAGATAGCTAGGTTGGTGATACATGTTCTTCAGTACCATCATACAGTAGATAGCTAGGTTGGTGATACATGTTCTCCAGTACCATCATACAGTAGATAGCTAGGTTGGTGATACATGTTCTCCAGTACCATCATACAGTAGATAGTTAGGTTGGTGATACATGTTCTCCAGTACCATCATACAGTAACAATATATTTATATAAAACAATTTAGGTCAATCTGATTCAGAGGAAGACAACAAAATCAAACACTTTAAAAAGGATTGTTTACTTAATTGAAAATGCAAATATTACCCCAATTTTTTATCTAAAAAATTAAGACTAATTGACATTCTTGTCCTCATGAATAATAGACCTTTACTATTTGGAAACATAAGTTTAAAAATCAGGTTTGTATATATGTTTATTTGCATTCAATTTTCATAAAGGTGAACATAGTACAATCCGTTTAGCATTATCTGATTTCATGAAGATACAATTCTGGAAATAAAAGAGAAAAATAACAATGTGACCAGAGTCTCATCTTAATAAGATCACGATAGTTTAAACTTAAAGTCTTAAGTAAATGTATTATAAATATTAAATGAAAACTTAAAAGGAAATTAATATTTGTGCGCTAGAGGGAGCTGTACGCTAGAGGTACAGAGCTCTGGTTTAAAAGTGATTTAATAGGTGATATTGAACAATTTATGCATATATTTTTAATACAAAAGTGTTGTGAACATACGGGCTTTGGCCTGGTGTTAAAGAGTTAGTGACTGCCTGTGATTTTAGACCTATTGACCTCTGTTTTAAAAAACATCCCAGCGGGAATAGGGTTAACAAAGGTATATCATTCATGGGTCGGCGATATTTATAAAAAAAGATTAGTTCGTTTTTTTTGAAAAGATTGTTTCGTTTTTAGGTTTTTTAGTCGTTATTGACACCATAACTTAGTTATTTAGAAAAGTAAAATCTGCCCATCCCTAGGTTATACAAAGATAGTACAATTGACCAAAAATTATTTATCAATATCTTCCGGACTATGTTTCTTGTTCAATACATTTGAAGGGGGGGGGGGGCTATTGAGACTGATCCCCCTTCCCCTGGACAGATTCTGGGGAGGGGCCTTTGAGACTGATACCCCTTCCCCTGGAGAGATTCCTGGATACGCCCCTGATTTTAGGATAGGCCATATCATAAAAGTCGGAATTTACATTTTTTTCTGAAAGAATCATATTAGTGCAGATCTTTTTAAAACTAATTCTCTCCGTTTTTTAAACCAGAATTTGGAAGATCTATGAAAATATACAATCTAAGAAATGTCAAATTTATCTAATAAAATTTGTTGGAGCACTCAACTTATCATTCATCAAAATTTGAAGAATTGATCAACTAATGAGTTGAATTTGTCTCCAGTGCAGTGATCCAAAAAATATTTAGATGAAAATGTTGCATTTCTTAGAGTGTATATCTTAATAATCATTGATAATAGAGCCGGGTAAGGAATGATATTTTCTGAGAAAAATTCTAAATTCTTGGATTTTATTCTCAAAACACTACTGCATGCTTTTTTAATACAAGGTTTATAAAGACAAATATTTGATCTTAGTTACGCCTCTAGATTGTATCAGAGAGGGTAGTATTTGAAGGGAAGAAAGAATTAGTCTTCAGGGATAAGGTTTCTCCTCTCAGATTAAAATAGCAGAAAACTGGTTTCATTGATGCTCTAGAAAATAACCTAGAGGAAACTGGTCTAAAGGGTATCCAACTTATTTATCGAATATTATTTTCACTCTGCTCACGGTTTTACCGATTTAAATGACACCATCTTTTAACTATGTCTAACCCCCATGAAACTTCACCTAATCCAACCAATTTTAAGAACGATCCAAATTAAGGTCAGAAAACGCTTAGGTCAGTTTTGACTCTAGGACGGATGAGAAGTCACCGTTTCTTTTATTCCATCAAACCCACAGTCACGGTCCAGTAAACACCCCAGTCTTTCTTTAGGTATTGATAGGAATTTGTAAAGACTTTTTAGAAATAAAAACTACTGTAAAAGATTCTTTTCTAATTAATTTCTTCTTTTGTAAAACCCTGACTTGATTCATTAAAGTTTAGTAGGCAAATAATATTGTGATAAAACTAGAAGAAAACACGTCTTTTGTAATTTTAAGGAACAGCAGAAAATAATGCCTTTATATTTATTCAATCCCATATGTATTCCACACAGTAGTATGGGTAGAGATGGGCTACGTTTTTGTAAAAGAACGATGTTTATTGTGAACGAAACGATCGACGAACGATGAACGAACGACTTGGAGCATTTTGAAAAAACGATCGTTTTCTACTAAAAGAACATCTGTTTGATTTTATAATTATTGCTTTCACGGAATTAGGAATTAATACAATTAACATATTTTATCAAAATATTAAATACATTAACTGAGCATAAACCTTGCGTGATGCAGGCTGAACATTGTACAGTTGCACATCTGAGAATTGTATTTAATATAATTATGATTTTATTGGCTACAAAGGGTGCAAACATAATGAATGAGGGTTAGAGGGATTAATTTGAAGATTTAACAAAAAGTTTATAAATTGAATTTTCTCCCTGCTTTAAATATGAGATAATTTCAAAGTTTTTGAAATTAAGATTACAAGCTATCGTTTCCTATCAAGCATGTCACTGAGGGCTAGAATGATCTGATACTTCACTTAAACGTGTCACTGAGGACCAGAATGATCTGATACTTCGCTCAAGCATGTCACTGATGGCTAGAATGATCTGATACTTCACTCAAGCATGTCACTAAGGGCTAAATTGATCTGATACTTCACTCAAGCATGTCACTGAGGGCTAGATTGATCTGATACTTCACTCAAGTATGTCACTGAGGGCTAGATTGATCTGATACTTCACTCAAACATGTCACTGAGGGCTAGAATGATCTGATACTTCACTCAAGCATGTCACTGAGGGCTAGAATGATCTGATACTTCACTTAAACATGTCACTGAGGGCTAGAATGATCTGATACTTAAAATCAAGCATGTCACTGAGGGCTAGAATGATCTGATACTTCACTCAAGCATGTCACTGAGGGCTAGAATGGTCTGATACTTCACTCAAGCATGTCACTGAGGGCCAGAATGATCTGATACTTTACTCAAACGTGTCACTGAGGGCTAGAATGATCTAATACTTCACTCAAACATGTCACTGATGGCTAGATTGATAAGATACTTCACTCAAACATGTCACTGAGGGCTAGAATGATCTGATACTTTACTAAAACATGTCATTTAAGCTAGAATTATATGATACTTTACCAAAAAATGTCATTAAGGGTTAGAATGATCTGACACTTCACTTAAACATGTCACTAAGACCATAATTATCTGATACTTACTGAATCATGTCACTGAGTGCCATAAAAAATGTAAATACGTTTCATTCATGTTTCTGTAATCCACATACACATTTTCCTTGCGTCGGTATAAAAAAAAAATATAATTTAAATAGCAAAATACCAGCAAGAATGAACATACACCGCAGTTTCACGCTATCCTTACTCATAATATTGTTTAAAGGATGCTTTTGAATAAAACATCATTAGTTGGATGGATCATTTAAAAACTTTTCTCATACCTTCCAGATTTCTAGGATGTAAATCCATCTGTTTTTGTTTTAATCATTGATCAATGCAGTTTTAATTGTTTAGAATCTAATATGTAGGTAATTCAAGATAATTTTTTTGCTGAAGATTTTTGCATATTTAATAATTTTATCATTATATTTGAAAAAAAGAGTAACATATGTTAATTGAATACTCAGGAATTAAAGACCCAGTATTTGTATGATGGATGGTTTGTATGTAGGTGCTTGACAGAAAAAATAATTTCATGCACATTGAAAATTTTTAAATAGAATTATTTTTTTTCATTTTTTGCCAAAAATGTTCCTGTCCCTGGAAAATACTAATTTATCTAATTTATTAACCATAACTATGCTTGTGGTATTCTGGTCAGATATGCTAGTGTAAACTGAGGAGGGAACCGAAATTATTCAAGAGAATTATTATTTCAACACCGATTAATTTCAAAACATCTAATTATTGCTAAACAAAATCTGAAAATAAAGCAATGAATTGCTTTAAAATTCTAATATGTACTCTTCATGTATTCTTCATGGTGGGCCGAAATCCCGGTTTCGTAGTTCTTTCTTTTTAAATTTCCTACCCTGGAGTACTGGAGTACCTTGGTCTCCGCATCATCAATGCAATCCAAGCAGAAATATCTATTAAAGGGTTTGTATCCTCAGTCTGTTGTAAACCATGACATGGATAAAATTAAAGAAAGTGAATTCCTTTGCTCCCAAGTAAATACAGTCAGCTCCGTAATAAAGTGAACGAATGTTACGATTCCAAATATAGCACAGTAGACATACAATTTTCATGAAATTTTCAAGTTTGATAAAGTGATAACCAGAAAACTCTGGAATAGGTATACAACATTAATGCAATACTAAAGCACATTTGATGCTGTTACAAAGAAAATAGTATTACTAGTTATTAAATCACTTATTAAGTGAAATGGGCCTGTTTACACTGCACAATTGTTGTGTCTCATGTTCATTGGACTATTTAAAGTCATAACTTGAATCTAAAAGTCATCTTCCTTTCCAGAGTTTTCTGGTTCTCACAGTAGCATCTCAAAGCAGTTGTTTACCCATGCTTACCCAGTTCACTGAATTTATTTAATTTAATCTTTGGTAGAAAAATCGTAGTTCTAGTCCTCATTCCTTTGGAAACCACTGTAGAATAGCTTTTTCAAAAATTCAACGGAACTAAGTCTTTGCCTCAAACTCTGATTTTCTAATCTCTAACTATTTGCAATCCAATGTCGTAAACCTTTGATATTTCAAACTTTGAATTTCGTTATATCAAATCTACAGGTTGCAAAGATATAGGGATGAAAAAGTTTGAGTTTGTGACAAAGACTCAATTCCTTTGACTGAAGAGTTTAATCGAAAAAATATGGCCTTGGTAAACGTCATTTATTAAGCAAAACGTAAAATGTAAATATATTTATTTCACCGATCTGCTTAATCATTAGATAAATGCTAGTACTGCTGAGTTTGCTGCTGATTGACCTTGTATCAGCTGTGAAGGTCAACACAGAGCAGAATGAGTCAGCTATGACAATCAAAGAATTCAGGTTCAAATTAAGAATTGTTAAACTTTTTCAATATAACTATAAAGCACAAAAATATTTCTAGACAAAACTAATACGAAACATTTGAGATTTTCCACCACTGACTCTATTCTATCTCATTGTATTAAAATACTCTAGGTAAAGGTCTCTACTGATTGTATCTACTATAGGTGTAGGTCTCTACTGGCTGTATATACTCTAGGTATAGGTCTTTACTGACTTTAACTACTCTAGGTATAGGTCTCTACTGACTGTATCTACTATAGGTGTAGGTCTCTACTGGCTGTAACTACTTTAGGTATAGGTTTCTACTGACTGTATCTACTCTGGGTATAGGTCTCTACTGACTGTATCTACTCTAGGTTTAGGAATCTACTGACTGTAACTACTCTAGTTATAGGTTTCTACTGACTGTAACTTCTCTAGGTATAGGTCTCTACTGACTGTATCTACTCTAGGTATAGGAATCTACTGACTGTATCTACTCTAGGTATAGGTTTCTACTGACTGTATCTACTCTAGATATAGGTCTCTACTGACTGTATCTACTCTAGGTATAGGTCTCTACAGACTGTATCTACCCTAGGTTTAGGTCTCTACTGACTGTATCTACTCTAGGTTTAGGTCTCTACTGACTCTATCTACTCTAGGTATGGGTTTCTACTGACTGTAACTATTCTAGGTTTAGGTCTCTACTGACTCTATCTACTCTAGGTATAGGTCTCTACTGACTGTATCTACTCTAGGTATAGGTCTCTACTGACTGTATCTATTCTAGATATAGGTTTCTACTGACTGTACCTACTCTAGGTATAGGTCTCTACTGACTGTATCTACTCTAGGTATAGGTCTCTACTGACTGTATATACTCTAGATATAGGTCTCTACTGACTGTATCTACTCTAGATATAGGTCTCTACTGACTGTATCTACTCTAGGTATAGATCTCTACTGACTGTATCTACTCTAGATATAGGTCTCGACTGACTGTATCTACTCTAGGTATAGGTCTCTACTGACTGGAAAGGATCTGTTGGTTAAATCTTCTGTAGAAAGAGTTCTTGATTCTTCGTGCTTTGGTAAAATTGTGGAATAAAATTAGATAAGTAACCAATGCATCCACCATCCCTTGGTTTTCTTTATATTTATTTGAATATATGTATATCGTGTGTTTCTTTACGAAAAAGTTTTAAGTGAATTAGGCCTTCATTCCCTACATAACATAAGTATATCTACACTTCAAACTTCACAGAGTTAACTCTGTAATGATAAATCAAATTAAAAATTTTCATATTCTCAGGCTAAAAAGAATTTTGTCTTTATTTTTCTGACATGATATGCATAACATTAACATGCAGTAATGTTTAATGTTTATCGTACTCCCAGAACTCTAATATTATATTTGCTTTTTAAACTCTATTCAGGCTGATTTCTGGTTTTCCCAAAATAGTCGGGGGGGGGGGGGGCCCAGGGAACCTAATTGTGATATAAATCTATGACATTAGACACATTTTTGGAAAGCCCTTGGGCTCAACTTTAATAATCTATTATTGCTTAACTTAACTTAAATATTTGCAAAATTAAAAAAAAATTGTTTTCAAAGAATACTGAAAATATGCAAATCTGTGCAAAAATCCATGCAAAATTTCCTCCCAAAAATTGTGCAATCTGCTATCTAATGTACAGAGAACTCTGAAATAGGAAGACGACTTTTAGAACCAAGTTATACCTTTAAAAAGCAAAATTAGCATGATTTAAAACAATTTTACAGTTAAAACAGGCCCATTTCACTAAATTAATACAGTCTTTCCATTCCATTGTTTTCTGGTTATCAGTGTACACTGTGTACTTAAGGAAAATAATATTATATATGGAAATTAATATTATATATGATATACACTGTATACTAGAAAACAATAATATATAGATGCTTTCTTTAGTAAATGATATACACTGTGTACTAGAGAACAATAATATAATAGATGCTTTCTTTTCTGTTTATTCAGCTCAAGATTGTCAGGTAAAATTTATTATCATATTGCTTACTTACATCTACTGTACAGTCTACCTGTGATTATATATCTACTGTATAGTCTACCTGTGGTGATATATCTACTGAATAGTCTACCTGTGATTATATAACTACTGTCTACTCTACCTGTGATAACATAGCTAATGTATGGTCGACCTGTGATTATATATCTACTGTCTAGTCTACCTGTGATTATATATCAACTGTCTACTCTACCTGTGATTATATATCTACTGTCTAGTCTACCTGTGATTATTATATCTACTTCTAGTCTACCTCTGATTATATATCTACTGTATAGTCTACCTGTGATTATATAACTACTGTCTACTCTACCTGTGCTAACATAGCTGATGTATGGTCGACCTGTGATTATATATCTACTGTCTAGTCTACCTGTGATGGTATATCTACTGTCTAGTCTACCTGTGATTATATATCTACTGTCTACTCTACCTCTGATTATATATCCACTGTATAGTCTACCTGTGATTATATATCTACTGTCTAGTCTATCTGTGATGATATATCTACTGTCTAGTCTACCTGTGATTATATATTTACTGTCTACTCTACCTGTGATTATATATCTACTGTCTACTCTACCTCTGATTATATATCCACTGTATAGTCTACCTGTGATTATATATCTACTGTCTAGTCTACCTGTGATTATATATCTACTGTCTAGTCTACCTGTGATTATATATCTACTGTCTAGTCTACCTGTGATTATATATCTACTGTATAGTCTACCTGTGATTATATATCTACTGTCTAGTCTACCTGTGATTATATATCTACTGTCTACTCTACCTGTGATTATATATCTACTGTCTAGTCTACCTATGATTATATATCTAATTTCTAGTCTACCTTTGATTATATAAATACTGTATAGTCTACCTGTGATTATATATCTACTGTATAGTCAACCTGTGATTATATATCTACTGTCTAGTCTATCTGTGATTATATATTTACTGCATAGTCTACCTGTGATTATATATTTACTGTCTAGTCTACCTGTGATTGTATATCTACTGTCTGACTATCTGTGATTATATATCTACTGTCTAGTCTACCACTGATTATATATCTACTCTCTAGTCTACCTCTGATTCAATATCTACTGTAAGGTCTACCTGTGATTATATATTTACTGTCTAGTCTACCTGTGACTATATATCTACTGTCTAGTCTACCTGTGACTATATATCTACTGTCTAGTCTATCTGTGATTATATATCTACTGTATAGTCTACCTGTGATTATATATCTACTGTATAGTCTACCTCTGATTATATTTCTACTGTCTACTCTACCTGTGATTATATATCTACTGTCTAGTCTACCTGTGATTATATATCTACTGTATAGTCTACCTGTAATGATATATCTACTCTCTAATCTACCTGTGATCATATATTTACTGTCTAGTCTACCTGTGATTATATATCTACAGTCTAGTCTACCTGTGATTATATATCTACTGTATAGTCTACCTGTGATTATATATCTACTGTCTAGTCTACCTCTGATTATATATCTACTGTCTAGTCTACCTCTGATTATACATCTACTCTCTGGTCTACCTCTGATTATATATTTACAGTCTAGTCTACCTGTGATTATATATCTACTGTATAGTCTACCTGTGATTATATATCTACTGTCGAGTTTACCTGTGATTATATATCTACTGTCTACTCTACCTGTGATTATATATCTACTGTCTAGTCTACCTCTGATTATATATCTACTGTCTACTTTACCTCTGATTATATATTTACTGTCTAGTCTACATGTGATTATATATATACTCTGTAGTCTACCTGTGATTATATATCTACTGTATAGTCTACCTGCGATCATATATCTACTCTCTAGACTAACTGTGATTATATATCTACTGTCTAGTCTACCTGTGATTATATATCTACTGTATAGTCTACTTGTGATGATAAATCTACTCTCTAGTCTACCTGTGATCATATATTTACTGTCTAGTCTACCCGTGATTATATACCTACTGTCTAGTCTACCTGTGATTATATATCTACTGTATAGCCTACCTGTGATTATATATCTACTGTCTAGTCTACCTGTGATTATATATCTACTGTATAGTCTACCTGTACTGATATATCTACTGTCTAGTCTACCTGTGATGATATATCTACTGTCTAGTGTACCTGTGATTATATATCTACTGTATAGTCTACCTGTGATTATAAATCTACTGTCTAGTCTACCTTTGATTATATATCTACTGTCTACTCTACCTCTGATTATATATATCTACTGTATAGTCTACCTGTGATGATATATTTACAGTCTAGTATACCTGTGATTATTTATTTACTGTATAGTCTACCTGTGATTATATATCAACTGTATAGTCTAACTGTGATTATATATCTACTGTCTAGTCTACCTGTGATTATATATCTACTGTATAGTCTACCTGTGATGATATATTTACTGTCTACTCTACCTGTGATTATATATCTACTGTCTACTCTACCTGTGATTATATATCTACTGTCTAGTCTATCTGTGATTATATATTTACGGTCTACTCTACCTGTGATTATATATCTACTGTCTAGTCTACCTATGATTATATATCTACTGTCTAGTCTACCTGTGATTATATATCTACTGTCTAGTCTACCTGTGATTATATATCTACTGTCTAGTCTACATGTGATGATATATCTATTGTCTAGTCTTCCTTTGATTATATATCTACTGTCGTCTACTCTACCTGTGATTATATATCTTTTGTCTACTCTACATGTGATGATATATCTATTGTCTAGTCTACCTTTGATTATATATCTACTGTCGTCTACTCTACCTGTGATTATATATCTATTGCCTAGTCTACCTGTGATTATATATTTACAGTCTTGCCTACCTGTGATTATATATCTACTGTATAGTCTACCTTTGATTATATATCTACTGTCTAGTCTACCTCTGAGTATATATCTACTCTCTAGTCTACCTCTGATTATATATCTACTGTATAGTCTACCTGTGATTATATATCTACTGTCTACTCTGCCTGTGATTATATATTTACTGTCTTGTCTACATGTGATTATAAATCTACTCTGTAGTCTACCTGTGATTATATATCTACTGTTTACTCTACCTGTGATTATATATCTACTGTCTAGTCTACCTCTGATTATATATCTACTGTCTACTTTACCTGTGATTATATCTACTGTCTAGTCTACCTGTGATTATAAATCTACTGTATGGTCTACCTGTTATTATATATCTACTGTCTAGTCTACCTGTGATTATATATCTACTGTCTAGTCTACCTGTGATTATATATCTACTGTATAGTCTACTTGTGATTATATATCTACTGTCTATTATACCTCTGATTATATATCTACTGTCTACTCTACCTGTGATTATTTATCTACTGTCTAGTCTACCTTTGATTATATGTCTACTGTCTAGTCTACCTGTGATTATATATCTACTGTCTACTATACCTGTGATTATATATCTACTGTCTAGTCTACCTGTGATTATATATCTGTCTACTGTCTAGTCTACCTGTGATTATATATCTACTGTCTAGTCTACCTGTGATTATATATCTACTGTCTAGTCTACTTGTGATTATATATCTACTTTATAGTCTACCTGTGCCTATAGTGGGTTGACCTGCGCAGCGTTTACGTGGTTTGGAAAGGATCATCCAATATTTCCAAACTCATGTTTTATATTCTCCTCCTGCTCTACTGTTAGGTTAGTTTATAATGTATTATATCAACCAATTAACGAGGTAAATAGATATATCAATGAACTTAACAGAGCAACTAACAAAGAGAACAAACTCAGTTTTGCATCTAGGGAAACATGTTCCAGAGGGAACAAAAGAAGATGAAAATCTACATAATATTATGCATAATTTTTCTGTAGGAAACATAAAAATTAAAAATGTCTTCTTCTAACTGATAATTGGAGATCCATTACTCTTCAAAGCACTGATACATTAAAAACCAACTATAAACACACAAGCAGTTCCCACTTCTACTGTCGTCTCCCCTAGTTCTGGAATGAAGGTTTTCACAAGTATAATTACTGATGCGGAGTATTTTGAAACCCTAGAACCTGAGAAATCTTTGCAATCCTGCTCCTCCTGCAACGATCATGAACTGTGAATACTGTATCCTCTGTTTTACATGCGTGCAATAACCAAAATCTGATACACCAGCTTGCTTGCCATCTTCAGCTTACATTGCTGATCAATGCATTTTATTTCATTATGCTAAACATTAATGATAAATCGTTTCTATAATGAAATATTGTTTAAATTCTGAGTTGTGTTTCTCATTCTAAATCTTGGGGGAATTTGTTCTTTTTTAAATTGGGTGAATAATTCCTTTATTTTTTTCTACTGTAGAAGATCTGAGAAAGCAACTTCCGGTCCCTCTTCCTGTTCCTGTGGCGCAGCATATGCTTGTCAAGGAGTCAAAGGAAACTTTGTTAAACTTCAGGTTGTCTTATTTAGTTTCAAATCAATTTTTCAAATATTAACTCCTCATTAAAACAAGAATATATATAATTCCTGTTACAAAGGTTTAAAAAGGCTGGTTTAAATGAGGCATACAACTTTTTTAATTAAAATCAACTTAAAATTCGTCGGTACTCGACAGTTCCTTTAAATCAATTTTGTATAATCCCTGCAAAATCGACAAGCTCCGATTGAATGTTTGAAATGGTACTTTTATATATATATATATATATATATATATATATATATATATATATGTTTTTAGTTGAATATTAGAGAGGAAAAAACCTGTCATTCATTATGCAGTGAAAACTCAAGGTTAGTTAATAATATCAAAACTGTTGGAAAAGAAATCTTTAAGAAACAAATAAATAGAAATAAAAACCATTTTGATTTTAGAACACAATTTTGTATTCGAAAACTATATTATCAATATTTTAATTCTTTAAAGGAATTGAGTTTTTGCCACAAACTCTGATATTCTAAATTCAATATCGTTGCAACCCAATGCCTTTAATATATTAAACTTTGAATTTTGTTAGATCAAATAATGTAAGTTTGAAATATCAAAGGTTTACATCATAAAGTTGCAAAGATATAGATTTTACAAAACTGAATGTGTGGCAAAGACTCAAATCCTTTGAACAGAGATACATGAACTTGTTCCAAATGGTCAACTTCGCATATCTGCATGAAATTTAAATGTGTACAAGACGCAAAAAATAAGTATGATGGGTAAGGGGACTGGTTCTATACTGGTCTAATTTGTCCAGACTCCGGTTAAAAATACTAAATAGAAGAAGGTATTTAATAACGGGAAGGTATTTTATTTACTTTCAGAAATTTCCCAATAGTTTTCACGAGAAAAAAAGGAATGTCAAAAACTTTAAATTTTCTCCAGTTTATTCAGAACACATGAGAATGCATCCCCACTTTAATCATGTTTAATCTCTTTAAATTCTACTCCCCCCCCAATGCATATTTATATCTCCAGACCCCCGTCCCCAGTCTTATTAGGGTTAAATATTAAATTTTTGCTTTAAACCTAATCTTTTTAAAGTTTGATTGAGAGTTTAATCAATTGATATGTTTGAATTGATATGTTTGAATTCTCAGAAAATGAATAAGAAACTGTTTGAGAAAGGGGAAATAATCTAAATTAAAAATTCATAAATATACAAAAAAGAATCAAATGCATAAAATAAACATACAATTTTATGGAATGGTATTTTAGTTTTGATGTCAAGAGAGCTCTAGATCTTTAAAAAAAAAAAAATCAAATTTAAGGCACTTTAGTGGATTTTATAAGGAGATATCAATGACCAAAAAACACAATATTTTCTTATTTTGCGAATACTACTTTTTTCCATGTAATAAAGAAATTGAAAATTATGAAATTAATTGATAATTAATTCTTGAGCTAATCTAATCACTGGACTTATTGATATTTGATATTTTAAAGTTTGACTTTTTAATTATTTTGGATACATAATTTGGATACATAATTTGGATAGATAATTTGGATACATAATTTGGATACATAATTTGGATACATAATTTGGATACATAATTTGACAAAAGGACACAACATCAGGTTGCAGAGATATTGTTTAAGAAGTTAAAGTTTGAGAAGACCTTGCATTTATATTTTAACGGAAGGTTGATTGATACTAATCTACAAATATTCATATGTATTGCAGATGTAAGTTTTATACTTGGTTTGGTTTGGATAATGCTGTATTCACGAACTACTGTTTCCTCTTCTCATCATGCGACCAGGTTCAACACAATTTAAAATAAACTTTTAAACCAAAGTTTTACTTCCAAAAGATAAACATTATGTTAGCTTTTAAAAGTTGTGTGGGTGGGGGAGAGAGGGGGAGTGTCACAATAAAAGATTCACAAGGAGTTTGATTTATTAAGAAAATATGTCAAATAAACTGAAGACTCGCCTCAAACTGCAATTTTCTAGCCCTTTATCATTGCAATCTAATGTTGTAAATCTTTAATATTTTAAACTTTGTTACTACATCTTGCACAGTCATAGTTTCATTAAAAGGTTTTACACAATCAGGTTGCAAAAATATAAGACGGAAGGTTTGATGGCTCCTCTACTCCACAAACACAAATTTGCAAAAAATGAATTTATTTTAAACCTACAAAATACAGTTTTAGTAAAAATAAAATATTGGTAAAATTGTTTTTAATGATTAATTGGGTTCGATTGGATTGGATAGGATTTGGAATGGATTGGATTGGATTAGGTTGGATTGTATTAGGTTGGATTGGATTGGTTTGCATATGATTTGGATTGGATTGCATTGGATAGGATTGGATTGGATAGGATTGGATAGAATTGGATTGGATTGGATTGGATTGAATTAGATTGGATTGGATGAGGTTGGGTTGTATTTGGTTGGATTGGATTGGATTGGGTTGGATTTGATTTGATTTGATTTGATTTTGGTTTGATTGGATTGGGTTTGATTGGATTGGATTGGATTGGATTGGGTTGGATTGGATTGGGTTTGATTGGATTGGGTTGGATTGGATTGGATTGGGTTGGATTTGATTTGATTTGATTTGAATGATTTGATTTTGATTGGATTGGATTGGGTTTGATTGGATTGGATAGGATTGGATAGGATTGGATTGGATTGGATTGGATTTGATTGGATGAGGTTGGGTTGTATTTGTTTGGATTGGATTGGATTGGGTTGGATAGGATTGGATTGGATAGGATTGGATAGGATTGGATTGGATTGGATTGGATTGGATTAGATTGGATTGGATGAGGTTGGTTTGTATTTGGTTGGATTGGATTGGATTGGGTTGGATTTGATTTGATTTGATTTGATTTTGGTTTGATTGGATTGGGTTTGATTGGATTGGATTGGATTGGATTGGGTTGGATTGGATTGGGTTTGATTGGATTGGGTTGGATTGGATTGGATTGGGTTGGATTTGATTTGATTTGATTTGAATGATTTGATTTTGATTGGATTGGATTGGGTTTGATTGGATTGGATTGGATTGGGTTGGATTTGATTTGATTTGATTTGATTGATTTGATTTTGATTGGATTGGATTGGGTTGGATTGGATTGGGTTTGATTGGATTGGATTGGATTGGGTTGGGTTGGATTGAATTGGGTTGGGTTGGATTGGATTGGATTGGATTTTGATTTAAATCCTGGGATTAAAACATGAGTTGAGTAATAAATCTATAAGGAATTTGAAGAAAATTGATATTGCTTGTGAAATTAGGAAATGTAAAATTCTGAATGTATTGAAGACCCTGTCACCGGAATTCGAGGTGTGGTTGATAGATCTGGTTTGGTTGATAGATCTGGTTTGGTTGATAGATCTGGTTTGGATGATAGATCTGGTTTGGTTAAAGGATCTGGTTTGGTTGAAGGATCTGGTTTGGTTGAGGGATCTGGTTTGGTTGATGGATCTGGTTTGGTTAAAGGGTCTGGTTTTGTTGAAGGATCTGGTTTGGTTGATGGATCTGGTTTGGTTGATGGATCTGGTTTGGTTGATGGATCTGGTTTGGTCAAAGGGTCTGGTTTGGTTGAAGGATCTAGTTTGGTTGAAGGATCTGGTTTGTTTGATGGATTTGGTTTGGTTGATGGATCTGGTTTGGTTGATGGTTCTGGTTTGGTTAAAGGGTTCTGGTTTGGTTAAAGGGTCTGGTTTGGTTGAAGGATCTGGTTTAGTTGAAGGATCTGGTTTAGTTGATGGATCTGGTTTTGTTGAAGGATATGGTTTGGTTAAAGGGGTCTGGTTTGGTTGAAATCGTTCAAAATCGTACTTTTGAGTGGATACGTTTTAGAATTGTTTTTTTTTTAATTATTAAATGACGACGACAAAAAAATGTAAACAAAATTCTAACTAACTAATTAGTTGTTCAGGAACAGGTTGAGAAAATAGAAATTAATCTTATCATCGAAGATAAGTAATCTTGTTCAATTAATAGTTTCTATTTTCTCAATATTCTAGTTTCTCATTATTCACAAAGGTTTTCTGCAGATTTTCTGGAATTAATATCTAAAAGACGACATTTGAAGAATTTGTAGAAATCTGCGATCAAATTCATAGAAAATAAGAAATTCAATATAATAAAGAAAACGAAGTAATTGATTCTTGCATTGATTTATTGGCCTTTTGAGAAATGTGTTCCTAACCATCTAATTAGTTTACTGTATAATTTTTACTTTATTTTTCGTCATCGTTATTTAATAATTACAAAAAACGATTCTGAAAACGTACCCAGCCAAATTCGTGATTTTAGACATCGACTATGCACTCAAACTCATTAATCATACCTCGTGGAAAAGTTTTATACGTCTCACATCAATCCTAAATGATTTATTATTATTAGTCATAAACTCTATTTTTTCATCCCTTTCTCTTTAATATTTGTTAACTTTAATGTCATAGTAATTTGTTTGTACATTCAGGCTGCAAAGAAAAAAAGAATTAGAAAATTTGAGTTTGAGGCGAGAGTAACCAATTCCTTTCTATATATATTATAATTTTGATTTCTAGAAATCTTGCAGCTGCAAATCTTGCTTTAGGTAAATATTAGAATGAATATAAATAAAAACAAGTAATAATAATTTGCATTCTCTTCTTCGTCAAATTAGGTTTTTTAATTTTAAGATTTTTATGAAGAGGAGAAAAAATGTAATTAGTAATTGTCTTCAAGATTGAGATTTTAAAGGAACTTATTTCCTAAAATCATTTTCTATAATTATAAATTTATAATATCTTGAAGTTATAATTCTTAAATATTATTTATCAATATTTCTACAGTGGACCCTCTTCATGCTTTCAATACACACTTACACCTGATATATCAAGCATTCCTTTATCCTCATCATTCTCATCATCATCATCATCATCATCGTCATCTTCATCTTCATTCCTTAGTTCCTCCCTCTCTACATTATCTACAGGTAAGATACTAGGGACACCAGGGATACCGAGGATACCAGAGATACCAGGGATACCAGGGATACAAGGATTAATATGGATACCAAGGATACCAGGGATACCAGGGATACCAGAGATACCAGGGATACCAGGGATATCAGGGATACCAGGGATACCAGGGATACCAGGGATACCAGGGATACCAGAGATACCAGGGATACAAGGGATACCAGAGATACCAGAGATACCAGGGATACCAGGGATACCAGGGATACGAGGGATACCATTGGGCTGTAACTAAGTATATTACAGGACTAGAGACTGGTAAAATCCCTGTACCTGGGTCAGGTTCTGAGAGTTTTCTCTCTCTTCTCCCACCTCCTGGATCTCCTCCGACCCTTGGTTCAGGAGCAGGGTCAGGACAGTACAATCCTACCGCAGGATTATTGAGTACTCAAGGTAAAGCTAAGATCCACCTTAATTGAATATTTAAAAATAATTTTATATATTATATTCCCCAATATTCGTTTATAAGAAACCCTTGAGAAAATTATTATTAATCTTTTCATCGAAGGTTTAAGTGGCATATTGTATTGTAACAAAGATTATCTCGCTAGACTACAATGTTTTTTTGTATGCAGGAGGAACTTCTAATTCAGGGGGAACTTCTAATTCAGGAGGCACTTCGAATTCAGGAGGCAATTCGAATTCAGGAGGACCTTCGAATTTAGGAGGCCCTTTTAGCTCTGGAAACTCAGGAGATAATTTGAATTCTGTTGGTTCAGTTCCTCTAGGAAAAGATCAAAATTCTTTTAACAAAAATAAATTTTTTCAGAACCAAAAATATTGATTAAATATTTAAAGTTTTCCTAAATTGATCTTGATCTTGTGTCTATAGATGGAAGTAAACTGGAAAAGTATGGAAACACTGTTATTAATTATATGCCTGCGCTGAAGTGGCTACTGGTTCTCATCAAGAACAACAAGAGTTTAAACGACGTAAAATAATTAAAAATTACAAATTTGCAAATTCAAGGAACTTTCAAAGCTTTGTTTGGAAAGAAAAGTGTATTACTGTTGTAGGAAGAACTGTAAACAAAAGTGCGAGGTGTTTTTTTTTTTAGTACTTTATCCAGAAACTGCAAGTCTGCAGTACACAGTTTTTTGTAAACAAAGAAATAAAATTGAAATAAAGATTGTAATAATGGAAATGAAAAAAACGTATGCAAAATATTTAAACCATGATAAAGTGCATAATATGCAAATTTTATATCATTAAGTTCGCCCTGTGTGTACTAAACCTAAATAGTTACAAATCCGTTTAATTTTCAAATTATGTAAATTGTTATTAATCAAAGTTGGTTGAATAAGCCTCAACTTCAATAATGCTCCGTCGGACCGAGGACATTTGAATAAAATGATCAACGAGTGCCATTTACATACAGGGTTACCCACAAAAGATGAGACTTTAATGAGACTATATAATCAAATAAGCTTGCAAAGACAGAAACTGGAGGCTACCAGAAAGAAAATAAAACTCATGATCTGTGGGTCACCCTGTATTATAGATATATGTGATGTTCGTTTAAAATGAAAAGTTACCAACAAAGGGTTCAACCTAAACAACAAATGAATGCTTAAAAGCAATTTTGCTCAGAGGCCAAAACTTTTGGTATTTGAATCTCCGGCTAATTCGAGCATTCCAGGCTAAGCCGGAGATCTTTATGTTGACGGGTAAACCTGAACCGCAGAAATTACTGCTGAGGTGAAATTCTGTCAATGGTAGATTTGGGACAATGAAGACTTTAAATCCGGTATATTTCTGTACACTAGATATTGAGTTTAGTCGTTGAATCCCTGGGCTGAGCAGGAAATCCAACTCAAAAGTTCTCAGCTCATCGGTCTGTTATTTATGGGGTTTGTTTACTTAACATATGTAATATTATTCTGATTTATTATCTTCTATTTTCGTTCCTAGTTTTTTATATGGAAAAGTTTGAGGAAGACGATATTTGTCAGAATCATATTTTCCATTTTCCTCCTAAATGTAAGAATACTAGCGAAATGTCGATGATAAAATCTTAAATTACATCAGTATATAACCCTCACTCAATATCTAAAAATAGAATTTTCTGGTCAAGCGCTAAACATTTACCTAACAAGCTTTAATTTTATATTTATTAAAGATAAATTTTATGTACAATGTATGTCGACAGTGGACATGTTAGTAGAGTCCCAATACAAATGTTGACTACATGGTCACCCACAAAGAATGAGACTTGAGAAACGACTGTTCACAATTCTTTTAGTCTTTTTTCTGAGATGCAGCTGGTCCCTTGCAGGTGCATAACGTTTTCATTTTTTTGAAAAACGATCGTTTTTTTCGTTTTCCTATCGTTTTTTGTTTCTTTTTCCGATCGTTTTAAAAACTATCATTTTTTTAAAAAGTTTTTAAAACGATTGTTTTTAAAATGATCGAAAAACGAAACAAAAAATGATAGGAAAACGAAAAAAAAACGATCGTTTAAAGATTTTTTTTTCAAAAATGATTAAGAATCCTACATATAGGTGCATATTTTTGCCGGAGAATTATATATACTTTTTATAAAATTAACTTGGTGTAAAAGTCCAAATTCATCCTTCCAATCATCATATTTCAAGAGTTTTAGGTATTCATTACAGTCTTATTCTTTTTGGGTAACCCTGTAGTTTTTATCTAAGAAGTTTAACAGTATGAAATGTTTCAAGGCCTGAGACAAAAATTGTTGAATGATTGGGATGTGATAGTTGAATTAGGGTTGGCTGGTTCAATTATTTCCAAAGTATAGTTTAATCTCATTTTATTTTAGAAAGCTTGTCAGATTCACCAAGCTTTCAATATGGTTCAAATCGAATCTTATTTTACAAATGTCCAGTTCTGTATTTATAAAAAACATGGATTAGATTGTTCATCCACACCATTCTGCACAACAATCAAAACATAATCACGATCTAAAAAAACAAATATGAAAAAATAAATGGACACAAATGATCACTTAAATTCAAAGCTAAACTAAAAAATATAATGCCATTAGAGCTATAGTATAAAGCAAAATGTATTTTATAATTTGTTTTAAACGAATATAATCGAACTTTTCTTATAAAGAAAATCTTTTTTCTTCTGGTAAATTACGTCGACTCGGCTTAAAAAAATGAAAAAAATGATTAAGAATTTAAAGACTATTTCAAAAGTAGGCACTGTGTTATTTTGATTATTACACCCAGTACCTGGTGCAACCAATATTTCATTCTTCTCAGACCTGAAATAAAGGATAAATTTTAAAATAAAGAAAAATACCAGTGGTCTCTGCAGACACAATTACTCAACGCAATTACTTTAAAAACATTCTAAATTACATTGAACGCCAACCATTTAATTAGATGTTTTATATACTGTCATCGTTTTAACGTTTATCTTTCAACTGCTGACAAATAATCAAAACAGAAATATAGTGAAATGTCCAGCAATTGTGTTTCAAATATTCATATCTGCTTACAGCGATCATATGAGATGAAGTTTTTCTAACTTTGTTGCCAATATTTTAATCTCATTACAAAAGCACGAAGCAAAAATTATTCAGTTAAAAAAATGAAATCTTTTTTAGGAAATTTTTTCATTGAAACCGTGGTGATATTTAATACGTTTTACCTTAATCGGATAAAAGTCAATTCATTGTTGGGATCCATATTCTTTATCATATTTTTAGCCTGGAATAAAAATATAAACGTTTATAAAATTTCCTTAAACTTGCTTTTAGTTATTAAAACTTTGATAAAAATCAACGTGATTGAAATAACTTTCAACAACAAAGGGGGGATTAGCGTTAAGCCCTGATGTAACAAAAAGATTTTGAAGTCCCTAATTTTTTGCTTATTGCTAAAATTTTTAGTTTAATCTTATTCTTTATCAAATTTGAATACGAACAATTTTGACAAAAATTAACAGTCGATATTTAAATTTTTTAAGCTTTGAATGTGTTGCTTATGTTCATATTTTCGAAATAAAATTAAATGTAAATTAATAAGTTTCAAAAAATTAAGCATCACAAATATTACTATAAAGGAATCGAATCTTTGTAACAAACTCTGATTTTCTAATACCTTTATTTTTTCCACCTGATGTTGTAAACCTTTGATATTTCAAACTTAGATTTCTTCATCAATTCATAGTTTGAAATATCTAAGGGCTACGGCATTGGATTACAAAGATATTGAGATTAAAAAAATCATAGTTTGTGACAAAGACTCAATTCCTTTCCAACCTGTAATGTTAAAGATGTAAGGAGAGCAGTATATTGAACTGTTAAATCATTGTCAAGTGTACTTTTTACAGGAACTCCTAAACAGCTGGTGGCTTAAAACTTGTTGAAAATTATTAAAAAGTTGTATTGTTTCATTTAATTAATAGCAAGAAGAAGTTAAACTACGTAAACATAGTTGAACCAGGTTTCTTGTGCGCCGGTTCAAGTTTAGGAGAAGTAGTTCAGCTCAGTCAACGTAGTTCAACTACGTCTAGAAGTTCATAAAAGCTGGTTCCTTGGTAAATCATTGAGATTATTCCTTAGAAGTCATTTGTTGTAGTTTTTTTATCTTACTTACCATCCATATTTACAACCATTAGTCCTTGGACACCCTGTTATTCGTTCAAAAATATAAATCCCCCCCTCCCCATTTTTTGTGGTAAATCACGAAATCTGGATTTCGTAGCATGCCACAGATGTGAGTTCAGTGAAATTTAATTTTAAATTCTGGGACAGGTAAACATTAGAAAATAAAAAGTGAAAAATTCATGTCAATAAAGACAATCTACAGGGAAAAGAAATAAAAGCTGTTTTAATATGTGTTCCGTCTACACTGCATACATTGTTACAAAGTTAAAATGAAAAAGTCTAAGTTTATGTTTTTCAGTTTTTAAGAAAAAATATGAACATTGCTGAACGATTCCTCATGTTGTCCGATCCTTTTTAAAGTTTCTTCTAGCTCACGACTCTAAAAACAGGTTGGAGGTGGTAAAAAAATGAAAAAATTTAAATTAAAAATTTTTTACTTTGTTCTTGTCTCGTGGAGCCATTTTTGTCTAAAATATAGTTAAAATTTAAGGTTTAAAATATTAACAATTTTTACACAGGTGCACAAAAAAAGAATTAAATCTCGTCTAAAAGGCTTTTTAAATAAATAGTTGGATGTTAACTTCAGAATTTTATTCATTTTAAAGTGTTTTGTAATATTTTAGTAAAAGTTGTAATTTGTGCTTTAAAGCTGAAAAAACACTGTAAAAGAAATTTGTTAAAGTTCTCATTTGACAGTTGCAATGCATCGTTTTTATTTATTGACTGAAAAATATATATATCTGAGAAAATATTTATTAAAAATTTTCAGAAGATTTGATAAGTATTGATGGATTTGAAGGTTTTGATGATACACTTCAGTAGAAAACCCGAGTTTTATTTTTTGGCAAATCTGAATTATATCAACTTTGACGTCCTGCTTAAATAATAATGAGATTCCGAGGACTGGGCAAGTTAAGAGTTTATGAATTACTGTAAAGTTTTGTAAAAACAAATTATGCAGATATTTTTCCAGCAAAATACACCAATATTTTAGTTTTAATAAAAGCTAGAAATTAAAGGGAAATCTCGCCTTTAACATTGAACAAACTATAATTTAGCTTTTTGTTATCTCGAGAGAAAAAGAGAAAAAGAAAAATATGAAAATGTTGCTACTTAACATCATGAGTAGAAATAATACTGTTTGGTTTATTTTAACATAAAGCTCTTCTTCTATGTACTTTCCGAACAGGAACTTCCATAGAATAATGTGTACTGTAGTTTCTGGGAGGAATGTAAATAATGTGTACTGTAGTTTCTGGGAGGAATGTAAATAATGTGTACTGCAGTTTCTGGGAGGAATGTAAATAATGTGTACTGTAGTTTCCGGGAGGATTGTAAATAATGTGTACTGCAGTTTCTGGGAGGAATTTAAATAATGTGTACTGCAGTTTCCGGGAGGAATGTAAATAATGTGTACTGCAGTTTCTGGGAGGAATGTAAAGAAATCACTGCAGAACGCTTTATTTTACTTTTTTATTTGTTTTATTCTTTAGACCTTATGTACCACTACCAGTACTATCGCAATTTCATGGAATTACGATCAATTTAAAAATATTTCTGTATGCCTGAGAATAATTGACTTTTCCCAACTTTTATACAGATATTTTCAGTAAACCTGCTGGTATTAATTATTTTTAGTTATGTTGAATTACTTTTTTTGATCACACAAATCCGAAGAGAATAGAATATATATTAGAGGGGAATTTACTAGAAAAAAGTATAAAACGGCCATTTTGTTGTACTGTTTCCATACTGCAGGTGAACTTCACATATTTGTGCTATATAACCTTTTGGGCCCTGGAACATCATTTTATAGAAATTTTAAAATTGATATTAAAAGAAAACCAAATTATGAAATAAGCTGGTTTCATAATTGACCAATGATCATTTCACATAGACTGTATGCCTTTCACTTAAAAAACGATTATTTTCCGTTATAACTATAAATCAAATGATGTTTTTTATTCGCCTAATTCATTTTATAAAGTTTATTAAACAGCTAAAAAAAACGAAATTGAAATAGATAGTCTAGAGAACATACTGTATTAATGTACTCTACTGCATATAATTTTTGAACATTTACATGATTTGTACACTTTGAACTCCCTTTCAGGCTGAAAGGGACTGAAAAAATTCATACCGAGAGATTCTCTAAATTCCCCTCTAATATATATTCTATTCTCTTTGCACAAATCACATCACTTCAAACTTCTCGGATTTTGGTATATCCCCACTGCTAGATACATGAATAGTACAAAATGAGATTAAAGCTTGGACTGAAATAAATTTTTCCCTGTCAATTATTAATTTCCCATGTTTTAACCTTTCTTCTTTCAAAACGGAAACATCACAAAAGATAATTAAGTTATTGAAGTTTCAAAAATTCTCAAAACAAGAAACACCCTGTATAAATAAGATTAAATTGTATTGGTCAGACATGTTGAAGATCTAAAAAACTATGTGCATTTTGCAAAAAAAGTATACATATTTGCAAGTATGTGTATTGTGTAATGAACATCATTAAAAATCTTTGAAAATCTAGTTGCGAGGAATTACAAATACTCATCATATTTCTCTTTATTTATTCAACGTTTTAAATCATTCATAATTGTCAGTAATAAGGTTCATCATTGTAATATTATTCTACAAAACATTTAACAATTTTAACAAACAATAAAATCTTCTTGTTTCAACGGTTCACTTCAGTTCTTTACACCTTTCCAGACCTGCCAAACCTAAACCAGTCTTAGGTCTTAGTAAACATGGAGGTTAGGTTGGTATTAAAATGATTTAATTATACTGATAAAACTATGAAAGAGGAAGACGAATTGTGGAGTGTAAACAGACCCATTCTACTAAATTATTTCATTAAAAATTAATTAAAAATTAATAAAAAATTTAATAAGTGTGCAGTAGAACTATTTGATTTGTAATAGCATCAAATAAAGTTAAGTATTGATATAATGTCGTCTTTCAATTCCATTGTTTTCTGGTTATCACTTTATTATTTGGTAATGGAAGTAAAAGTAAAAGTAAATTCAACCTAAAGTCTAACCGTGTCAACCTTAATGCACCGGCTACTCCTTTTGAGTACCTGCTTTATTTACCCAATGTCTGGGCGATACTTTACAAACTAGGACCGGAAAGGTTGACCCGGCTCGGAAATTAAAATGTACTACGGCTGCCCGTGAGGCCTTAAAAGGACTGTTAAGGTAAAATAAAAGGGGTAATAGGCTGAATCCTAAAAATGTTATGAGTTCTATTCGAAGTCCCTGTCTCGAGAAATTGATATAAAACTGTGTCAAAGTTAAAAAAAACTCATATATACGCCATCGGTGAAAATTCTGGGCATGTAATGATGTGATACAGACCGAGCCACGTGACCAGATACTGCACTGCCATTGGCGGAAATTTTGGTCACGTGATACAGACGTAACAACTATAATATCAGTTATATCTATTACAAATGAATAAGTATTATATTAAAGTATAATAGGAGCTTACCTAATAATATTAGTCACCTCTGGTTTGGCCTAATTTTCAGATTTGTTCCGAAATTGTATAAATTCGATAGATAGAACTAATATTGGTCGCAATCAACTCATAAAATATTTAGGCTTTAGCCTAAACCCCCCTTTTAAATTACCTTAACAGTCCTCTTAAACCCGTAACTGAAAATCGTGATTACTCCCTTTAGATTTTATTTTGCACTAAACTGGGTGAACAATGATTGAACACTAATGTAAGGAAATAATATTTATAAACTGGTGAAAACTTTTACATTTTCCTAAATTAAAATATTAAGTTTTGTTAAAAGCATGCAACTTTAATGTCGGAATTGACGGAAAAGGTGAAAGTCTTCTTAATGGATTAATAAAATGGGTTTAGGAGGGGGGAGTGGTAGTTACAGGGAGAAATGTATAAAAATACTAAACAAAAAATATAAAAGGATTGTGTGAAGAAAATTAATTAAACACTTTAAAAAGAATTCTTTTAATTTCTAATTTATATTCTATAACTTCTTGACTATGTATAACTATGACTTTAACCCTAGACATTTTCACGAAAAAAATCCCTCAACGTTTATTCAAATTACAATTTTTTTCTTCATTTTTGTTGAAATATTTGCAAAAAAAAATAAAGTTTTTTAGAATTTAATTCCTTGTTTGTAAAGATTGAAAGCTGAAAGGTATAATTAACAATTGTTTAACTTTTTCTAACAATTCGACATTTGTTGTTCTTTTATTGGATTAAATGGGATGGTCGTAAATACAGTGATAACCAGAAAACTCAGGAAGAAGACTTTAAATCAATACTTAAGTGAATTTGATATTGTTCAAAGCAAATAGTTTTACTAAATGACAAATAAAATGAAATGGTTCTTTTTCTACTACACAATTGCTGTATCACGTGCATATTGTACTATTTAAAGTCAAAAATTGAGTCTAAAAGTTGTCTCCTATTACAGCGTTTTCTGGTTATCACTGGAAGTCCGTGTAAGCAAGAATGTTACCTGAGAAAAACATGGCTGGGCTCTCCTTTCCTCTTCACATTACCAGCATACAGTCCTGGAGTCTCATGAGAAGCTAAACAGAAAAATTTTCTGAAAACATAATCTTTAAAAAACATCATGCTGAGTTTGATATTTGTACTGTAAGACATATGACCACAACTGACCGAAAATAACCACAAATGACCTGTCTCCTTGTTATAAAGAACCTGATTATTTGAGTGAATGAACTGAATAAAACTTTTAACTTGAAAAGCATATTTCTTAAAATAAAATTCCTCTCCTAAGTTGAGTAAAAAGTATTAGAACTAAAGAGAGGAGAACATTGATGATTTATATGGAAATCTGGTGCAAGAGAATTCAAATATCAAACAAAGAATTACTATTTAATCAGCGTTGTTTGTTTACAAAAAAGCTAGTTTTAGGACTGTCCTGATTTGTCACTGCAGTAAAATTGATAACAACTAGCATAGGAGTTCCCGGGGAATAGATAAATAATCGCGCCAAATTTTTTTTTCTACCGCAAATTCCGCCTGTTGGTGCCTGAAATAAGAACATTTTTGCGGAAATTCCGCGTTTTGTGCGCTATTGTGCATCGACTGCGCTTGCCTACGCAAAATTCATTTTTGTGTAAAACTGCGGAATTCCGCAGAAAGGTTTCCGGAAAATACCTCCATCTCCTTAGTGCTAATGCCCCTATTACCTGTATCCCTTATTCCACGGTTATTTGTAGGAAACTGTTCATGTTCATGAAGAGCTTTCATTATCATATCCAGGGCCTCACAGATCCGCTGTAATCTAAATAAACATTACACGTACGCTGTACAGAGTACACAACATAAAACGGCTATACATGTACACTATTCACCACGTACAACGGGTATACATGTACACTTTTCACCACATACAACTGGTATACATGTGAACTGTATAGTGTACATAACTAACATATCCTGTCAAAGGATGCCCCATAGCTTCTGCTTCTTGAAATAAATAAGTTGTAAGTAAGACTCTTAAATATTAAACTTAATCTTCGCCCCCTTCCCATTATTCAATATTTCTCTTTTCAATTGAAAGGTTTTTGAACTTTTAAGAGGTTCGATAAAATCTGGAATGTCTTAAAAATTCTTTTGCATGGCATCTTCTCTCAGGATAAACTGTTTGCTTTAAATGTGGAATTAGAACGTCTTAAACTTTTCTAAAAGTTTAAAGAACAATTAAAAGTAAAAAAACGAAGCATTTATTTCCAGTTAACTGCCAGATGACCCTGTCAATCTTTTTACCTTTCTGGTAGGTTGGATCTGATTGCGCAGGTCTCTTTAATTTTCCAACTACTGTAAACAATATTTATTCAGAAACCACAGATAGGGATTAAAGGTGTTAAAGGGAATATTTTATTTTAATCAATGAAATCTGGTTTCGGATCCTCTCCTGTTGTCTATTTGGGCTACAGAAAAAATTTAACAATCAAGCGATCAAATTTTATTAAAATTTAAACAATCAAGCGATCAAATTTTATTAAAAATTAATCGATCAAGCGATCAAATTTTATTAAAAATTAAACAACCAAGCGATCAAATTTTATTAAAAATTAAACAATCAAGCTATCAAATTTTATTAAAAATTAATCGATCAAGCGATCAAATTTTATTAAAAAATAAACAATCAAGCGATCAAATTTTATTAAAAATTTAACAATCAAGCGATCAAATTTTATTAAAAATTAAACAATCAAGGGATCAAATTTTATTAAAAATTAAACAATCAAGGGATCAAATTTTAATAAAAATTAAACAATCAAGCGATCAAATTTTATTAAAAATTTAACAATCAAACGATCAAATTTTATTAAAAATTAAACGATCAAGCGATAAAATTTTGTTAAATTTGTCGCAATGCCTTGGGCTTTGATTTTACCGCTCTATCTCACTTATGCTTTACTGTAGCACTTTCCATTTACATTTTAGTACTATAAAGCACTTGTTGTTAACTTTAGTTTATAAGAAATAATTAGAAAAATTATCATAGACTTTTTGCTGGAGACCTTAACACCCTGAAATCACAGTGCATTAGATTGGTAAAAACTACATTTAATAAGATAAAAATAATATATTTCTAAAAATTATTGATTAACATTTGTAGTGCTTGTAAAACAAGGGTAAAAGTTTTGAGAAGTTTTACATGATGGAAATATTTGAATACTTGAGGAAATATTGCCTTGATGGTGAAGCTAGGGTTAGAAGGAGAAATCCAGAATATAGAATTATATATCGGACCAACATCATCTCTGAAACCAGGGTATAGAATTATTTGATAAAGAGGCATGGTTGAACCATCATAGACGTGGTTCAGCCACTTCTCTCCAGCTGAATCGGAACCCAAGTAGAGTGTTTGAACTATGTATGCGCGGTTCAGCTTCTTATCGCTGTTCATTTAATCCAGGTTTTTTTTGTTTTCTCGTGTTGAAGACTATGTAGGATATCTTGATTTTCTAAATCAAACAAATTCCTAAGCATGTACTGTACATACATTGTCCAGAGTAATCGCATTTTTTTATAAGCGTTCATACAATATTTTTTATATCTAATTGCAACCCAATGTGTTAGACCTTTGATATTTCATAAAATGAGTTCTGTTAGGTCAATTAATCTAAGTTTAAAATATTATAGGTTTACACCATCAGATTGCAAAGATATATGGATATGGACTCTTTAGTTTATATTGAACACTTGTGTGTATGAATGGAAAGTACTACACGACACTCTTATGTACTCCATAGTCTATATGCAATACTTGTATGAATGAATGTTATAAACTACACAACCCTCTCCATAGTCTATATCGAATACTTGTATGTATGGTAAGTACTACACAACACCCATACGTACTCCATAGTCTAAATGGAATACTTGTTATAAACTACACAACCCTCCCCTGTACTCTATAGTCTGTATGGAATACTTATATGCATGAATGGTAAGTACTACACAACCCTCTCCTGTACTCTATAGTCTATATGGAAGACTTGTATGTATGAATGGTAGGTACTACACGACACTCTTACGTACTCCATGGTCTATATGGAATACTTGTATGCATGAATGTTATAAACTACAAAGCAATATATACACTCTGTAAAGAAGATATATGCGCGCTGTATAAACTAAGCTCTCTTCTCTCTAAACATTAATTAATTTAGATTAAAAACATTTTATACTCTGTAAACATTGACAACGACAGGGGAAACAAAGGGATTGAGGGTAATGTTTAGTTCCGAGTTTTTATTTGTAAAATCAATTCGGCAAATAAAAATAATATGTTTATGATTGAGATCTAAATCAAACGAACTGGTTGAATTGGTTTAGATCAATTATTCAAATTTTTAAATGTTAAGGTTCGAATTATCAGGTTGCCAAGATTGGAAACTTAGAGTTTGATTCGAGTAAATTTTTCCTTTTAAATGGAAACTTGTCCGTCTATAAAATAGAATAAACAGTAAGAAAGACTAAGAGGTCTAGCGGGTGCAAATTTAATTGCAAAAATCCTTTGTTTTTCCAACAGAGACGGAAGTAATTGACTTTTTTAGTTTCTAAATTAAGAAAATCTATGTGATAAGATTATAATATAATAAGATTTTTTATGATTGAATTGTACCTGAACGTAAAACTAAAATAAAACCCTAAAATTACGGTTTCCATTCGCAATAATAGCGCACAGTTTAGTCTGATGCTGTATTACTTATCTGCACAATTTTATCTGGTTGAATTCTACAAAACAAATCGTAATGTTTTTTCTTCAGTTTCTCTGATGTTGCTGTAGAAGAATAATACGCATTATTGCGCTAAATATTACTGCAAAAATTGTGAATTTTCTCAAAGGCTAGTTTTGAAAATTTATGTTCAAATTATTTTTTAACGGTAAGTTAAACGGAATTTGGTGAAATATTCCTAACATTGAATAACAAATTTTGCGCATGGAAACTTTGCCAATTAAATGTGTCGAATTCTATCGTGTTTGACTGTAGTTTGTATGAGTTTACAGTTTTAATCAATTTTAATTTCATCTTGACATGGAGAAAAATCTTATTATGCAAATTCACGTCCTTTTTGAACTATTTTGTAGGTTGTGGATATTATTAATCTTGAACGCTAGATCTCAATATCCAATGTGGGCATGAACCCACAAGGTTTTACCTCAGATCAACATCTAATCTGAACTTTTTTTAGAGTTAAAATTTGATGACTAGAGGGAACGGCCAATGATTATCAGATTTGATGTTTCGTAAAAAAGTAAGTAAAAGTGTTTTTGCGCTCGAGCATTGAAGTTTGTTTGTCATTTGTTTTTATCCTTCGCGTCGTGGAGTGACATAGATAACAGACGAGGGTCAAGTTTTTAATCCTTCACCTTCATCTTGGAAATCGTGCACGAATAGTTGCTCCTTTGTGTTACAAGCGGAGAAATAAACAACATTTAAACTTGGAATTGAGTTTTTGCCACAAACTCAGATTTTCCTATCCCTATAACTTAGCAACCTGTTTTCCTAGACCTTTGATATTTCAAACTATTAATTCTGGTAGATCAAATAGTCTAAGTTTGAAATATCAAAGGTTTACACCATCAGGTTGCAAAGATATTGGGGTTAGAAAATATCAGTTTGTTGCAAAAACTCAATTCCTTTAAATAGTTTAACGGCAAAGAAAATTATATGTTTTTTATGAAATTACACCTCCCCCCCCTTCTTGCTGGCCTGGGGGGGGGGGGGAATCTTGCTTTTTCCTGCACTCTGCTGAAGTTATTTTTAACCATATATGTATAGGGTTGAAAGATTTATTCACACACAAAGATATAAATACATATATAAATGGTGAAGTTAAAATTTGTTTAGATATTTTAAATATATAGTTTTACAAAAGAAAAAAGAAAAAATGCAAAATTATTCACAAATAGGAAACATTGTTCAATACTCATTACATAACATTTCAGTTATTCATCGAATCCTTCAACATATAAATTGTTAAATGAGAATTAAGACTCCATGGTGAATCAAATTGTTAAATGAGAATTAAGACTCCATGGTGAATCAAATTGATCTAACAAAATTTGTTTCTCACAAAAAAAATTTCACGGCTTTGGAATTAGATTCAATTTTTTTTTTGTAAAGTATTCACATACACAATTCACACAATATTTAGTGATCAAATTCACAAGAAAAAATATATTTGTTTTTGTGGAAACCAACGAACTCTTTTTAATTCTATTATATTCACTCTGGTGGATATATAGATAGATAGATAGATAAATTGATTGATCGAAATATAGATTGTGAGATAGATATATACAAGTTCAAGATGATATTTAAAAGCTAGGGTAAGTAAAGAAACTACACCAGTATAAGAAAGTCCTTGGTTTGAAAGTGACAATCTGAAATTACAGTATACGGTTTTACAATCAGAAACACAATACAAGATGCTTCAATCTATTTTTCTATTTATGGTAATTAGCTTCTTTATTTTTGTTCAATTTATACCATCGAACTTTTAACATTTTGTTTTGGACTCAATACTATTATCACTATTGATACTTGAACTCAATACTAAATTCATTCATATTCATCCTTTACTCTATTTCATTTTCACGAACACTCTTAGGATTTTTTAAACAAAGTATTAACACAATCATTGTTTTATGTGACTCAAAGAAGATATAAAAGTTCTTTAAAATAACTTAGGTACTGTACTTATTTGTACACTGTGCAGGGATTGGACATTTTTCAAAGGTCAAAGGGAGTGTCCCTGAAAAATTAAAGGGGTATAAGCTTCCGTCGAAAAGTATTCGATGGCGCATGCAACTAATCTTAATTCTATCTGTTGCGTCTATAAGGAGAAAATAGTTAAAAACGACTCATGCCGAAGAACATAGAGTCCATACAAATTTAGAAAGTTTTAGACTTGGATCATAAAAAAATCAATTTAAATCTAAACAAATCATTCAGATATTACAACCAATAGTCATCGATAATTTTTCGGCGCATTTGGATATAGTTTAAATTCTTAATATTTTTGATTTTTTTAAGTTAATATTTCGCTTACAACTTGTTTTCACGACTGGCGATGGTTTTTCAAACATTATGATAAATATTACTATCTAATTATATGCAGGTTTGGATATGTTTACAAAATCTTTGTTGTGGAGCACCAACATTAGACGCAATTCCAAGGGAGGTGCTTGACTTCATTCCAGCAGGTCAGTTCTAATCAGTTGTAGCCAGTTCTAACCAGTTGTAGCCATTTCTAACCAGTTGTAGCCAGTTCTAACAAGTTGTAGCCAGTTCTAACCGGTTGTAGCCAGTTCTAACCAGTTGTAGCCAGTTCTAACCAGTTGTAGCCAGTTCTAACCAGTTGTAGCCAGTTCTACCCAGTTGTAGCTGAAGTTCTAACCAGTTGTTGCCAGTTCGAACCAGCTGTAGCCAGTTCTAACCAGTTGTAGTCAGTTCTAACTAAATGCAGTTATCTCTAGCCAGTTCTGCCATTTCTTACCAATTATATTCATTACCAACCAGTTTTAATGAGTTTTTAACCTGTCTCGGTCAGTGCTAACCATTTTTAGTCAGTTCTTACCATTTTCAGTGAGTTTTAATTAGTTTTGCCCATCTAATTTTCTTGTTATGTTAAACGTATTATATGTTTCTTATGATATTAAAGGTAGCGAGCACCATTCTGAGTTCAATGACCCCATCGGAGAACTATTCAATATGCAGGTCATTTTATATTTTTGAAATTTCTTTCCATAAACAGGATTATTAAACACTCAGTGTCCGAATTTAATGAATTTAAGCCGAGTCTTAAATCCGCCAAAAACCGGTTTCAATTAAGCGCCGGCTTAAATCTTGAAACATTGAATACAATTTTAAGTGAAACCAACCATATTTGAGCGGCGCTCAAATTCTTTAAATTCGGTTTCAGATAGAAGAAAAATATGTAATAAAAAATCGAAGATATGAGAACCATTTCATACAAAACAAAGATTGAAAGGAAAACCTTTGTCCGAAAATTTGAGCCGCGGCTTAAATCTGCCAAAAACCGCTTTCAATTGAGCGCCGGCCTAAATCTTGAAAAATGCAAGACAATCTTAAATGGAATCTATTATTTTAGATTTAAGCCGCGGCTCAAATTCTGTAAATTCGGCCTCTGAAAACATAAAACATGCAGTAACAGATTTGAAAACAAAAATGAAAAAAAAAACATATAGGTTTAAACTTAACTGCATAAGTAAAAGGAGAATCAAAAGGAAAAAAAGGAGATTTGATCAGTCAGAATTGTAAGAACAATAGCTGGTTCAAATACTCAGTTAGAAGGAGAACCAGAGGTACAAATATTCAGTTAGAAGTAGAACCAAAAGTTCAAATTCTCAGTTAGAAATAGAAACATATAGGTTCAAAAAATAGAAGGAGAAAAAAAGGTTCAAATGAGTTAAGGGGAGGACCATAGGTTCAAATACTCAGTTAGAAGGAGACACATGGTTCAAATAATCAGTTAGTGGGAGGACCATAGGTTCAAATACTCAGTTAGAAGGAGAAACATAGGTTCAAATACTCAATTAGGGGGAGGACCTTAGGTTCGAATACTCAGTTAGAAGGAGAAATATAGGTTCAAATACTCAGTTAGAAGGAGAAACATAGGTTCAAATACTCAGTTAGAATGATTAACATAGGTTCAAACACTCAGTTAGAAGGAGAAGCATGAGGTTCAAATACTCAGTTGGAAGGAGTTAAATAGGTTCAAAAACTCAATAAGAAGGAGAACCATAGGTTCTAATACTCAGTTAGAAGGAGAACCATAGGTTTAAATACTCAGTTAGAAGGAGAACCATAGGTTCTAATACTCAGTTAGAATGAGTGACATAGGTTTAGATACTCAGTTAGAAGGAGAACCATAGGTTTAAATATTCAGTTAGAAGGAGAAACATATAAATCAGCTATTAACGCTTAGCACCTTTGATCCCTTGAAAAAGAACCAGAACCCCAATTCTTCTATTTCAGTTTATATATATTTCTAGGCTGCGATGCTGTATAGATGTTGCTGGCAAAACCGGTTCAAAACAACAAGTTGAAATAAAAGATGAAGTTTAAATAAAGTATCAGTTAGATTCTTTTTACCATAGATTAATTAAAATAACAGATAGGACACTAGATGTCGTCTTTTTAAGATTTGGAGAAAACTAGTTCACAATAACCTTGAGGCAGCAACCCAGAGGAGTATCGCGCAGTCGGCGTAGAATTACAAGACATAGAGAGAGCCTGTTCTACGCCGATTGCGCGAAAATTCTCTGGGCTACTTTCTCAGGGTTATTATGAACGAGTTCAATCCAAATCTTGAAAAGACGACTGATAGTGCCCTGTCTGTTGTTTTAATTAATCTATGCTTTTTATTAGTTTGTCCATTCAAAACGTTCTTATATTCAATATTTTTGCCTTAGATAGACCTTAGATATTTCAAGCGATGAATTTTTTTCGATTAAATAATCTCAGTATCAAAAATCAATATCAGATTTAAAGATGTAAGGAACAGAAATTTTAAGTTTGTGACAAAGACTCAATTCCTGAATTATGTGGTCCAAGTCTTATATTATGTATGTCTGATCTTCCACTAAATAAATGCCCAACTAAAATGTTATTTTTATTATCTGCAATGCTCTCTTATAAAACATCAACCTTACAAAACTAAACCCTTACATAGCTAAATATTGATTATGATTTAGAATTGTATCATTTTTGTGAGTATAGATAAATATATGCTTATAAACTAAAATCTTTAGAATCCTTTCCAATTATTTCAAGCTGGGATGTCGGTCAAAGAGGTCGCTGTGGTCATCGTTGGGTTAGGCGGTCATCATAGGTTGAGGTGGTCATCTTCCGTTGAGGTGTTTATCTTGAGTCATCTAGGCTGTCAATACAACTTCTTGAAGAACTCGTTGGTGCTCAGCTGTTATAAAACCGCATTCTTTTAGATGAAGAAGGGAAAAGAAACTGCTTCTCTGGTTTTCAATTCCTACTAAAATATGATTTCAGAACTAATTTCCTGTTTAATTAAATCAAAGAATACCAAAGATTGTTTCAACTAAAGACTGACTGAGCTTTAAGACATTTTGAGAATTTGGAAATTAGAGAGTTTAATTATAGATTGATTTTAGTATGAGAATACTATTTCTTTACAGTAACTCGCGCAGATCAATTAGACAGTCAAACGCAATCGGTGGTAAAGAGATTTAGAAGAAATTGAACCTAAACTGAAACTGAAAAATGTTTTATTGTTAGACCTGTCTGTTCGCTGATGGAGGTAAAAATTGTGTTTTGTATTTCTGTTTCAAAATCTTCTTCAGAACTGGCAGACATACTGCAGTCAATTCTAATATCATGTTAATATGTATTTTATATCCAAAATTATAATTTTCATAGTTTTTACCTAAACAATTTAACATTTTTTTCGGGGGCTTATGTTTACAATGTATGAATTTGGGATTTAAGAATTTAACATTTGTTGGAAGCGGTTTTTTTCGACAAAATTAATAACTTGAAAAATAGATCTCACCCGTCCATATTTGTGTTGTTAAAGGCTGGTGATACAATTAAACAAATACACCCAACCAAGGCGTCTGTCCTATTCTCATAATTCTGAACATAAAGGTCAGAATATAACAAAAAACGTGCCATGTACTTTAAAATATAACGTGTGTCCTAATTAATAAGATATTATTTTTGATCAATGATACAAAATATTAAAGTAAAGGTTGAAAGTGCTTGTATAATTTTTACTATTATATTTATTTTTGGGCTTCTCTTACTTCAACACTGCTACACTTTTTCAATATTTTTGAATAACCTGCATATCTATTACAGTAGGGCGTTGAGGGGTCTTCGCAGCTGCTAAAAGTAATTTCATTTCCCTAAATAATTATATTTCATTTAATGAAGTTGAAAAATTGTAAAAAGTATACCTTTGAATAAAGTTGAACTGGACACTATTATTATTCTGTTTAGTCCATAGATAAGGTTGAATAATCTGTAAACTTTGACGTAGCTTCTCAATTTGATTATGCTTTAGAACCTGGTCCTCATCTGAAATATTATTATATGAACCAATGATATCCTCGACAAGCCACAGCCAACTAATCAGAAGTAGAAGAACAAATTTAAGCAATGCATTACTGTTACGACTTTCCAACCTCGTTCTCATTGAAAATATATAAGATTTCAATCTTGTGTTCAATTTAGTTTAGTTTGACGTGAAACAATCAATCAATTCTCATCATTACCTTAATCCCCTTATTGATGTGCAGATGTAGATAAAGGGGTACCGACAAAGGATGAGACTGTAAAGACGACTTAAAAATCTTTAAAATATGACGATCCCAAGGTTAGAATATGTCGTCTGCCCTTAATATAGCCTTACAAAATGATTTTGCAAAGAAAAGAAAAAAGTTTATAATTGCAGGAAATCATATATAAAAGAAACAAGATCGTTTAAATTCCGTACAGTCATCTCTGAAGTCTCATCCTTTGTGGTAACCCTGTAGTTAAAAGTTTTATCTGAAAGCGGAGAACTATGTTCAAATCCTTAAAATATTTACCTTGTCTAATACACCTTAGTCTTGTAAAGAGTAGAATATATGCTTCCTCCATAGCAACTGTAGAGGATTCGGTAGAAACTGCTGAATCTATAGATAATTCACTTCTCCTTCTTCTACCAAACACAAGAGCACACAGGAGGGCACACACTTCTGGTTCAAGGCTAGAATATTCAGGACAGCATACAGATTCAGTTGTTGTTACAGTTGTTGTTACTGTAGTTGCAGTTGTTTCAGTTGAAACAGTGGTGGAAGGTGTCCTTCCACAAGTTTCATCAAGCTCAGTAATTTGTCCAGTATAAGTGCTGTACTCAGCAATGAATGCTTGTGATAGAGTTCCAGCTGCCTCAAGTTGAGTGTTAAGACTGCTAATCCTAGCAGAAACCTCATCAATAACAAGCTCGTTGCAATCAGTTGCTGGGAAGCAACAAGGAAAAATAGCATTGTATGCATCTATTAATGCAACTAAGGTTTCCTGTTCAGTAGTGGTCATATTCTGGTAATTGCCGGGAAGAGAAAGGGATCTCTTTGAGCGCTTACCAAGTAAAAGGGCATTAACCAAGGATATTAATGTGTCAACAGTTGTACTAAGTGACTGAACTTGGTTCCAGAGTTTGCAAAGTTCGATCTCATCAACCCAACCATTATACGGGCATAAAATAACAGAAGTTTCCAAAATTGGAGGAGTTGTAGTTAAAGTAGTGGTAGTAGAAGTAGTTGTAGTGGTGGTAGTAGTAGTAGTAGTAGTAGTAGTAGTAGTAGTAGTAGTAGTAGTAGTAGAAGTATTAGTAGTAGTAGTAGTAGTAGTAGTAGTAGTAGTAGTAGTAGTAGTAGTAGTAGTAGTAGTAGTAGTAGTAGAAGAAGTAGTACTAGTAGTAGTAGTTGTAGTAGTACTAGTAGTACTAATAGTATTAGAAGTAGTAGTTGTAGTAGTAGTAATAGTAGTAGTAGTAGTAGTATTACTACTACTAGTGGTAGTAGTAGAAGTAGTAGTAGTAGTAGTAGTAGTAGAAGCAGTAGTAGTAGTAGAAGTAGTTGTAGAAGTAGTTGTAGTGCTAGAAGTAGTAGGAGTTGAAATAGGAGTAGAAGTAGTAGTAGTAATAGGAGTAGAATTTACTGTTGCTGCTGTTGTTGTTGTTGTTGTAGTAAATGTTGTTGTTGTAGAAGCTGTTGGTACAGAAGGAGCAGTTGATCCACCTGTAGAAGATGCTGATGAAGAAGCACCAGTTGATCCATCAGTAGAAGCTGCTGGTGAAGAAGCAGCAGTTGATCCATCTGTAGAAGTTGCTAATGGAGAAGGTGCAGTTGATCCGCCTGTAGAACCTGCTGATGAAGAGGAATCAGTTGCTCCAACAGTTGAAACAGCTGGTAAGGATGCATCAGTTGTTTCACCATTAGAAACTGATGAAGAAGAGGCATCCGTTGATCCAGCTGTAGAAGCTGCTAGTGAAGAAGCAGCAGTTGAGCCAGCTGTAGAAGCTCTTGGTGTAGAAGCATTAGTTGACCCAGTTGTAGAGGCAGCAACAGAAGTATTAGTTGATCCACTTGTAGAAGTAGCAGCAGAAGAAGCATCAGTTGATCCATCAGTAGAAGCTGCTGCAGAAAAAGCAGTAGTTGATGCATCTGTCGAAGCTGCTGGAATAGAAGCAGCAGTTGATCCTTCTGTAGAAGCTGATGATGAAGAAGAATTCATAGATCCATCTGTAGAAGCTGCAAGTGATGAAGCAGAAGTAGATCCATCTGTAGAAGCTGCTGGTGAAAAAGCAGCAGTTGATCCATCTTTAGAAGCTGTTGGTGCAGAAGCATCAGTTGATCCAGCTGTAGAAGCTGCTGCTGAAGAAGCTAAAGTTGATCCATCCGTAGAAGCTGCTGGTAAAGAACCAGAAGTTGATGCATCTGTAGAAGCTGCAGTTGAAGAAAAATTGGATGTTAAAGAAGCATCTGTTGGTCCAGCTGCAGGAGCTGATGTTAAAGAAGCATCAGTTGGTCGAGCTGTAGAAACTGCTGGTGAAGAATCATCCGTTGATCCAGCTGCAGAAGGGGATGTTAAGGAAGCATCAGTTGATCCATCTAAAGAAGCTGATGTTAAAGAAGTATCAGTTGATCCAGCTGTAGAAGCAATTGGTTCATGTGTAGAAGCTCCTGATGATAAAACAGTAGTTGATCCATCTGTAGAAGCTGCTGGGGAAGACGCATCAGTTGATCCAGCTATTGAAGCTACTGATGAAGAAACAGAAGTTGATCCATCTTTTGAACCTGCAGTTGAAGATACATCAGTTGATCCCTCTGTAGAAGCTGCTGGTGAAGAAGAAACAGTTGAACCATCTGTAGAAGCTGCTAATGATGAAGCAGCAGTAGATTGATCTGTAGATGCTGATGATAAGGAAGCAGCAGTTGATTCACCTGTGGAAGGTGCAGGTGAAGGAGTAATATTTGATCCGACTGAAGAAGTTGCAGGTGAAGAAGCATCAGTTGATCCCTCTGTAGTAGCTTCTGATGATGAAGCAGCAGTTGATCCATCAATAGAAGCTGCTGATGATGAAACAGCAGTTGATCCAGCTGAAGAAGCAGTAGTTGATCCATCTGTAGAAGCTCCTAATGATGAAGAGGCAGTTGATCCATCTGTAGAAGCTGCTGTTAAAGAAGTATTAGTTGATCCTTCTGTAGAAGCTGCTGCTGAAGAAGCATCAGATGATCCATCTGTAGAAGCTGCTGGTGAAGAAGCATCAGTTGATCCATCTGTAGAAGCTGCTGGGGAAGAAGCATTAGATGATCCACCAGTAGATGCTGTGGGTAAAGAAGCATCAGTTGATTCATCTGTAGAAACTGCTGGTGACAAGGCAACAGTTGAACCATCTGTAGAAGCTCCTGTTGACGAAATGACAGTTGATCCATCTGTAGAAGTTGCTGATGAAGAAGCATCAGTTGATCCTCCTGAAGAAACTGTGGGTGAAGAAGCAACAGTTGATCCACCTGTAGAAGCTGTGAGTGAAGAAGCATCAGTTGATCCAACTGTAGAAGCTGCAGGTGAAGAAGTATCAGTTGATCCAACTGTAGGTGCAGCAGGTGAAGAAGCAAAAGTTGATCCACCTGTAGAAGCTGTTGGTGAAGAAGCATCAGTTGATCCACCAGTAGAAGCTGCTGATGAAGAAGCAGAAGTTGATTCATTTGTAAAAGCTACTGCAGAAGAAGCATCAGTTGACCCATCTGTAGAAGCAGCTGCAAAAGTTGTTGGTGAAGAAGGAGCAGTTGATGCACCTGTAGAAACTGCGGATGAAGAGGGATTAGTTGCTCCAACTGTTGAAACAGACGATGATGATGCATCAGTTCTTTCACCTGTAGATGCTGCTGTAGAAGAAGCATCAATTGATCCAGCAGTAGAGGCTACTGGTGGAGAAGCAACTGTTGAGCCAGCAATGGAAGGTGATGTTGAAGAAGCATCATTGAAAACATTTGTGGAAGCTGCTGGTGAAAAACCATCAGTTTGTCCACTTGTAGAAGCTGCTGGTGAAGGAGTATCAGTAGATCCAATTGCAGTTCCACCAATTGGAATTAACCCAGCTACTGTACTTCCACCCATGGTTGGAGGAATAGTTGATAAAGCTGTAGAAGCTTCTGATGAAGATGCAGAAGCTGATCCATCTGTTGAAGCTACTGATGAAGAAGCATCAGTTGATCCATCTGTAGAAGCTGCTGATGAAGAAAAATCAGTTGATACATTTGTAGAAGCTAATGTTGAAGAAGCATCAGCCGATCCACCTGTAGAAGCTGTTGTTAAAGTAGCATCAGTTGATCCATCTGTAGAAGCTACTGGTGAAGGAGCATCAGTTGATCCATCTGTAGAAGCTGCTGGTGAAGGAGCATCAGTTGATCCATCTGTAGAAGATGCTGTTGAAGAAGCATCAGTTGATGCATTTGGAGAAGCTGCTGGGGAAGAAGCATCAGTTAATCCATTTGTAGAAGCTCCTGGTGAAAAAGCATCAGTTGATCCATTAGTAAAAGCTGCTGATGAAGAAGCATCAATTGATCTGTCTGTAGAAGCTGCTGATGAAGAAGCATCAGTTGATCCATCTGTAGAAGCTGCTGGTGAAGTAGCATCAGTTGATTCATCTGTAGAAGCTACTGGTGAAAAAGAATCAGTGGATTCACTTGAAGAAGAATCAGTTTTTCCATCTGTAGAAGATGCTGATGAAGAAGCATCAGTTGATCCATCTGTAGAAGCTGCGGATGAAGACGCATCGGTTAATCCATCTGTAGAAGCTGCTGGTGAAGATCCATCAGTTAATCCATCTGTAGAAGCTGCTGATGAAAAAGCATCAGTTGATCCAGCTGTAGAAGCAGATGGTGAAGATCCATCAGTTGATCCATCTGTGGAAGAGGCTGGTGAAGAAGCATCAGTGGATACTTCATTTGAAGCTGCTGATGAAGAAGCATCAGTTGATTCATTTGTAGAAAATGCTGATGAAGAACCATCAGGTGATCCATCTGATGTAGCTGTTGATGGAATAGCATCAGTTGATGCATCTGCTGAAGCTGCTGGTGAAGAATCATCAGTTGATCCATCTGTAGAAGTTGCTGATGAAGAAGTATAAGTTGATTCATCTGTATAAACTGCTGAGGAAAAAGCATCAGTTGATCCAGCAGTTGAAGCTGCTAATGAAGAAGCATCAGTTGGTCCATCAGTAGAAGCTGCTGATATAGAAACATCAGTTGATCTATCAGTAGGAGAAGCAGCATTTGATCCACCTGTAGAAGTTGCTGATGAAGAAGAAGCAGTTGATCCGCCTGTAGAAGCTGCTGATGAAGAGGAATCAGTTGCTCCAACTGTTGAAACAGCTGGTGAGGATGCATCAGTTGTTTCACCATTAGAAACTGATGAAGAAGAGGCATCCGTTGATCCAGCTGTAGAAGCTGCTAGTGAAGAAGCAGCAGTTGAGCCAGCTGTAGAAGCTCTTGGTGTAGAAGCATTAGTTGACCCAGTTGTAGAGGCAGCAACAGAAGTATTAGTTGATCCACTTGTAGAAGTAGCAGCAGAAGAAGCATCAGTTGATACAGCTGTAGAAGCTGCTAGTGAAGACGCAGCAGTTGAGCCAGCTGTAGAAGCTCCTGGTGAAGAAGCATTAGTTGACCCAGTTGTAGAGGCAGCAACAGACATATTAGTTGATCCACTTGTAAAAGCAGCAGCAGAAGAAGCATCAGTTGGTCCATCTGTAGAAGCTGATGTTGAAGAAGCATCAGTTTGGCCATCTGTAAAAGCTGTTGATGAAGAAGCATCAGTTAGTCCATCTGTAGAAGCTACTGTCGAAGAAACATTGGTTGGTCCACCTGTAGAAGCTGCTGGTGTAGAAGCATCAGTAGATATGCCTGTAAAAGCTAGTGATGAAGAAAAATCATTTGGTCCATCTGCAGTAGTTGATCCATCTGTAGAAGCTCCTAATGATGAAGAGGCAGTTGATCCATCTGTAGAAGCTGCTGGTAAAGAAATATTAGTTGATCCTTCTGTAGAAGCTGCTGCTGAAGAAGCATCAGTTAATCCCTCTGTAGAAGCTGCTGATGAAGAAGTGTCAGTTGATCCATCATTAGAAGCTGCTGATGAAGAAGCATCATTTGATACACCTGTAGAAGCTGCTGAAGAAGAAAAATTAGTTGGTCTATTTGTAGAAGCTGCTGATGAAGAAGCATCAGTTGATCTCTCTGTAGAAGCTTCTGATGAAGAAACATTAGTTGCTCCATCTGTAGAAGCTGATAGTGAAGAAGCATCAGTTGATCCATCTGTAAAAGCTGCTGATGAAGAAGCATCAGTTGATCTGTCTGTAGAAGCTGCTGGTGAAGAAGCATCAGATGATCCATCTGTAGAAGCTGCTGCTGAAGAAGCATCAGTTAATCCATCTGGAGAAGGTGCTGATGAAGAAGCACCAGTTGATCCATCTGTAGAATTTGCTGGTGAAGAAGCATCAGTCGATCCATCAGTAAAAGCTGCTGATGAAGAAGCATCAGTTGATCCATCTGTAGAAGCTGCTGGTGAAGGAGAATCAGTTGATTCATCTGTAGAAGCTACTGTTGAAAAAGTATCAGTGGATTTACTTGAAGAAGCATCAGTTGATCCATCTGAAGAAGCTGCGGATGAAGAAGCATCGGTTAATCCATCTGTAGAAGCTGCTAGTGAAGATCCATCAGTTAATCCATCTGTAGAAGCTGATGATGAAAAAGCATCAGTTGATCCATCAGTGGAAGAGGCTGGTGAAGAAGCATCAGTGGATACTTCATCAGAAGCTGCTGATGAAGAAGCATCAGTTGATCCATTTGTTGAAGATGCTGATGAAGAACCATTAGGTGATTCATCTGAAGTAGCTGTTGATGAAATAGCATTAGTTGATGCATCTGTAGAAGATGCTGGTGAAGAAGCATCAGTTGATCCATCTGTAGAAGCTGCTGATAAAGAAGTATCAGTTGATTCATCTGTAGAAACTGCTGATGAAGAAACATCAGTAGAAGAAGCAGCAGTTGATCCACCTGAAGAAGTTGCTGATGAAGAAGGAGCAGTTGATCCCTCTGTAGAAGCTGCTGATGAAGAAGCATCAGTTGTTCCATCAGTAGAAGCTGCTGATGAAGATGTATCAGATGATCCATCTGTAGAAGCTGCTGCTGAAGAAGCATCAGTTGATCCATCTGGAGAAGGTGCTGATGAAGAAGCACCAGTTGATCCATCTGTAGAATTTGCTGGTGAAGAAGCATTAGTTGATCCATCAGTAAAAGCTGCTGATGAAGAAGCATCATTTGATACACCTGTAGAAGCTGCTGAAGAAGAAGAATCAGTTGGTCTATTTGTAGAAGCTGCTGATGAAAAAGCATCAGTTGATCTCTCTGTAGAAGCTTCTGATGAAGAAGCATCAGTTCCTCCATCTGTAGAAGCTGGTGTTGAGGAAGCATCAGTTGGTCCATCTGTAAAAGTTGATGTTGAAGAACCATCAGTTGATCCCGCTGTAGAAGCTGCTGATGAAGAAGCATCAGTTGTTCCATCAGTAGAAGCTGCTGATGAAGAAGCGTCAGCTGATACACCTGTAGAAGATGCTGAAAAAGAAGAATCAGTTGTTCCATCTGTAGAAGCTGATGATGAAGAAACATCAGTTGATCCCTCTGTAGAAGCTGCTGATGAAGAAGCATCAGTTGCTCCATCTGTAGAAGCTGGTGTTGAGGAAGCATCAGTTGGTCCATCTGTAAAAGTTGATTTTGAAGAACCATCAGTTGATCCCTCTGTAGAAGCTGCTGATGAAGAAGCATCAGTTGATCCATCAGAAGAAGCTGCTGATGAAGAAGCGTCAGCTGATACACCTGTAGAAGATGCTGAAAAAGAAGAATCAGTTGTTCCATCTCTAGAAGCTGCTGATGAAGAAGCATCAGTTGCTCCATCTGTAGAAGCTGATGTTGAGGAAGCATCAGTTTGTCCATCTGTAGAAGTTGATGTTGAAGCAGCATTAGTTAGTCCATCTGTAGAAGCTACTGATGAAGAAACATCAGTTGGTCCATCTGTAGAAGATTTTGGTGAAGAAACATTAGTTGATCCAGCTATCAAAGTAGCTGTTGAAGAATCAGCAGTTGATTGACCTGTAGAATCCAATGTTGAAGAAGCATCAGTTGCTCCATCTGTAGAAGCTGTTGGTGAAGAAACTGCTGTTGACCCCTCTGTAGAAGTTGCTAATGAAGAAGCATCAGTTAATCCATCTGTAGAAACTGTTGATGAAGAAGCATCAGCAGATACACCTGTAGAAACTGTTGATGAAAAAGAATCAATTGGTCCATCTGTAGAAGCTGCTGATGAAGAAGCATCAGTTGATCCGCCTGAAAAAGCTGCTGATGAAGAAAAATCAGTTGATCCACTTGTAGAAGCTGCTGATGAAAAAGTATCAGTTGATCCATCTGAAGAAACTTTTGGTGAAGATGCATTTGTTGATCCATCAGAAGAAGCTGATGATGAAGAAGAAATAGTTGATCCATTTTTAGAGTCTGTTGGTGCAGAAGCAGTAGTTGATTCATCTGTAAAAGGTCTTAATGAAGAAGCATGAGTTGAGCCAGCTGTAGAAGCTGATGGTGAAGATTCATCAGTTGATCCATCTGTGGAAGCAGTTGGAAAAGAAGCATCAGTGGATCCTTCCATAGAAGCTGCTGATGAAGAAGCATCAGATGATCCATCTGTAGAAGCTGTTGGTGAAGAAGCATCACTTGATCCATCTGAAGAAGCTGATGGTGAAGAAGACTCAGTTGATTCATCTGTAAAAGCTGCTGGTGAGGAAGCATCAGTTGATCCATCATTAGAAGCTGCTGATGAAAAAGCATCAGTTGATACATTAGTTGAAGCTGCTGATGAAGAAGTATCAGTTGATCCATCAGTAAAAGCTGCTGATGAAGAAGCATCATTTGATCCATCTGATGAAGCTGATGCTGATGAAGCATCAATTGAGCCATCTGTAGATGCTGCTGGTGAAGAAGCATCCGTTGATCCATCTGTAGAAGCTGCTGGTAAAGAAGCATCAGTTGATCCATTTGTATAAGCTGATGGTGAAGTAGCATCAGTTGACCCAACTTTGGAAGTTGTTGTTGAAGAAGCTACTGTTGAGAAAGCAATACTTGATTCACCTGTAGAAGTTTCTGATGAAGATAAATTTGTAACTGCAGTTGCAGTTGTTGTACCATTAGGATTGTTTGTTGTTACATTATCAGCTGTTGTTAATTCCTGTGTAGGTGTCTAAAATTCAAAGAATCTTTATCTTGAAAATTAATTAAGAACCAAAATAATAAGAGTAAAATAATGGACTAGTTTCAGTAAATATTTAAAAGCTGTAAAAGATTATTTTCTTAATATCTTTTCTTATAAAATTGTATTATTACTTACTGGTGAAATAGGCGTTACAATTCCACAAGATAATCTGGTAGATAAGCTAAGCAGTTCACACCACAAGCTACAAATCAAGGTGCCATTTGTTAATCCAAGATATGGGCATTCAGTTTCATTAAAGGTTCCAGCGTAAAACCCATCTGGGGGTGCTGATGTAGTGATTCCACTTGATGCAGTTGATGATGAAAACGATGATGACAATAATGATGATGATGATGTTGTGATACTGCTGTACAACTTGGCGGCTTCAATACTATTGTATAATTTGCAGAGTAGAACAGATTCTACAAAAGCTTCATAGGGGCATAATGGTTCGTTTGTTGAAGGACTTGTAGAAGCATCTGATGAAGTAGAGGAGATCTCCATCGAAGAGGATGAAAATACAGTGGCAGAGGAAGAGGCAGAAGTACTTGTTTCAGAACATATGATGCCATATTTTAGCATCTGGTTTTCACACCATAAACTGCAGTAGTCAGTCATATAAGGGTAACCATCATATACACATGAAACAATATTGCTTCCATCAGTGCTAAGTCCAAATAAAGGAGTCATTTCAGTTGGTGCCAGTGTACCAGTTGATGTTGTATTTATCCCAAATAGTAAAAACTTTAAGTTGACATTCTCTGTCCAGAGTAAGCATATTTCTGTGTTATGTGGACTGGTATAGCTTTCATAAGGACACAAAGGACCACCAATGCAGAGGACATCAAAGCTCAAATCTTGAAGAGAGCACCACATCTGACATGCTAGGTCTCCATCTGTTAAGTTTATATGAGGACATGTGCTGTAAGGGACTTGAATATTTGATTCTGCTGTTGAGGATGTTCCAGTACTTGAAGCTTCTGTGGAGGTAGGGATAGCATCAAGAGCAGCTTTGAGTTCAGTCCAGAGAGGACAGAGCACATCCTTGTTGGTATATGAATCAAATGGGCAAGGGCCAGATGTTGTCTCTGAGGAGGCTGTAGAAGAAATTGGTATCGTTGAGGAAATATCTTGACAATTATTCCCTGAGAATTCTTCAACTTGGCACCACAGTTGGCACAGGAGGTTAGCACTGGTGGGATTATCTAGGTATGGGCATGTCACCTCCTGAATACCTAGAGTTGTTTGATTAGCTTCAGACTGAAGAGTCACCAGCTGGTAATACAGGCTACAGATGGTGGTAGATTCAGGATCTAGTAGGTAAGGACAAACAGATGGGTCAGTTGAGCATTCAGGTTCACTTATGCAAGCTGGTAAGTACATTCCATTTAATGAAATATCTACAGTAGGATCTGTGTATCTCAGATATCTCATTATAATACCCAGCTCCAAACACTGACAACTATATAGTTGTCCATTGTAACACTTATTATCTATCCTCCAAGCTGTTCCATCCTCAGGTTCAATTTCAGTCACAGTCCCTTTCCAAGCCTGAACAGCAAATATTATAATATTCAAGTCAAATTAAAAACTGAATTTCTTTATATTTATGCGATCACAAGTTCTAAGACTATCCTTGGAATATGATAAAACAACATATTTTCAGAAAAATGAATAAACCATCAATTTTATACCAATAAAGTAAAATATCGAACATATGTTGGCGATTTTATTTTATTTTTCTATATATTTATTTCAAATGAGAAGACAGAAAAATCAGAATTCATTTTTTGTGGGAACTGATAATGCCGCGTATTTAAGAGACAGCGATTTTTGCCACTCAATGAATTACAGTGTAAGTTTTAGGAAATGTAATACTGTAAAGGCATAGAAATCCGCAAAAATCAGCGAAAATTGGATCAATTCACTTTTTAATCTGGACACTTTGATATCTGCAAAGAATATGGACACCCTTTTTTAAATGGACCTGTTGAAGGGTTTGATCAAAACCCCAAAACCAACAAAATTCTTCACTCTTTGAGAAATTTATAATTTTGAAAAAAGGAGAGCTGCAAATATGGATAAAGAAGAAAAAAGTTCAAAAAAGAAATTCTATCCAAAACCACCGCAGTCAGTTTCAGACAAATCTCAAATTTGTTGTATTTTTCAATTTTGGATGAATAAGAATTATATGTTTTGCACAGCATGCAGCATACTTTGTTACATTTACTAAAAATAATTACAAAATAAAAACCTTGAATTATCTATCGTTTTGTTTTACCTCTAGTACAGTTAACGGCGAGGAGAACTGTAGTTGAAGGGACCAGGAGGAAACAGTTTCATTTATTGGAATCTGTATGTACTCCTTCTTCCCTGTACTCCATTCATTTCCAGGTCTAAAATATCAGCATGTACTGTACATGAAGTGGAGTTGTACCCTTACAGACGAAAACTAGAAACTAGGTAAAAGACTTTTATAATCCTGTCCAACAAAATGATCATCAAACCAAAACTTGTTTATATAGAAAGTTTAGATTTCAAGGCAAAGCTGGGTTCCACCCTTTTCCCCCTTCCTATTTTACTGTATAACAGTTTCTTGTAAAATATAATACAATATAAATATCATTAGAACATGAAAAAGAAATTACATGAAGGGTTGTTTGTTGATTTTTGTTAACTGTTTGTTAGTTCCTGATATTTTACAGAATAATGTTTATCTATGGAATTGTTTATCTATTGAATTTCCTTTTTTACAGTTACTGCAGCTTCCTTGATAGCTTTTTTTAAAGGAATTGAGTCTTTGTAACAAAATCAAATATTTAAACCACAATATCTTTAGAACCCGTTGTTGTAAACCTTTGATATTTCTAACTCTGATTATTTGATTTAACAGAATTCATAGTTTGAATTATCTAAGGTCTTCAACATTTGGTTCCAAAGATATTGTGATTAGAAAATCAGGGTTTGTTGCAGAGGCTCAATTCCTTTATTTATTTACCTGATCCAAACACAGGTTTGTCCAATTACAGTGTTTACACCAACTAAAAAATAAGCTTGCTTGAATTTTTCTTCCTAGTTCCTTTTCAACTATATTTACTCAGAATAACCGTTGACTTTTCAAAAGTAAACAGAATTCTGATATAAAGTACAGCATTTGATTTCAGATTGGGAAAGGTTTGAAAACCTTTGCTGTTTTATCTATTTTTTTTTTCTCAATGCATGATATGCCTCACAACAATACATATGTGACATGTCAAGCCAGTCCGATGGTAGATTTTAAGGTTTATAACCATTCAAAACTTGATTTATGTTGATTTCGAAGAAGATTTACCTGCTACTATGATCAGAATAAGGATCCAGGGTGGCCAACGTTCACTCATAGTTCAGATTTATATTTTCAATTCTGTCTAGTTAGTTATCTAATCAAATTAATGTTGTCATAAATATTTTACATTCGTTGGAACTGTAAAGGAAAGATGAAAGGGGTATAGGTTACAATTAGGTTTCTCTGGGATATCTTCGTTTTTAGATTGGTTGCATATTTGCTGATTATGATCTGTTTAAATTTACCATTTCTATACTAAATTGTGTATGTACATATGAATTTTCGTATTAATTTGACACAGTTTTATATAAATTTCTCGAGACAGGAACGTCAGATATAAATTTCATGGATCGCGAATCGCGATCAAGAGCTAAAATGAATTGCTTTCAGCCTATACCCCCTATCATATTTCCTTTACAGTCCCTTTAAGAGAAGTTTATTCGACCTAAGGCCAAGGGTACTGTAGTATAGAGTTACTAGAAACTCAAGGCGCTTCGCGCCCTTCTTTCTAGCCTTAGAGGGCGCTTCGCGCCCATCTTCTGAATTAGTTGTGAACATGTTCTCTTTGTGTGCATCGTAAAACAAAACAAAAATAATTCGTGGATTTTCACAAAAAATTTCGCGGATTTTCAAAATTTTTAAAAATTTAATGACGATCGAATTTTGATGGAGACAAATATTTGAAATTTTGATTTTTCATAAACCTTCCCTGGGGTCCCTAGATGTCCCACAAAAAATTTGGGCCCGATCGGTTCAGCCGTTTGGACGTTTATTGGATACAAACAGACAGACAGACAGACAGACAAGCCAAATTTATATATAGAGTTAAGACGTAACTTCAAGATACCCTCCATTTATATAAATATGTCCGATTCACTTCAATATACCCTCCATTTATAGAGAGGGATATGTCCGATTCACTTCAAGAAACCCTCCATTAATATAGAAGGATATGTCCTATTCACTTCAAGATACCCTCCATTTATATAGAGGGATATGTCCTATTCACTTCAAGATACCCTCCATTTATATAGAGGGATATGTCCGATTCACTACAAGATACACCATCCATTAATATAGAGGGATATGTCCTATTCACTACGGTACCCTTAAAAGTTTTCTCTGGTCGAGAACGAATGAGATATATATGTTTTTCTCTTTACAAATGATTAGTTTCGCTTATTATTATCAGATTTAACACTATTAAAGCTTAAAACAAAACGTTATTATCTATCTTTCACAGTATGCATTATTGATCAATTAAAGTTTAAAGGGTATTGTTATGTATCGGACGTGGCCTTCTCAGAAAGGAGACTGTATTAAAATAACGACAAAACCTGATAAAATCAGATAGATATTCTTTTTTTTAATAAAATTTATAGGTCTTTGCGACAAACTCAAATTTTTTAGTTTATATACCTTTGCAATGTAATTGTGTAAACCTTTGATATAAACTGAGGTTTATAACATTGTGCTGTTAAAATATAGGGATTAGAAAATCAGAGTTTGTGGCAAAGATCTGATTCCTTTTCGTAAATCCCAAAGATGCAATAGTATGATTAGCTGAAGGGCCCGGCGTTGCCCGTAAAAATTAAAAAAAATATAATAAAAATTACAATTTAAAAAAAGAAATTTGATTTTTGAAAATAACAAAATTTAGAATTTTTTAGTCTATTTTACCCCCAGGGTACCCTCAAAAAATATTAGCCCATTCGGTCCAGCCGTTTGGCCGGGCATAGGGAACATATATACGAATGTCTTGTATTATTATATAGATAGCGTTGGTATAGAAATTTATTTTTCACTCAATTAAGATACGTACAATGTACATGCATTGCAATAAAAGAAAATAATTAAGATTGAAATATCAATGATAAATTAAAAATAATTGTGAAAAGTGCAAAGATTTTAAAACATTTTTAAATTACAAATTTTGTCTTCTTATCTTTCCCATATTACCAGAGACAGAAAAAACTATTTGTTAATATTTGATTAAAGATTCCTGTTCAATTTGCATATCCAGTTAATTATCTGTGTAGGTGTAGGTGAGCAGGTCCTCCTAAACACAAGTATCTAATGTAAGCACATGATGAACACAAGTATACAGTGTTAGCACATGCTGAACACAAGTATCTAGTGTTTTGCACATGCTAAACACAAGTATCCAGTGTTAGCACATGCTGTACACAAGTATCCAGTGTTAGCACATGCTGAACACAAGTATATAGTGTTAGCACATGCTGAACACAAGTATAGTGTTAGCACATGCTGAACACAAGTATATAGTGTTAGCACATACTGAACACAAGTATATAGTATTAGCACATGCTGAACACAGGTATCTAGTGTTTGCACAGGCTGAACACAAGTATCCAGTGTTAGCACATGCTGTACACAAGTATCCAGTGTTAGCACATGCTGAACACAAGTATCTAGTGTTAGCACATGCTGAACACAAGTATATAGTGTGAGCATATGCTGAACACAAGTATCTAGTGTTAGCACATGCTGAACACAAGTATATAGTGTTAGCACATGCTGAACACAAGTATATAGTGTTAGCACATGCTGAACACAAGTATATAGTATATAGTGTTAGCACATGCTGAACACAAGTATATAGTGTTAGCACATGCTAAACACAAGTATATAGTGTTAGCACATGCTGAACACAAGTATTTAGTGTTAGCACATGCTTTACACAAGTATAAAGTGTTTGCACATGCTGAACACAAGTATCCAGTGTTAGCACATGCTGTACACAAGTATCCAGTGTTAGCACATGCTGAACACAAGAATCTAGTGTTAACACATGCTGAAGACAAGTAACTATTGTTTGCACATGCTGGACTCAAGTATCCAATGTTAGCACATTCTGAGTAAAAGTATCTAGCGTTAGCACATGCTGAACACAAGTATCCAGTGTTAGCACATGCTGAACACTGCAAGTATCCAGTGTTAGCACATGGTTAACACAAGTATCTAGTGTTAGCACATGCTGTACACAAGTATCCAGTGTTAGCACATGCTGAACACAAGTATCTAGTGTTAGCACATGCTGAGCACAAGTAACTAGTGTTTGCACATGCTGAACACAAGTAACTAGTGTTTGCACATGCTGAACACAAGTATCCAATGTTAGCACATTCTGAGTAAAAGTATCTAGCGTTAGCACATGCTGAACACAAGTATGGAATGTTAGCACATGCTGAACACAAGTATCCAGTGTTAGCACATGCTGAACACTGCAAGTATCCAGTGTTAGCACATGGTGAAGACAAGTATCTAGTGTTAGCACATGCTTTACACAAGTATCTAATGTTAGCACATGCTGAACACAAGTATCCAGTGTTAGCATTTGGTGAAAACAAGTATCTATAGTGTTAGTATATACTGAATACAAGTATCTAGTGTTAATACATGCTAAACATAAGTATCTAGTGAAAGCACATGCTAAATTCAAGTATCTAGTGTTAGCACATGCTAAACACAAGTATCTAGTGAAAGCACATGCTGAACACAAGCATATTTATTGTTAGCATATTATAAACTCAAGGGAGTGTTCGCGAAAAATGAAAGGGGGTATAGGCTTGAGGCGAAAAATAAGCGCTCTTGATCACTACTAATCTTACTTCTATCTATTGCGTCTATCAAGAGAAAATTGTTAAAAACGACTCATGCTGAAGAACGTAGCGTCCATACAAATTTAGAAATTTGCAACATTCAACTAGGATCGTAAACTAATCAATTTAATTCCAAACAAATCATTCAGATATTACAACAAATAGTCATCGATTATTTTTCGACGCATTATTATATAGTTAATATTTCATAATATTTTTGATTTTGTTTTTTAAATAATATTTCGCTGGCGCTGGATTTTCGAACATTCTTGGAAATGTCGTCTTCATTATCAACAATCCTCGTAACATCTAAATAAATGTTTTCAAAAGTAACTATCAGATCATAAACAATAAAAAAAATATTATGAAATATCAACTTTATACGAATGCGTCGAAAAATAATCGATGATTATTTGTTGTAATATCTGAATGATTTGTTTGGAATTAAATTGATATTTTAGGATCCGAGTTGAATACTGCAAGTTTCTGAATTTGTATGAGTCGTTTTCAACTATTTTCCCTTATAGACGCAACAGATGTAAGATTAGAAGTGATCAAAAACGCTTATTTTTCGCCGCAAGCCTAAACCCCCTTTCATTTTTCGCTAACACTCCCTTTAACACAAGTTACCAGCATTTACAAATGCTCAACACAAATATCTACACATTCTTAACACAAGTTACTAGTGTTTACAAATACTAAACACAAATATCTACACATTCTTAACACAAGTTACTTGTGTTTTCAAATACTCAACACACATATCTACACATTCTTAACACGAGTTACTAGTGTTTACAAATACTCAACACACATATCTACACATTCTTAACACAAGTAACTAGTGTTTACAAATACTCAACACACATATCTACACATTCTTAACTCAAGTTACTAGTGTTTACAAATACTCGACACACATATCTACACATTCCTAACACAAGTTACTAGTGTTTACAAATACTAACCACAAATATCTGCGCATGCTAAACACAGTATATAGACTACGCAGAGTTAAATTAAACTGAACACAAGTATCTAGTGTTCAATGTGTTCACTGTTCCATATATACCTGTTCCTTCTGTTCTGCCGGGTAAGATTAAATGGCCGCCGATATATAAAGTGGAAATACTGAATGGGGTGAAATACAAAAACTATAATTTACGAGGAGAACAATTAGAAATTATGTTTTTCTTTTAATAGTTTTCTTTTATTCAATCCACACATCTGTACTCTAACAAAAGCGCTTTAATACTTTTTAAATTTTACAGCACTTCAACAATATTTAAAATATTTCTGAATTAATGAATGATTGGCTTTAAACCGTAATATTCATTTTAGAATATTTAATCCTTTGAAATTCGGCATTATTATACAATGTTTCATGAGATAGAATAATGAATAAATCGTACAGTGGCGCAACTAGGGGGGGGGGAGAACCGAGTTTCACCCCCCTCATCAAATTTTGCCCCCCTCCCGCCTCCCCCTTCACTTGACTACAGCATGATCATGATTGTGGAACATCAAATTTTGTCAATGAAGAAAAAATACCAAAATTTTTCTTTGTTGCTTTAAGCATAATTTACAAATAAGTTTTATGAAATATTTAGAAAAAACATGTTCTTTATAGAGCGGAAATATGCAAATTTTGAATACTAAAAATGAACAAATTTTTCTGCTACGATCTTTGCCATTAACGCATATTTTTTTTGAGACATCTTATTTCTAAAAGCATCCAGTTTGAATTCGTGTGAAAGAGGTGACATCAGATTTTTACTCTCGACTTCTAAAATAATTTTAACACGATCAAATTATCTTTTTCCATATTATTTTCTGAGTTCGTGTCTCTTTTGTCCATTTGACGGTCCAAATTCTTTTTTTAATAATCTTTTTGTTTGTTTATTTTCTTGTGATTTTTAACATTTTTTATTATCGATTTTGATGGTTATTATATTGTTAGAACGGACGAGGGTCAACCCAAACCGAAATATATTTTCAATAAATGTGGAACTAACGTCTACTTTTTTGCTCTTCAGAGGTTTGGATTATCAGCATCAGAATTTTAAAAATAATTCACTGTGGTCAGTTGTTAAGTTTAATACCGTTTATTTGAGTGATATGATAACACTGGTTTACAGGTTGACATATATCCAGTAAACAATTAAATTAAACATGAACAAAAATTTACAGATAATAAATGCGCGGTCTTAACAGTTCACACGTATGTAAATACATATATGTAAAATGTCAAAAATATAATTTTGTCCTTGAAAATTGAATGTTTGATTTACGCTACAACAACTTTCATTTTTCACGAACACTCCCTTTTAACGGGTGTAAAATAGATGATGCTTCATATATTTCATTTAAATTATAATTTGAAATAGAAAATAAAAATTGAATATTTGTATACATTATAAAAATATAATTTTGAAAATGAATGAAAAAGAAATGTTTAGGTCTGCTTTAATTTTAAAGATTTGATGACAAAAAATTGAACATAATTTAACCGTATATATTTGTATTATGATGATTCTATTTTGTACTTGCGTGGACGGAATAAGATAAAACTTTACGAAAGTATTAGTAGAAAAAAGAAAATACAATACTGACGATAACAATACAATAATATAAACGACATAAAATATGCATAGATATTACTATTAATACAATATAATCATAATTTTACATAACGCTCGTTCCTTGGAATTACAGGCCATAATATCGCTGTATTTCCCCACTATTAATCATATGAATAACAGATTATAAGGTTATGCTAGTAACGGCCTGCACACTTGTCACATCGGCCAACTCAAAAAGCGGATAGCCGGGGTTGGAATGGAAGAAATTGACCCGGAGAGTCACAAATTATTTAAGTTTTGATAACCTAATTCAAGAATTTTCTATCTTAAACGTTTATGAATTTAATTCTTATTTTGAAAGCCAAATAAGAAAGGTTTAAGTTGAACAGGTTACAGCTATATCAGTACAGTAATGTTCTTCAAATGTAACAATAATAAAATTGAATAAAATGTAGATTCTGAGTGGCAAAATAAATGTATTTACTTTTAAAAAATGTTTTAAAATAGACATTTGCAAATATTTAAATACTTTAAAAAGATAAAATTAAAGTGATCGGTTGCAAAAACTAAATTTTTGTTTAATTCTAATGCATTCATGTAAATCCTTCTCTGGTCCATGATATAACTGGGAACTGGGATTTTTTGCGTTATTTTACACAATCTTATAACTGGTCTAGGGTACAACTACACAGGCATGTTAAATGACAATATTTATCATTGGAAAATAATTTGACCAATAGTTAGTTCTTCTCAATAAACATTATACCGAGGCTAAATGTATACAAATTCCAAACAGATAAATCAGGAATTGAGTGCATAACTTTCTTTCCGTAGCTAAAATGATGATTTTACTCTCAATCAAATGAATTCAAAATGTGAATTAAACCTTAATCTCAATTTGCACATAACTATTGACGCTAGTTATTTAAACATGCTTGTGTTAAACTTTTATTCACACTATTTCATTTAGAATTATAATTCTTAATGTTTATGACTCCTGTAGTATAATATCCTCAAATAAAAGATATTTACCCCTGGATTATATTGTTTTGATCTTCACTGCAGTACACATGTCATAAAAAATACATTTGGAGGTTCCTGGTTTATTATTTTTCTTGATTTTATCTTTGTAGTAAGTGCTGTGCAGTGTAGAAATTAGAAGTGAGATTGTCGTTTAGGAATATCTTGCTGAGCATATGATCCTTCCTAAATATAATATTAGTTGATTAATCAGATCTACAGTGATACTTCCTAACTATAATATTCATTGATTAATCAGATCTATATTGATCATTTCTAAATCAGGGGATATTACTTCCAACACTTGACCCATTTCTACAAAGTTATCTTTTTCAAAAGAATATACTATATATCTTTAAATCCAAGACGAGAAGAACAAAATTACACCATATATTTATAAAAAAAAAGGCTAAAACTTTATATAAGAACAATAAATGTCAATTTTAAACTAATAAGGTGTGAGAATTAGTTTTAATGATCTTGATTTCCTTTTCGAACAAATCCCTATTTTATAAACAATTACCGGATTTCAGCTCATGTCGCGTTTTCGGCACTTATCCTGGTTTTGAGACAATTAACGGATTTCATATCAATGTCAATTTTTAAGCATTTACGCACTTATGTAACAAAACAAGATTTTTTGATAAGGTAAAATACAAACAAAATAGAAAATAAAAACAGACTGTTCTTTTTTAATTTAAACAGCATTACAGCATTGATAATTCAAAATATTAATATCATTTGTTCTTGAATATAGATTTAACTATAAATGCGAGAAAGTGTTGGTTTAAAATGCTTGAAAATAAATCATCGATATTCTCTAATTTAACATATAAAATGTTGAAACTTAGATTCTAGAAATAATTCAGAAGATAATTTTTGTTTTCAGTGATTTACTTTGTAAGTTATAAAAGTGAGTTTTGATTTGAATTGCGGATTACACTCAAAAACAGAAAAGTGGGTTTTGTCTCGAAAACGCGACGATGTTTCAAATTCAGGATATGTTTGAAAATGGAAAACCTGAAAACGGTCAAGAGATATACTATAAAACTATACTATAAATTGGGAATTGTTGTCCTCGTCATGTTCAATAAAATGTTGGTTTTAGTTTTTATTATCGACTTCTACTCTGGATATGGGTCGGGATCTTAAAAACCCAGTCTTTCAATTTGTGTTAGTTTCAGTTTGTGTTAGTTTTGGAAGTAATATCCTCTGTAACTATAATATTCGTTGATTAATCCGATCTACAATGATCCGTCCTAAAAATAATATTCGTTGATAAATCAGTTTTACAATGCTCCTTCCTAAATATAATATTCGTTGACAAATCAGTTCTACGATACCCCTTCCTAAATATAATATTCGTTGATAAATCAGATCTACAATGATCCTTCCTAAACATAATGTTCGTTGATAAATCAGTTATAGGATGCTTCTTCCTAAATATAATATTCGTTGATAAATCAGTTCTATTTTGCTCCTTTCTAAATATAATATTCGTTGATTCATCAGATCAACGATGATCCTTTCTAAATATAATATAATCATTATAAATAAAATATTCGTTGATAAATCAGTTCAACAATGCTTCTTCTTAAATATAATATTCGTTGATTAATCATTTCTACGAGGCTCCTTCCTAAATATAATATTCGTTGATTAATCAATTCTACGAGGCTCCTTCCTAAATATAATATTCGTTGATAAATCAGTTCTACGATGCTCCTTCCTAAATATAATATTCGTTGATTTATCAGTTCTACGAGGCTCCTTCCTAAATATAATATTCGTTGACAAATCAGTTCTACGATGCTCCTTCCTAAATATAATAATCGTTGATTAATCAGTTCTAAGATGCTCCTTCCTAAATATAATAATCGTTGATTAATCAGTTCTAAGATGCTCCTTCCTAAATATAATAATCGTTGATTAATCAGTTCTAAGATGCTCCTTTTTGATGATCGTGTTTCAAGCCCAATTTTTAAAAGATTGTTTGTTTCAAAATTGAAAACATATTTTTTTGGAACTGGGAATCCGAAATTTGTTGGTTTCGGTTCCCATTTGAATAAACTAGCTAGCATTTCAAACTTTGAAATAACAGTGAACAATAAAAAAAAAACTAAAATAAAATCAACTTACCCTACTATAGTTTGATGGAAGATTATTGATTGGAGGACCTGTAAATAAATAAATTGAGTTTAGGGTAGTGGGGTATACATTACATTAACCCCCCTCCCCCCCCCCACCTTTAGAAAAGTTGTTCTTATCAATCGAAATAAAAACTGTGGAGTAGAAAACCGATCTTTAGGTAATCTGTTAAATATTTAATGTTCTGAAATATCGAAAGGTTTTACCAGTGGCCCAAAAATCAATTCAACATATATTACGTGTATAGGACCTGTATTCAAAGCACAATTGCTATGTTTTATTTTCATTGAACTATGTGAAATCACAACTTGAGTATAATCTAAGTCTTCATATTCCACATTTTTTAGGATTCCTTCTTAAAAACAGACGAAACAGTAATAATAAATAATGAATTTATTCATTATACATGTATACATATTTATTATAGAACCCCATTTTCCTATAGTTCAAAGTAAAATACAAACCAGTGCTTAACCCTGTATATGGAACCCCTCCTGCTGGGATGGAACCACGAACCCCTGGACTCGTAGGACGTGAACCATACATACTGTTAGCTCGAGAACTCATTGTCACCATCTTAACAGAAATAAATTTTTAATATGGGTCCTGGACTTAATAGAAATATTAAAAAATAGACTACTAAATTCTCATTTAAAAAAAATATATTACCATGAGTTATAAACCGAATTGCTATTCATGTAACACTAATTAGATATGTTTTAATATGCTTTGATATTTGTTGCGTACATGTCAGAAAATTACTTTAAACTCTAGTTATTCTAATAAATGTATAAACTATTTTGCATAAGATAAAATCACACCCTGATCTCTAATAGTTCTCCTTAAATCTATTTAATTGAAATGTTTGATCATCATTATTAAAATTAGGTGGAAAAAATAATCAAAACAGCCAAGAGCTATTTTCCACCTGATTGTTTAATACTTGTACTGTTAATATAATCATCAATTTGTAATTGTAAACTCGTTCTGTACACAGATACATGTATTTTAGCAATAAGCTTTATCTTATCTTATCTCCACAGTTTAATGGAAATTACTATTGCAAAATTCCAACATCAATAAGTAAACGTTTTCCATAAAGAGTGCATTCAGGATTAAAAACGTTATATTAGTACAATGCAAACCTCTGCCTCTCATAATACCCGTTTACTTAAACTAAGTTTTCTTAAAAGTGAAAACAAAGACGATCCAAAAAATGATTTCCTTCCCCCATATCATGGAGTTACTTGGTACTTTTTAAATATTCATGGAACATTCGTTTTTAATATTCTTTCTTAGCATTTTATTTGTCACCTTTATCTTGGCCAAGTTTTCTAGCTTCGAGACTCCTGTCAGCTCGATGTAGAGAGAGTAGATGACAAGCACAGCGAGTACATCAAGGATATTGATGAAAAACCAGGTGATGAACATGAAGATGTGGTATCCAAAGATGATATCATTGACGATACTAAAAATACATTGGAACATTCTATGCCATCACTAACAGATTATTTATATCCCTAGACTACTAGGATTTCCCTTTATTCTTTATTTACAAATATCGACAAATCCATCTTTTTAATTTCTTTTATCTTTAAATCTTTTAGTATTTTATTATTTTACCTAGCTGTCTTATATCTACCAAAAGAAAGTAGAGCTAAGAAGTGGATATGATTTCATTGTCAACATACGTGACGGGCTATAAGAGTTGCAGAAATATAGTTTTATTGTAAACAAAATTTAAACAAAGATTATAAACAAGGAAGGGACGAACCTGAGCAATTACTGTTTACAAATCGTATTTGTTCAACACTGTAGCTAGTTTAAAGCTGTCCTAATACGTCACAAACCATACCATATCCCCCTCTCCTTAGTACATTTACTCCTTGAGCATACCTGTGGTAAACCCAGGCTACAATTTTCCAGGGGGTGAAGGCCCCCATGGTGTAAAGCCAACCCTTGAATCCGGTTTCTTTTTCCAGCCTATATAACAAATAATATAATTTTTAGACATATACATTTTGTCTATATTAAAAGAGTTGCGTTTAGGGTTTCCGGCGAAAAGGAAAAATTGGTTCGCGAAAATGTTGCATCGAAAAATGCGAAAAAAATAATACCAAAATTTCGCAAAAAAGAGAATACGAAAATTTTGCAAAAAGTTAATGCAAAAATTTCGCGAACAAAATAGGAGTTAGGCAAAAAACGAAAATTTTGCGAAATACACATAATTTATAAAAACAAATGCGAAATTTAGCGAAAATTTTGCGCAAATTCATCAAAAAAGACTAAATTTTGAAAATACAAGATTCATTTTCAAAGAGGGATTTATCCGCGAGCGGCGAGTTCAATTGATGTATTAACACAAAATATAAATAAAGATTTAAGAAAGACTAGGAGACATCAAACATTTCGCCAAAATATGTTCGCGAAATTTTTTTTGCGAAATTTCGCTTCGTTCATTTCGCGAAACGTTTCGTTCGCTGGAAACACTAGATGCGTTGCACAAATCATACAATGCTAAATCAACCCCACACACCTCCAACTGGCAATATTTATAGCAATTTAGCAGCGCTTAGGATCCGCAACATTTTGGCTTCCTGGATGCGGATCCTGATAAGCAAAAATTTGTGGATCCAAGACTCAAGAGGCAAAATAGCAACCCAAATATGTAAAGAAAACTGTTTGCTCTCAAAACCAAATCTGAAACGTTGAAAAAAGAGAGAGTATTAAAAATGTCCTCATCTCTAAATAAATTTCCTCATCTCTGAATAAATTTCCTCATCTCTTAATAGTCATGAACTTTTAGCAAAATAAGCGAAACAAATTTAAAATTAATATGAAAATTCTTCTTTTGTAAAAAATCAGTAAATTCTAAAGAAATGTTTATGACCTGGATCCGGGTCAAAATGAAATGGATCCTAAGCACTGACATATTCATATTGATTTTTTAAAAATTTAAACTGTGTTTAATCGTTGCTAGATGATGAACCTGAGTGCGTCGAGGAGTATACAGCTGTTGATGAAGATGAGGATGGAGAAGACGAGAGAGAACAAGCTCGACATCATCAGAATATTCCGAACTATTAATAATTAAAAATAAAAGTAAAGTTTACAGTTCTAAAAATAGCATGGGTATTGAGTCTCCATTTCCCTACATCCCTGCCATGATTCAGGTATATATGTTTTAGAAAAATCACCCCTCCCATTTTGAAAATCATGATTTTCAGGCCACCATCCCACAATGAAAAATAGTTGAAGACTTTTACAGCATAACACGCCTTTTAAAAAACTAAATGATTTTGTAACGAAAATTATTTCATTAAATATGATTAAGAATATGAAAAAGAAAAATCTTACCGTGATGGTTTCCAACGTAGACAAATTCGAAGCTGAATATATAATATCCGGTGTGATTACTCCCTGGACTAGCTTCAACTAAACAAGGAATGTATTAACAGAAATACCAAATTTAATATGTCTTGTTTTCTTTTATAATGTTAAAAAGTATGAAAATTTGTCACCAAAATACCAGTTTTAGTATTTGTAAAGCGATTTATTTTACACAAGCAATTAAACACTTTTATAATGGTCTTTTATCTTTTACTTTTGCATAATTGAAATACATTTAAAGCTAGCATAGGTTCACCAATTTACAAAAGAAGCCATTGAGTTCAAGTTATATCAAAAGGATTAGATAGATAAAAAAAATACAGATGCGTTCAAACAAAAACATTGAAGATTTTTTTATAAGAAAAACTTATTCTTAAGAAAATATTTTGTATTTTCACTAAAGTAAATTTAAGAATTATAATTACCTAGGCAGTAGATATCAAAAATAGACCACATCGCAGTCCAGAATGCCAGGAACTAAGCAATAAAATTGAGCTATTAAATTATTTTGGGAAATGGAGTTTAATATTGTACTTTTTTCCGCGACCAAGTAACAAGGGTGTTTTTTCATGTTAAGCTTTAATTTACCGTAAAACTTCAACTTTTTGATTTTTAGAAATAAATATATAACACCACCAAATTTACTTTTTCATTACTTACCAGTGTATAAAATGTAGCATGCCAAGCTCCTGAAGTAAGATCTGTGTAGAAAGCACTCTGTATTATAGGTTTTTCCCACCATTGTAGCTTCTGGGACTTCAAGGTTTTCCCTCTATAATACAATTAAATACAATATACGACATTAAAAAAGAACAATGTTGGTTTTACCATAGATGGTTTATTTATTCATCTGTTATTTTCACCCATTAACTATGGTATTTTCGTATTTATTTTTCTTGGGTTATGAATTTTGATGTTTTCCTCTAAGTGTGCGTGGGGAGCGTATATTTACCTATGTTGTCCTCTAAGTGTGCGTGTGGAGCGTACATTTACCTATGTTGTCCTCCAAGTGTGCGTGGGGAGCATATATTTACCTATGTTGTCCTCCAAGTGTGCGTGGGGAGCGTATATTTATCTATGTTGTCCTCCAAGTGTGCGTGGGGAGCGTATATTTACCTATGTTGTCCTCCAAGTGTGCGTGTGGAGCGTATATTTACCTATTTTGTCCTCCAAATGTGCGTGTGGAGCGTATATTTACCTATGTTGTCCTCCAAGTGTGCGTGTGGAGCGTATATTTACCTATGTTGTCCTCCAAGTGTGCGTGGGGAGCGTATATTTACCTAAGTTGTCCTCCAAGTGTGCGTGTGGAGCGTATATTTACCTATGTTGTCCTCCAAGTGTGCGTGTGGAGCGTGTGGTTGATGCATGTGAATAAACTGAAAGCCTGGATCCATTGCTTACTACACTTGGGGACTTCCTCCCTAGTGTAGACATTGCTGATGAGTTAAGAAGATCTCCTTATTCTGAATATATTGTAATGTTATGAGTCATATAAGTCATATACGGCTATATCGCATTTTTATTTTACAAAGGATCTGGTTGTAGCGCTTTAACGATTAAGTGTAATTTAATTCAAAGGAATTTTAGGATTCAAAGAAATTCGAGGCCTAAAATAGACTTCAAAGTTCAAACAACCCGGGGCGTATACAGGAATTTGTCCAGGGGGGGGCTTATTGTTTATCTTTACAGTGTGGGGGGCTCAGCACCCATTAGGGCCTGAAAACTTCTTAAAATCCATATATTTAACTGGCCCAGGCCCAGGAGGGAACTGAGCCCCCATAGACCTCCCCTGAAAACCCCTCAGCTCTGCAAACAAGTGATTATAAACTGATCGAATAACATTTAATTATAATAGATTCATTTTGAAACAGTCAACCTATAAAATCCAAACCTACGTGAAATAACAACCATCTTTTAGTAAAGGCGCCGATGTAATTTTCTAATAATTTTTTAACCCCCCCCCCCCCCTCCTATCAATTTTGTACATAGATCTCGTTTGTTAAACATGGATATAATTTTGGTCATGTGGCCGCAGCGCTCGGCCCCTAGCCTGTCTGGTCGCATCGCTCAGTCCAGAAATTGTCTTTACCTAACCTAACCCTAAAATAATAAAAAAATAAATAATAATAATTTTGCTGAAAAATAATTGGTCATGCACGAAATTGATAGGAGAGGGGAGGCCCTAGGGGGATCCAAAAATCGTATACTAGGACGGACCCGGCGCCGATTATTGATTTACCTTTTTCCTTTATTTTGGTTTTTAGATTTAAGCATTAAGCAACTTCACCTTGTAGAACCGGTTCTTCAACCAACGGCCAGAACCAGGTAAACGTAAAATTCGCAAATGCGAAAAAAAAATTCTGAAAAAAAAATTTAAATAAAATGAATTTCTTTTTTCTGATAAACATACCAGAAATGCAAAGAGGAGAAAAAGTTACCTAATTTTGAAACTTACACTTAGAACCATGTATCTACCTGTATTTCATGAAATCAATTGATCCCATTGGTTATTACAATAAGGAAGGAACACCGCCCCAAAAACAAAATATAACAAAATTGAAAAATATTTTAAAACATCTTTGTTGTAAACGGGAAAAGAAATGTGTTAATTTAAATAGACAATTTTTTTGGTGTTTATAACTAATTGGTCATTCATAATTTTATTAAATTCTACAATCTCATGCTCTCTTCTTTCTATTGTAATCATTCTATAATTTTCAATTTTGATTACTTCTCTAGGTGTAAATTTTGTTTAGAAAAAGAAGATTCTTTTGTAGGGCGAACATTTTCTAAATATTTGGTTATTTCAGATTATCCAGGGCCCAAAGTGTACGCAAAGCTTGTTCTGAAGAATGCCGCAATTAATTCTCTATATTCTCGCCGCCGATCGTTCTCAAAATTCAACGCCGAAAATATCTGTTATCATCTCCGCATGCAATTCAGCGAAATAGTTATGTAAATATTAATTGTTGACACCCAAAACAATATTTCCATTATATGAATTATAGTCTTATAAAGCGCTATAAGATAATTCAATGTTTAGAACGTATCAAAGAATTTTCAACTGACCTAGCGGAGATTTGGGGTCTGTCCTAGTATACGATTTTAGGAATATACCGAGATTTGATAGATTAGAATTTATATGCTAGTCTTCCCTTCAGTTTTAGTTTTAACCAATCATGTTAATATTTAGATATTTAGATGATTGACACAAGTAAGAGCTTTCTTAACATTCGGTTCCTCAACATTAAATACAGTAAAGTTTTTATCAGTGGGTTTAGTCTTTTTAGATTTTTGGGCCTCTCCCCCTATCGGGTCTGTCCTAGTATTCGATTTTTGGACCCCCCCCCCTGCCCCCCTCCTATCAATTTTTCAACAATTTTCAATTAAATTAGTATTTATCCAGAGTTAGATTAGGTTAATACACTTTCTGGGCCGAACGCTGCTGCTAGGACATGCTAGGGGGCCGAGCGCTGCGTCGACATGGTCAATGATACCCATATTTTACGTACAAGATTAGTATATTTAGGGTTAGGTTAAGACACTTTCTGGGCCGAGCGTTGCGGCTAGGACATGTTAGGGGGCCGAGCGCCGCGGCTAGGACGTGCTCGGGGGCCTGGCGCTGCGGCCACATGGTAAATTATATCCATGTCTTACATATAAGATCCATGTACAAAATTGATAAAAGGTGGGGGGGTCCAAAATTCGTATATTAGGATTAACCCACCATCAATTTTGTACATGATCTAGATTTTGACTATTAGAAACAAAGATAATATTTATATTTTACTATTTTAGGGTCAGGGTAGGACTGGCCCTTGCGCTGCGACTAGGACAGGAACCTCGATTTCAAAATAATTCTTTAAAATTAAGATTTAGTATGAATTAATTTAGGGCTAGGTTAGGTTAATGCAGTTTCCGGGACGAGGACTGTGGCTACGACAGTCTAGGGGGCCTAGAACATGCTACGGGGCCTTGCGCTGCAGCCACATGGATCCAAATATGCAAATTAATTCTTTCAGAAAACATTCTTGTCTAAGATGGCGAGCAAGGAGATGGCTGCCATGTTGGACGAGTTGATGGGGAGGAACAGGAACGCCAATCCTAATGATAAGGTTGGTTCTATGTATCCACTCCCGGCCTCCTCATGTGATCATCTTACTCAAAAATTTTATTTGTTCCAACTTTAAAGACATTCTTAATTAATCTTTAAATTTGAATTCCCGTAAAATCCCCCGCTCATATTTAAAAACCAGAAATTACGAATGATTTTTACTATTTCGCTATATCAGGGAAAATAGATGTTTTTATGTTTTCATGAGAAAAGAATTTTTTTTCTGAGAAAAATAGTTGTTTTCATGAGAAAAATAGATGTTTTCATGAGAAAAATAGTTGTTTTTATAAGAAAAATAGTTGTTTTTATGAGAAAAATAGTTGTTTTCATGAGAAAAATAGATGTTTTCATTGCCTAGAAAATTATTTTTCCCTTCAGATGTTAGGTATGTTTGCTGGTATTTAATATTGGATTTTATTCGCTGAACTTCGGGGAATAAAAGAATGCTTGATAATAAATTGTCTAAAAAGGATGCTTGCCTTTTGATGTCCAAATTTTTCCAGTTTCCCCCTAAGAATCACTTATCATTTTCCCTTTGGGTAATTTTTATGAAAATTCCCCCTCAGGCAGCGAAGTGTTGTAGATAAATAATAATTTAATATTTAGATTCAAGAAATCACCTGGGAGGACCCCAGCAACTGTAAATATTTTCTCGTGGATTTCTGTCCCCATGAACTCTTCACAAACACCAAGGTAAACCGTTGGAAAATTAGCTAACACTTATTTTATTTCTGATTTATTGTATACTTTTTCTGATGCAAAAAATGCGCAAGTCACTTTTGTAGAGAAACTTCATCAAAAATAATTGGTTACTATTAAACAAACACGTGGATTTCTAGTTCATACTTGACCAGACGAAGGTTTAAAGGTTATATTTGTGAATTTGTTACTAATACTATTGAACAAAAACATTAATGTCTAGTTCATACTTGACCAGACGAAGGTTTACAGGTTACCTTTGTGAATTTGTTACTATTAAACAAAAACATTAATTTCTAGTTCATACTTGTCCAGACGAAGGTTTAAAGGTTACTTTTGTGAATTTGTTACTACTAAACAAAAACATTAATTTCTAGTTCATACTTGACCAGACGAAGGTTTAAAGGTTACCTTTGTGAATTTGTTACTATTAAACAAAAACATTAATTTCTAGTTCATACTTGACCAGACGAAGGTTTAAAGGTAACCTTTGTGAATCGGACTTGATGAATGCAAGCTCACTATAAGATTACAATTACATTCCTTTTCAGTCAACTGTTATATCAAGTGAGTCCATTCAAAGACTTGCATGCCCATTCCACATCGTAACTTTTATCTAATCTAAGAGCAAAATGTCTATTCTACAGGGTGATTTTTATAAATCGATTTGTGTCGAATTGGATAAGAAATCCGTAATATTGAAATTCCCCCAATTTCTTACAAGTACTGTCTGACATTTGATAATTTCCGAAGCAACAATGGCTACACCCCGAAAAAAAGATTACATGTCTCCCTTAAACTGGTCAACCAGTATGTCATGTACTAACGAGTTAATAAATGTTTAAATTATCATTCTGTTCTTGTTTTGCTGTTATAAACAAATAAAAATAATCGACTTTTGAAAATCACCCTGAGCTGAAAACTTTAGAATAGGATATCCTTAATCCCGATCGGTCAATTAATCTGGAGATTAATAACAAGAGGAGAACAAGCATTATTTTATCTCGAGATTAAGAAAAAGAGTGGATCAAGCCTTAATCCCGTTGTCCACCATTCAAAAGTTCCCAGCTCTGAGCTGAAAACTTTAGGATAGTGGATATCGAGATTAATGCTTGATCCTCTCTTTTTCTTAATATCGAGACTAACCTAATCTTGTCCTTGTATCCTGAAAAGTGTATAAAATTTAACCAATAAGAGTCGCGTAGATGAAGCCGATAAATTAAAAATTTTGCGCGCCATTTAAGATTAATATACAGAAACGGGAGGGCTCTCTGATTTTAAAATACCGGTTTTTGATTTTTCTCTACTATTTTCAAGAAAGAGCGGTTTAAGAAGAAAATCAAAAGTGTGTCCATTGGATACTCATATTAAGTGATCGGGATTAAGGATATCTCATTCTAAAGTTTTCAGCTCAGTATTCTTTAAGATAATTCTATTATTTCCTTTCTTGCTATAACTGCATTGAGTTGCTCTTGTGGAAAACCATTATTAACAACATCAGTTTTCACTCAGTTTGTAGGATATCTCTATAATTTTAGCTCAAACTGAAACGAGAAAATCTAAAACTTCTAACTTTGTGTATTGTAGATTTTTAACCAGTGCTTAGGATCCATTTAATTTTGATGCGGATCCTGCGGATCCGGATCCGGATCCTGGATCTGCACTGGTATAAAATGGATCCGGATCCGGAACCAGATCATTTCTTCAAGATTTATTGAATTTTTTAACAAAAAATAATTTTGTCTTATTTTTCGCTAATTTTTATCCTTAAACTTGATGAACCATTAGGTTTGAGGAAATTTTTATAATCTCTCTTTTTTCTAAAGTTCAGATTTGGGTTTTCGGAGTTATAAAAGTTTTTTGCAGTTTTTGGTTGATATTTTACCCCTCGGATCCGGATCCGTGGATCCGCATAGTTTTGCGGATTCAGATCCAGGAAGCCAAAATCTTGCGCATGCAACGGATCCGGATCCGGATCCTAAGCACTGTAATCTTAACAATCTTAAAAAATAATTATTTTAATACTGATAATTCTAGGCTGATCTCGGTCCCTGTCCTAATGTTCATGACGATGAAATGAGAAAACAGTTCGCGGAGGCTAAGGAGTCCAGCCGGAAGTTGTCCGCGGAGGACGAATTCTTGAGGTTTGACACGAAGAGTGGAGGATTACAAAGAGATTATCACAACCTCTAGAGGGGTACTACTGAGTACAAACAGGCAAGCGTAAATGTGTTCGCGGAGTGCTTCAGTCCTAAAATGTACTTAGTAGTATCCCACTTGAGTGATGCTCTCGGTGTATTCCACCTTGAAATTGGAGCTTATAATAAAAGAAGTTAATTCTGGTTTTTGATAATGTAGTTAATATCGACGCCATTCTTGTCCTCACTCTTTCCTGAATATGAATAAATTAAATAAATAAATCGTGTCGGTCTCTAGAGTATTTATTTTTATTAATCTTCATATGACCTTGGTCAGGATTATGCTTCAAGCTTTTTCCTACGTGGCTCTCCGAAACCTAATATTTTTTTTGTGAAATCTAGTTACACGCGTGGAATAAAAGTTACGAAAATAAGATAGATAGCTTTAGGAATTAGATTGAAATGCGCCATTCACCTGGACCAATGACGTAGTAGATATATCATTGTCTCATTTGTGAAATCTGTTTCGTTGTTCAGCAAGTGTAGAAATCCTATAGCATGAGTTTGATCTTAATATGAATTTAGTTCATTAAACATAATAAACTATCTAAGACAGTTTTTGAGCTTACTAGAGGGGCATTAATAAAAAATAAGACTTGTTAGATCATGATAGATTCTCTTATTATGCAGATATCAATTTAAATGCCTAAAACACTGATTTGACTGTAAAAAATCTTCAGGCATCTTTAATTCTGGGTAAAATAATGATTTTTTTAAAAAGAACTTAGGTTGAAAATAAAATAAAATATTAATTGATAAATTCATTTGACTCAGGTTTTGCCAGAAGATGCTGAATGATGTTGGTTTAAAGATTAAGAGAAGTAAAGAACGTTTAATTCTCACACAAATGGAGCAGGTGGATAAGATTTTACATTTTTCGGATAAGATTTTACATTTTTCGTTCTTTAAATCTTTATGAAGGATTTTTCCTCGAAATGTTTTATTATCACATTATCTATACAACAAAGCTCTTTGCTCATATATTTATATTTATATGTCAGCTATAGCTTGCCAAGCGGCTAGAACAAATTTGTGAAATTTTTTTAGGGAACCTATGGGTACCCTGGGGGTAACAAGGCATTATTCGATTATTTTTAGGGAACCTATGGGTACCCTGGGGGTAACAAGGCATTATTCGATTATTTTTAGGGAACCTATGGGTACCCTGGGGGTAACAAGGCATTATTCGATTATTTTTTTATTTCACGGGCAACGACAGACACTTAAGCTACTTATGACAGATAAACTTTCATTTTTTTGTACTAAAAAATACCAATAAATTGATGAAACTTTTTTATTTTAAAAACCATATGTATTTTGACTTTTTAAAGAAAATATTCACAATCATATCGGGACTAAAAGGTCTATGACCGCTATGAATTCAGTCCTATTGACGAGGAATTTTAAGGTTATATGTTTTGTTTTATGATAATTTCCCCTCCCTTTTAAAAATAATTCTCCCTCCTATTTAATTAAACCCTAAAAAAAGTGTCCAAACTTTGAACTGCCTTCCTCTGATTCTAATTTGAATTACCGATTCAAATCCTTACTTAATCTTTAACTTTGAATAGGTTTTTCAAAATTGAACCGGCAGCTGGTAATTCAGCAACGTAGCTCAGGTTCATTAAATTCGCTCCCTGTAATATAAATCTGTGTATTGTTCAGGCTGCAGCAGCAGGAGTATCTCCAGCTGAGCAGGAGGAGCTTGAGGAGAAGATAAATGTTCTCACCGACAAGATAAATGTACTCGTCGACCAGGCAGAGAAAGCTGGGTGTGAGGTAGCTTCAGTTTATAATAAGTTGGCTACTTTTCATGCAGTAATTTTAAGAATTGACATGTGTTGCATATTTGTTTGTAACAAATAAGTCATGTTGATAAAAAGTTTTTTGTTAAGTTTTTTTCCGTTGGGTTTGGCTTTATATTCTTTGTACAAACCTTTTCCTTAAACCTTGCCGTGTTAATAAGATTATTTTTGAATTGATTGATAATTGTAATTCCTAATCCGATGTTTTGATTACTATTGATAATTTTTTCTGGGTTTAAGTTTCAAATCTGCGTTTGAATTAATATGTTCATTGAGACGATAATCAGATTAATACAAGTTTATTTTTGATTACTTTTTTCAGGGGGACGTGGATGAAGCACAGAATCTTCTTAAGGTAAATTAATCCATAGTACAGTAATTGCCAAATTGGTTAAAAGCAGGGTTAGAAAAATTTGCTGTGTTCAATGTTCATTTAATATCTTTAGCTTTCTGGTTGTTCGTGGCGGATAGAATCTCAATATGCTCACTTAAATACAACACTTAAAGGGGAATGAAAGCGTTATTTCAAGTGACCCTCGCATTTAAAGATGGAAATGCCTGAATTACAACGACGGTACTCTTGAAACTTAATCTAATCAAAACTGAGGAAGATAATGTCGTTTTTCAAAGCTGCCGTTGTAATTTCGACATTTCCATCTTTGCATGCAGGGTCGGTTGAAATTACGCATAAACCTTTGTGTCTGTCGTTGTAATTTTAAGTGGCCTATCAATTTAAAAATAAGAGCATGTCCGATTTCTTTATCTGATCAATTATATAGAAGATATGGTCGTTTTTTGACTAAAGTATTTTACTCTGATAATTTTCCCAGTGTTTCTTAGCAGCAAGACATGGTCAAGTCATTTTTGGAGAGGAACCACAACAAACGCAGTAAATAGTACAAAAAAATAGGATATCTAATTCATACTTGTTCAGACAAAGCTTTCAGGGTTCCTCTGTTAATCGGACCTTTCACTTTATAAATGTAAAGTCAGTTAAAACTACTCCTACTCTTATAGTCCCTTTAATTCTTTAACAGATCCTACACTTACAGTCCCTTTAATTCTTTAACAGATCCTACTCTTACAGTCCCTTTTATCATTTCACATAGACTCTATGCCTTCCACTTTACAAACGATGATTTTCCGTTATAATTATAAATCAAATGGTGTTTTTATTCACCTAATTCATTATAAAGTTTATTTAACAGCTTTAAAAATTTCGAAATTGAAAAGAATAGTCTAAGGGAACATACTGTATTAATGTACTCTACTGCATATAATTTGTGAACATTTACATGATTTGTACACTTTGAACTCCCTTTCAGGCTGAAAGGGACTGACAAAATTCATACGAGAGATTCTTTTAATTCCTCTCTATATATTCTATTCTCTATGGCTCTGCCACTTGCTCTGGTCTAAATGGGATCTAAAGGTTCAAATCTGGTCTAGACTCTTTTAGGATACGGTGTGTAAGCCCTAAAAGTATGGATACTTAACTAAGGCGTTACACAGTACAGTACACACATCCACTTGTTTGAGTTGCGTATGAGAGGGAACAATACTGACGAGACTAAATGTTTTGGAACATTAGTCAGATTTTCGAAGTTTATGTGTATTGTGTAAAGATCAGCCTATCTGACAGTTTCACTCTAAAACTTATTTGATGTAACCACTAACTAGGGAATCGTATTTAAACAGAGTCCAAAACTAAAGAACGAAAAGTTTTGACTTAAGTTTTAAGTTCATGGTTAAATGCCACTTCTGACTTAATTTAAACCTGAACTTTAACCGTGAGGTTAAATATTTAACCCTGTGGTTAAATATTTAACTCGCCGAAATTGACGAGTTAAAATTTAAACACAGGTTTAAATTATCTTGAAATCCTGCATTTTCCCTATTTGTCTATTATTCAATCATCATTCAGCTGCAGCTGAGAAAGCGGCATTCAACTTAACGATATATTTAAAAATAAAAACCTTGTTAAAGAAATTTCACGTTTTAGATAAATTACTTTCTGGATGTAAACCCAAAAAACGGTTGTATGTTTTGTTTTCAGTTACGTAAGAACAGCTGATTAGCGATGGTTATGTAATATTCTCCGTAAATCCTTTTCTCTGATTGGTTCAGATTTTCCCGGGAAATTCAAATTTAAAATTGAGAAAGTTTAATATTTAAATAGCTATTCATTATTTTACAGAACTTTTAACCTCGAACTTAGAATTCGCGCATTCTTTAGTTTTAGACTCTCAGCTGAAAACTTTAGAATGGATAAACTTTAATCCTGACTTCTTGATCCGAATATCCACTGCGGAAACTTTTCATTTTATAGTCCTTAATCCACTCTTTTTCTCTCTCCTTGGATAACAGTTAATTGTTTTCTCCAATGAGAATATTTCTGTTCTCTCATTGGTTGCCCGCGCTTTTCTCTGATTGGCTGCTACAGTTTCTCAGATGATTAAATATTAATTTGAATTTTGTCGTTTTTCATACACTTTTAAGATAATCTTGCAAGATTATGTTAATCTGGAGATTAGGAAAAAGAGTGGATTAAGCCTTAATCCCGATATCCACCATTCAAAAGTTCCCAGCTCTGGTCTTGTATTGTTATGAAAATTTAACTGATCATGTTCAGACAAGTATGGACCACAGAAGGCAATGGAGGTTTGTGAAATCTGCGGTGCATTCCTGGTCATCGGAGATCCAAACGTTAAACTAGGAAAATAATCAAAAAATAATTACTCCTTCAAATATTAAGTGATAATTAATAATTTTAGTGAAACTAGCTAAATTGCTCTCCGTTGCCCGTGGAATTTAAAAAAAACTGATTTTGAAATTTAAAAAAAGGCTTTCTTCGCCTTTTGTTACCCTATGCTTCCTGGATGTTAAAAAGAAAGAAGAGAAATCGTGTTATTTTTTTATTATCTCTGCAAACCTAAGATTGTATTATTAATATTTTTTGAAATTTTGTAAGATCTCACCACCGCTAACAAGATAAAGAAATGGCAAGGTATGTAAATTTAAAAATAGTCAGGGTTTTTATCAACGATTAATTTTAAAGATTTTTAATAATAAACTTAAAAAATAATCTTTCTTTTAGATGACCATTTGATGGGGAAGATGCACGTTGGATACGCTAGACTTAAGGAAATAATCTCAATATTTGACATAATCTCAATATTTGACATATTATTAAAAAGTTTCGCACTTTATCCCCACACAATATTTTAACTGATTTGTGATTAGCACTAAATCATTCCTTGTTTTTTAGAGTTTAACAAAAAGGGGGTTTCTTCAATTCTGAGAGTTTGATACAGAGGGTTTTTATACAAGGCTTTCTGGTGTTGAGAGTTTAACACAAAGAGTTTTTATACGAGGCTTGATTTTGAGAGTTAACACAACGGAGTTTTCTACATGACTTGTTTTTTATAGTTTAATACAAAGGGGTTTTCTACAAGGCTTGTATTTAAAGTTCAACACGAAGGGTTTTCTACATGGCTTGTATTTAGAGTTCAACACGAAGGGTTTTGTACAAGGCTTGTATTTAGAGTTTAAAACGAAGGGTTTTTCTACAAGGCTTGTATTTAAAGTTCAACACGAAGGGTTTTCTTTAAGGCTTGTATTTAGAGTTTAACATGAAGGGTTTTCTACAAGGCTTGGGTTTAAAGGGTTCACAGTTAAAAAAGTAAAATTTTATGCATGGGCTTGTGTTTTAGATTTATCACAGAGTCTTTTTACTAGGACTTGTTTAAACGTTTAAGGGTTTAACACAAAGGGTCTTTTCTACTAGAACCTAGGAGCTCCTAGGGGGGGGGGGGCAAAATTTAAACTGTAAATTCAAAACATTTGGTTCCTTGGATATCATGCATAAGAATATGATACTCAAATGATACAGTCCAATTACCTTGCATGTACTATACTTTATCTCTCCTTCAAACAAAATTAGCAGAAAAAAGCATTGTTTCTAAAACGGTTGAATCAAATGGGCTGACTTTTAATGAGGAAACTCGTGGATACCCTTGGGGATGACATAAGCTAAATAAATTCTAAGTTTTTTTGTTTTAATTCGATTTTTATAATTCCTCGGGCAACGCCTGGCACTTTAGCTAGTTAGATTACAAAACTGCGGTGCCGGGTGCAATGAATAAAGTAAACTAAATCCAAATTAATAAATCAAAAAATTGTCTTTTTCTACCTCCAAACTCAAACTCTAGGGTGGGAGCGTTTTACAGGTCTAGGGGGGACATTGTCCTCCCCCCTGCTGTATACGCCCTTGAACTGAAAACGCTTTTCTACGTAGAGAATATCTGGAATAGATTCAAAAATCCTTTATGATTTTCATTTTTTACTTCTTTGTATTGCAGTTTCAAATTCTAGGATTTATTCTAGATCTTCAGAACTTCCCGTTTAGAACGCATTCTCCGCAATATAATATTTGAACAAATTCTCGTATTTTTATATTTTATGTTTTTCTTTCATGTCCTTCATCTCTATTCATGCTTTTTAGTTATCTAAACTGAGTGTCATTGTTAATCTGATGCGCAATAAAAATAATAAGACTGTCGTGTTCGTGTAGGTGGGGTGGGGGGGGGGCTATAATTTTTTTTGTCGTGCGTTCCAAAAACAGGAACGATCTGCAATTGAACTTTAAACTTGCTTGTCGACGCTCGACAGTCGAAAAAATGTCTACTTACATTTTTCCTTGAATCTGGTCATGATTTAGAACAGGGTTTTAAAAAAACATCTCGGTGGGTTTTATTGGGTTTTTTGGGGGACTTTTTGAGTTTTTTAATAGTTAAACCTACTAAAATTCATACTAATTCATCATAATAAGCAGTGTTTCGGATCCATATCATTTTGATTTGGATCCGGATCCGGATCCGCGGATCCGCATCCGTGTTCATGGATCCGGATCCGGCTCTTGATCCGGATCCGGATCCGGGGTAACGATTCTGTGAATCGGATTTTCCCTATTAAATGTTATGCAAGGTTATAATTTATAAACTATATTTATTATTTTAAAAATGTCGTCATTAATTTACTATTATATAAATGTAAACATTAAATTATTAAAGATAATTTTGAAAAATTTTCGTCATGTAAAATGTAAATAATACATTTACGAACCATTTTGATTTATTTATTCCATGGTTTTGGTTAATTTTTGACGCTACCCGGATCCATATCGGATCCGCATCCTGATACGGATCCGACCGGATCCGGATCCGGATCCGAAACACTGATAATAAGACTATTTAGTATTTACGCAATAGAAGCACTAGAGAGTTATGAAAAATAATAATAATGTTGTGATAAAGGGCTATAATCATATATAAATACCCCTCAAATACAATAATATCACCTCCCTTTAGTTCTTTGAATTTCAGACTACTTCTATTTTCTCACTTGGATACATATTTCTGGTTGGGGGTGGGTCTACTCAGATTAATCGGTCTTATATGCTCAAGAAGGAAGACTACTGTTAAATACCGAAAAACTTTAGATCAGTCACACATAGGAATGATAATGGGATTTTATATCTTTATTCTATCGCAACATATTTTGAAAACTCACGAGAAAAGAATAAATGTGTCTGGTTTTAGTGCTCTAAAATTCCTAAAAATCAATTCAGTTGTTAGTAGACCTTAATTTTTGAAGAGTTTATCATTTTAAGAGTGGGTGGTTTTGTTTTTGGCTAGGTTTTTTTTGGACTGGGTTTTTTTCATGGGAACCCTGATTGAGAAAATTTTGATTAGGCTAGTGTGGATACTTTAATGGAGGAGAGAAGGAAGAGAAGAGAGGAGATGGATAAAGAGAGGGTAAGTATATAAAAGATGGAATGAAATAGTTAAAATAGATGGAGAAGGTAGTTGAAGAAAAAGTCTAGGTTTTATAATGTTTACAAGGGGTTTTACTTTTCAAAAATTACCCCATGGGGGGAATGATATCTCGGTGAATTTATTAATTTTCGCTTAAAAATCATTTATTTTCCCCAATTTCCCCTAAGATCAAGTTTACTTACCTAACTTCTGGCGGGAAATCTAAAAATGGGGGGGGGTATGATTTTTCTGAAAAATATACATTATGCCCCTGAATAAAGACTAGAAGATAGAAAAAAAAGCTGAGAAATAACTACATAGGAATATACTTTAATCTTGAGTAAAAGATAAATCGGATGTAAATTAATATTTTTAATTAAAAATTGCGAAATACAAGAAGGGGGAGCTGGAGGAAAGCAGGAATAAGTATGAAAGGTGGATGTGGAACCACATTAAGAAGGATAGGAATTAGTGTATAATATTGAAGAAAATATAAGGATGAGATAAGGTATCAATCGACGTATAATATAAGAAGAACCACATTAAGAAGGATAGGAATTAGTGTATAATATTGAAGAAAATATAAGGATGAGATAAGGTATCAATCGACGTATAATATAAGTCACAACTAGAATATCCTATTGCAGAATAAAAAGTGATTTCGGTAAGACAGGAGGATACTTTTAGTAACACAGGATAATAAGTTAGATTAGATAAGATTGATGAATAATTCTAATTGATAATTATATTCCAGGAGGAGCAAATGGAGGAGCGGCGGAAAAAACGAGAGAAATCTAAATCTGAGGCTAAGGAAGGCGATGGAGATAAAAAGCGAAGCCGGAGCAGGGATCGTAAACGATCTAAAGAAAGAAAGCGATCCCGATCTAAGAGCAGGGATCGACGCAGATCTCGTAGTCGTGATCGACGTCGCCGATCACGGTCTCGTGATCGTAAACGACGGAGCAGGAGTCGTAGTAGAGATCATAGAAGATCGAGAGATAGAAGATACTGATCTCACGAATTTTTGTGTTTATCCGAGTTTCTGCGGTTCAAGAAATCCTATCACCGTCCTCAAAACAACATTATTTTAATTTTGGTCTTCGTCAAAACTGTGAATTCGTGAAGGATAAAAAGTCCATGTTACTTCAAATTGGTTTTGCCCCATTGTTATCTAAGTTCTTTTAAACTGCTTTTTATTTTAGCTCATAACTTCTGCATTCAAAGCAAACCTCTTCTTTATCCAATACAAACCAAATATTCATTTGAATTCCAACTTTTGATGATCTATCTATTCTTTATCCAATACAAACCAAATATTCATTTGAATTCCAACTTTTGATGATCTATCTCTTCTTTATCCAGTACAAACCAAATATTCCTTTGAATTCCAACTTTGATGATCTATCTCTTCCTTATCCTACACAAACCAAATATTCATTTGAATTCTAACTTTTGATGATCTATCTCTTCTTTATCCAGTACAAACCAAATATTCATTTGAATTCCAACTTTGATGATCTATAAATAATTTTGTGTTCTTGTTGACTCGGAAAACTGAACGGATATTCAATAAACCCCTGAAACAATGATTTTATCGTATTTGTATGCAAGACATCAAATGGCGCCATTTTTTAGGTGGTTGTTGAAACCCAATATTTATAAATCTGTAACATTATGTTAGGACCGAGGAAGGGATATCGTCATATTGGCGGTAAATTTAATCCACAACCTCACGTGCAAACTTGTATCTTTTTTTCGAACTGCGAAATATACTGTGTTAGTAATAATATATTATACATTTCGCTAAGGATTAGAGTGACCAAGGGAGGGTCACCATGAGCTGAAAACTTTAGAATTGGATACATTCAATTCCGGTCGCTTAATTTAAATATCCACTGTGGACACTTGATTTCTGCGAGATCCGCTCTTTTATCTCTTTTTGGGTATCACTACTTTATTCCGACCAATGCAAGTTCTTTCATTGATTGCGTACCAAAATTACAAAATTTCTCGGCTTTTGATTGGCTGTTCAGGGATGGGAGGGAAGGCGCCCCATACCCGTTTTACCTCCGACCCGCAAATGACTTTACAAACTGGTATTTGCGGCATGCGCTTACCCATCAAGACTCCGACCCACATCTGTTTTCTCTTCTGGATAGAAGTCTGTAACTTCAAATACTAAATAAAGACGAATGCAGTATTAATTAAGATTTAAAGACGTCACGGCATATTTCTTTTAATAAACTTTATAATCATATTTTTATTTGGTGAACGTAGAAGATATCTTGGCTGAGGAAAGCAATAGTTATTAAAATCCACAGTAAAAACTGAGTTTTTTATAATTTACTCTTCATCTATTATTTTTAATTTTTAGGGTTTGTCAATAATCTTATCAAAAGTGTTGAAACCAATAGAAAAAATAATTTTTCAAAAAATGTCAGTTTGGTGTGCAATTCAATTTAAATTATAGCTATATATAAACCCACGCCCATTTTTGTTTGAGTTTCCAAACTTGATTTGAGAAGCAGCATTTTAAATTATTGCTGGTTTCGTCTACAATTAGCATACAGAAGTACAGACTTTTTGCCGGAAGGGAAAGCGGGTGTGGGTCGGAGTCAATACGGGTAAGTGCATGCCGCAAATACCATTTTGTGACGTAATTTGTGGGTCGGAGGTAAAACGGGTGTGGGTCGCCATCCCCCCCTCCCCATCATTCGGGTTCCTTTAAACGCCTCTCTGATTGGTACAGTTTCATGACATACAAATTGAAGATTAATACAAATATTTAATTTTTAATTTAAACCTAGAAATGTATCATCCAAACCGTGGAGTATATAACTAGAGCTATTCGTTTTATCAGCCAAACATTGGAGTTTATTCCCGGAACCATAAAGTTTTTTCATTCAAACCATGTAGTATGTCTTTTAACCCTTGGAATGAATCATCTAAATCCAGGCCTTTTTTATTTAAACCTTTGAGATTTTTATCATTTAAATCATCAAGTTTTTCAATCAAACTATCGAGTTTTTCGATCAAACTATCGAGTTTTTCAATCAAACTATCGAGTTTTTCAATCAAACTATCGAGTTTTCAATCAAACTATCGAGTTTTTCGATCAAACCGTGGAGTTTCTTATTCAAACAACGGTTCATTGAACCAGGAAGATTTTTTCTCGAACAATCCAAACATTCCTTGAAGCTTTGCACCTGATCCTTGGAGTTTATCATCTGAACAGAGGCATTTATAATTTAAACTGTGAGATTTTTATCTGAACAATAGAGACTTTCATTTAAGCCATGGAATTTTTCATTTCTGCCATGGTGTTTTTCATGTAAACCATGGAATTTTTATTTAAGCCATGGTGTTTTATCGTTTAAATCATGAAGTTCGTCTATCAAACCATCGAGTTCTTCAATTAAACAATCCACTTTTCCAATCGAACCATACAGTTTTTCAATCAAAACATTCAGTTCGTCTATCAAACCATTGAGTTTTCCAATCAAACCATACAGTTTTTCAATCAAATTATTGTGTTTTTCAAGCAAACCTTTCAGTTTTTCATCTAAATGGAGTTCAATCAAGACATCGAGTTTAAAATCAAACCATAGAGTTTTCCAATCAAACCATTAGGTTTTTCATTTAATCCTTGGAATTTATCACAAAAACCACGGATTTATCATCTAAATCATGGAGTTTTTAGACAACCCTGTGAATTTATCACCAAAACCACGTATATATCATCTGGAGTTTTAAACTCAAACCTTGGAATTTATCACAAAACCACTCATTTGTCATCTGAACAATGTTGTTCTTCATTCAAACCTTGAAATTTAATCACAAAAACCACGGATATATCATCTGAACCATGGAGTTGTTCATCCAAACCTGGGAATTTATCACCAAAATCATGGAATTACGATCTAAATCATAAAGTTGTTCCTCCAAATCTTGAAATTTATCCGAAAACCACGGATTTACGATCTAAGCCATAAAGTTGTTCATCCAAATCTTGGAATATCAAACAAACCAAGGAATTATCATCTAAACTATGGAGTTGTTCATCCAATCCGCGGATTTATCACCCAGACCAAGAAGTCAATCATTCAAACTTGGGAATTATCACAAAAACCACGGATTTGTTATCTAAACCATGGATTTCTTCATCAAAACTTTGGTATTTATTACCAAAACCACGGATTAATCATATAAACCATGGAGTTGTTCATCCAAAGTTCGGAATTTATCACCAAAACCACGAATTTATCATATAAACCATGGAGTTGTTCATCCAAAGTTCGGAATTTATCACCAAAACCATGGAGTTTTTCACTCAAACCTGTGAATTTATCACTAAAACCACGAATATATCATCTAAACCATGGAGTTTTTCATTCAAATTTTCGAATTTATCACAAAAACCACGGATTTATCACCTAAACCAAGGAGTTTATCAGTCAAACTTGTGAATTTATCACAAAAACCACGGATTTGTCAACTTAGCCAAGGAGTCGTCATTCAAACTTGGAAATTATTACCAAAACCTAGGAGTTTGTCATTTAAATATACTAAATTGTGAACTCAGGTTTACCCCCTTTTTAGCGTAATTTCATCTCTGAGAGCAAACTTCATGCCTGGACCTCACTGTGTCCTGCAAATGCGAAAGCAACTTTAACGGAAAATCTAGGATTGTGAATTATTTATTCGTAAAAATGAAGCCGTTGGACAAAGTACACAAAATATTAATATTTGATTGAACTGTGGCTAGTCCTTTTAGGTCATAAATAAACCCAGGAAATGATTTATTAAAAAACATTTTCAAGTAAATTAGGGAAAAGGCCTCCTTAAATTTAATTTTTCAAGTAGCAACTATAACAAAAGTGTAGTAGTGATAAAGGAATAAATTATAATATAATATGTAACCAAGCACTTAAAGTGAATTTAATATCATTTAAAGTTTGCTGAGTGTTTAAACATAATTTAATATTTAAAATTCAAAGCACTATGGTTTAAAGCTTTCTTTTATATTTCTCTAGTTTCGTATTCTATATTTATTCAGTTCACAGTTTCTGCACGATGGTTCAATACTTTTGTATTATTTATGATTCGCAGCTTGCACACTTTTACAAGAAGTTTGTCAGACACTACAGTAGGACCAATTTAACCTTGGAAGAGGAAGACGACTGTTGGACCCGAGTTAGTATTTTGAATAGTCCAATAAAATAATAAAATTTTAAATATAAAACGTAGCAATTGTGCAGTGTATAATATTTTAAGACTCAATTCACTTAATAATGTGATTTTCAAGGTACTATTTGCTAAATAATAATATCAAATACCTATATAGTCCCAGGCCCGTAGCCAGGATTTGACCAAGGGGGTGCAATATTTTTTGGGGGGTTTTTAATGATTTTTTAAACAATGTTTGTTTTGGTTTTACAGTGGTATAAGGTTGGTTTTATTACATTGTCAATGCACACTATAAAGGCTAACCTTTTTAACAAGTGTATTTGAGCTTTTAAGGGAGTACTGCATAACTAACAGAGTCAAATAATCATTTATTGCTTTGACTTTGCAATATGAAAATGATATGATCTTATTTCTTATTCATTTAAAAAAAGCTTTTCAAGGGTCAAGGGGGTGCTATGGAAACGCCTCACCACGGAAATGCCTCAAAAAAACAGACTCATAAAACATAGCACACCGGTCAAGGGGGGGGGGGCTAAAAGTCTGAAAGTGTACAGGAGATTACCATTTCATTTCCATGGGACTCTATGCATATAATTAATAAATCATACTGTTTTAATTAGACTTAAACAACTATTAAATGGCTATGAGTAAATTTTGATGTTGTGTTATATTTAATCAACAGAGTGTACTGATCAACTGTTAGTTAGCCTGCGATAGGTCACAGGAGAGACATGACTTAGGGGATGAGTTCAGAGAGTACACAAAAACTCCGTCACACTTTTAATGAGTGCACAAATAGATTATAATTTGGTTTGGAAATCAATTCTTACTCGGGCTATATAATTTATAACTAGATTTTAGAAACTTATGAAAACAATTTCTTTTTTATGGGACTAGAGGGGGGGGGGTGCAAATTCGTCCTTGCACCCCTCTTTCAGAAGAAAGGGGGGTGCACCTGCACCCTTGCACCCCCCCCTGGCTACGGGCCTGGGCCCGACCAATCAACCTATTTACCTGTTATCGTTAAATTAGTACCATATCAATTGTTGTTTCATACGGACGGAATCAGCCTGGGTAGGCTGTGAATATAGTCAGGATTGACGTAAGAATTAGAGTTTGAGACAAGTAGTTAAGAAGTCCTAGATTGTTAGATTTTCTGGTGGCAGCGGTGGGATAACCTATAAACCGGATCTAGATGCCCGAGACTCCGAAAGTATTCCGGAAAAAGAGTAAAGTGAAAACCTGGTACAACGGATTAGCCAGAGAAACATTGGCTGGAGATTATTTATCGGAGAGGGTGCCAAATGGGAGTAGAGTTCCAGCAGGAAGTGTCGCTACAGGAAATACAGTGGCAGAGTTTCATGGGTACCCGACTTTGCCAAGTGATGACTCCGAATCGGAAGTAAAGATGGAAGGGCAACAGTCTCAACAGCCGGATAATATGGCGGTAGTGATGGGACAGCTGAAACAGCTATTGACGAAACAGGCGGAAACAGATAGAACGCTGGCGAATATACAGAAAAAGGATACGGACCAGTCTTTTGCCAAAACATGGGAGGAATCTGTAGGACCCGAGACTCGGAAGACCCCATTGGTAGGGTC